AAAAAAAAAATGAGCGAAAAATAAATTCGCATCGCAATAATTTTATAATTTTTGCATTATTTATTTTATTTTGTTTGCTTTTTTACGAAACAAATAGTTTAATATTAGAAAATTGTTAAGAAATCTTTTTTTTTTTTTTTTTTACTAATATATCATAAAAATTTTATTTCAGTAATTATATATTAATTTGAAAATTTGATTCTTTTATTTTCATTTTTCTTCTTTTCTTGTTTTTTTATTCTTTTTTTTTTTTTGTCTCAATTTTTTCAAGCAAAAAAAGAAAAAATTTTTTGTTAAAAAAATGATTAATTTGAAACAATTTTCAGCTTAATTATAGAAAAACAAAAAAAATACATTTTAAATTGGATATATATATATATATTAAAAATGTTGTTTGAGAAGTTTTTTTTTTTTTTTTTTTGTTAGAAATTTTAAAATGACTTTTTTTAGATTTTTAAAATTTCAGCTTTTAAATGATTTTTGTGACAGTTTGAAAATGTTGATGCACTTTCAGAAACTTTGAACAATATTGTCTTTTTTTTTTTTCAAATTTTAATTCTTTTCTTTTCAATTTTTGTTAGTTATGTTATTTTGAAATTACACAAAAAATTATGTTTTACTTAAAATATTATTTTTTAGAGTTTTCAACTTTACTAATAGTTTTTTTTTTTTTTTTCTAAATCAAATTATAATTTTAATATTAATTTTGGCAATCAAATAATAGCAAAAATAGTAACAATTGAGCGATTTATTGATTCATCTAAAAATAAATGAATTATCCTACTTCTCTCAGATATACATTTTTTTTTTTTTGCTTTTATCAAAAAATGTTCTAATTTTGATACATCTAGGAAATATTTACCGAACAGTAACTATAATAACAATTATTAATGGTGATAATTGTGGTCATACATACTGATAGTAATGATGATAATGATGATGGTTGATGATAAATACTGATAGCAATGATGATAATGATAATGGTTGATGATAAATACTGATAGCAATAATGATAATGATAATGGTTGATGATAAATACTGATAGCAATAATGATAATGATAATGGTTGATGATAAATACTGATAGCAATGATGATAATGATAATAGTTGATGATAAATACTGATAGCAATGATGATAATGATAATGGTTGATGATAAATACTGATAGCAATGATGATAATGATAATGGTTTATAATTTTTGATGATAATAATGGTGATAAATAATCGACATGATGATAATAATAGCGATAATAATAATAATGATTTTTGATGATGATGTTGGTGACGATAAATGATGAGAGCATAATAATGATGATGATGATGATGATAATGGTTGATCATAAATGTTGGTAGCAATATTAGTAATGATAATGCTAGATGACAAATACTGATAGCAATGTGATGATGATAGTGATGATAAAATATAGACATGATGTTAATAATAATGATTACAATAATAATAATTTATAACGACAAATTATGAGAGCATGATGATGATGATGATAATGGTTGATAATTTTTGATGATTATGATAATGATGATAGTGATGGTAATAATAAGGATAACAGCAGTAATAATAGTAGTAATAATAAAGATTTTTAATGATGATAACAATGCTGTAAGTCATAATCATGATGATAATAATTGTTATAAAAAGGAAAATTGAAATTAGATTTAAAGCAATTCCATTTCATGATAATCTATCCATAAACACAAATGAGGTCGATCATTACGAGAGATTGCAAATGGAGAGAGGGCAACGGAACGAGAAACAGAACAGAGCAGAAGAAGAAGCAAAAAAAGAGAGAATTATCGAGATTTAACATCTGTTTTTAGTGAATTTATTAGCAACAGCTGCTATCATAGCTTATTTACTAAAAGTAAACCATTTATTCACTTTTCATTTAATACTAATTCCATTTCATTTAATTTTAGAAATGCAAATTTTGTTACATTTTTTAAATTCTTTTTTTTTTTTCATTTAAAAAAAAAAAGGAATTTTCCCATTTATTCATTACCAATCATTTTTCATTTTAATGAATTTAAACATTTATTTCTTTTAAAAGCAATTGTTTACACATTTATTTATCGCATATAATGTAAATAAGATATAGAAAATAAAATTTTACTAAAAAAGTTTTTTTTTTTCTGAATTCTTTTTAAAATTTTGTTCTTTCTCGAAGTTTTTGCTTTATTTATTTAATTTTGCTTTTTCATTTCTGTCTATTTATTTTTACATAAATATTTTTTGCAATAATTTTTGAAGTAAATATATTTGAAAACAATTATAAATATAATTGTTATTTGATTTGATAATCATTTAATATTTTAATATTTATGTACTTTTTTTTGTCAGTTTTATTTTTAAACTTTAATTTTTTTTCTAAAGTTTTTTTTTGTGAATTTTAACTAAAATTTGCTTCAAGCTTATTTGTTTGTTTGTTCTTTTTTAATTTAAAAATTTTTAATTCTAAATGTTAAACTAATTTAAAATGTATTTTTTTGTAAAAATAAACAAATAAAATATGATAAGAAAAAAATTTTTTAAATGTAAACGGAAATATTATTTTTTTTTTTTTAACTTTTTCTATTTCTTTCATTCCTTCTTCACTTCTCATATTTGACCTAATTTTTTGCATTTCATTTTCATTGCCTTCTTTCATTCCTTAGTTTTGCTCATTTTTTTTTTTTTTTTTCATTCTCTTTTTTCTAGCATATTTCATCTATTTATCATTTTGCGCACCATTTATTCGTCATTTTGCGCATCATCATAAATATTATTTTGTTAGTATGTTTAAATAAATACAACAAATAGTATTAACAAAATAAAAAAAAAAGGAAGGAATGTATAAAATGAGAGATTTATTTTATCATATTTTTTTTTATTTTATCACAATTATCATTCTTTATCATTTTTTTATCGCAAATATTTTTTTTTATTTTATCACAAATAAAATCACTTTAAAAAAATTAAGCTCATAATTTCTTGGCATTTTTAATTTCATTCTTATGTTTAAATATTATGTGTTTATAATTAAATAACATTTAATTGATATGTTACTATTCCAAAAAAAAAAAAAAAAAACGTTCAAATATTTGCATAAATAAATAAATTAATTCAAATTTAAATTAAATTAATAAAAAACTTTTTTTTTTCATATTTATATAACAATAATATGTGAAATATTTGCAAAAAATTTAGCAAAAAAACAACGAAAGAAAAAGAAATTTATATTATTGCAATTATAATATTATACAATTATACATTTTGAATTCATTTCAAATATTTATAAAATTTAAAAAAAAATGAAAAAATGAAAAAAAAAATAATAAACGAAAAAAAAAAAAAAAAAAAAGGAAAAAAAATTTTAAAGAACAAAGAAAATAGTAAAATGCAAAAAAAAAGTAAAAAAAAATTTTTTTTTTCATACTATTTTAATTAAAAATTTAAAAAATGAATCACTTTTTCTTCTTTCATTTTTTTTTTTCATCAAATATTATTAATATAAAAATGTTAAAAGGAAAAAAAACTATTTTATCATTTCTTTTCTTTCATTTCTTTTTCTCTCAAATTTTTTTTTCTCTTTTTTTGCTTTTTTCTTTTCCTCCATTTTAACTATTCCAATTATTCTCATCATCATTTATTATTTATTAAATTATTTTTTGCAATTGGAATATTTCATTGAACATAATTTTTCTTTTCTTTTTTATTCAATTATTATCGATTATTTTATTGAATGATAGAATTGAATAAAACTATGTGTGTTAATTGTTGAATTTATATTAATTTAATTTAATGTATAATATTTAAATAGGAAATTATTATTTTATTTTTTTTTTTTTTTAATTTTGCTATTTGATAAGAAATAATATGAATTGCTATTGCTTTCTTTTTTCTCCTATCATTTTAATTATTGTTTGTAAATTAGTAATTAAAATTTTTTTTCTTTTCAATTTGACTAATTGATAGTGATTTAGTTAAAAATTACAAATTAAAGGGATTAATTTGATGCATAGATAATTATAGTTATACTATGATGGTTGTAGTGTAGATAATAATAATATTTAAATTTAAAATGGTCTTTTTTTTTTTAATTTAATTTATTTGAGATGTAATTTTAATTGCTATCCATAAGCAACCAAAAATTTTTAAAACTTTAACAACTAATAGTTCATTGGTTAGAAAATGCAAACTGAAAGATAAATAGAATTATGCAAAGTTCTATTTTTAACAACAAACTGAAATAAAATGTGGAATAATAAGCTGAAATAATTTGTTAGTTTATATTTAATAGTTTAATAAAAGGCAATAATAATAGTGTTAATAATGGTTACTTAATATTATTTACTACTAGTAATAATAATTAATAATAGTTATTTAATATTATTTACTACTAATAATAATTAATAATAATAATTACTTAAGATTATTTATTACTCCTAATAATAATTAATAATAGTTAATATTATTTACTATTAATAATAGTAATTAATAATAGTTATTCATTATTAATTAATTATTTATTTTTATTTCACTTTCATTTTAATTTATGGTAACTGCTGCTGCATATTTCACGTATTTGTTGCACGTAGCGTACGCGTATGATTATGTTATATTACGTTAACTTTATGATGAACTTACGGAAGTTAATGTAAAGATCGATCATGTCTATTTTACTATTCAATATTAATTAATTATTTAATTATTGAATAACGTTTTACTTACAAACAATTACTTACTTGTTTACTACCACATTTCACGTGTCTATTTCTCGTAGCGTATGCGTAATGCATAATTATGTTATGTGCATACGCATAATTATCACGTTAAATTTATGATGCACTTACGAAAAATTATTGTGAAGATCGAAAAAAAGGAATATCGGTGGTTCACATTTGACTATTTAATATTTGGATTACGAGGTTATATTTATTATCCAGCAATTACTCACTTGGTTAGTTCCGGTGGAAAAAACGAAATCCGGATCGGAAATATTTCATGGCTAATTTCAATAACTTAGTCGTTACAGGTAATGAAATTGTTTGTGTACTTAATTATGCACTTTATTTATTTTTTTTTTTTCATTTATCTAGTTTATTTATTCATTTATTTTTGAAATAGTAAATATTAATCTTATTAAAAGTCTCATATATTTGCAATTTTAATACAACATTTTATATTATTTTATTATTTTGCAATTTCAATATGAAATTTCACATTATACTACTAAAATAACTAAATAACCAATTTAAATAATTACACAAATTCAAAAAAATAGTTAATCAAGTGATTAATTATTTGATTTAATTACTTATTCTTATATATTGTAATAATAAAGCATATCATTGATTTAATGAATGATAAAAATGTTAAACTGAATACAACGATATCTCTTCGAAATTCTTGAATATGACTAAAAGATAAATGATTTCATTTTGATTAGAGTTCCTATCCAATTATTTCAATAATTTATCTTTCTCATTGCTCTTCTAACTCTCTAATGCATTTAATAATACTATTACAGCTATTTTAACATTTAAATTACGTCAAAAAATGTCTTATTGACGTAGCAATTACGCATAATATTTCTGAAGTACGAAATTCTTATAAAAAAAAACGAAGGAATAATTGAAATTTTCAAAATATTGGACAAAAAAAAAATATATATTGAAAATGTGAAATGAAATGAAACAAAAGTTTAATTATTTTAGCAAAGTATAAAATAATTTAATTTTTGGATCAAAAATAATAATACTATTTTTATATGATATCAATGATGTATGCATTAACAAATTGATAACTTGTCTTTGCATAAATAGTAATTAATATAAAATTAATAATTAATTTTATTATTATTACAGTTATTTCTGCACGTGGTTTATCGCTGAAAGGACACAATAAATTGGAAGCATTTGTAAATTTAACAATTAGCGGTAAAGGAAATTGGAAAAGTAAAGTACAAACAGATATTGTCCGAACAACAGCTGATTGTAAGTGGAATCAACGATGTGAATTGTATGTGTGTTATTTGATGATTAATTAGTTGGGAGATTAATTTTATTTTACATTGATTAGATTTGTTGGGAATTTTTGATAGTTCAAGAAATTAAACATTTATTGATTGAACTGTGAAATTTAAATTTGGATGTCAAAAATTTTTATCAATTTTGAAAGGAAAATTTTTTTCAATAAAAATGAAATTGATAGCAAAAGATATTGATAATAATAACAATGAGAATTAATAATGATAATAGCAATAATAATGATAGTAGTAGTAATAACAACAATATAATAATAATTATCAGTAATAATAATAATAAATAATAGGGCAAATTATTCATTAATTATGATAAATTAAATTTTTTTTTTTTTTTTTTGTTGGAATTAAATTTAATTTTAAGTACATTAAACGATTTGGATTCGACATTGACAATCACCGTAAATCATCGTACCGTTTTGGGTACAGCTGATTGCATTGGCGCAATTGAATTGCCATTGCATTCATTGTTACACGTACGTATGCCTACGTGGTATCGTTTATGTAAAAAAGGGAAATATGAAAATAACGGACAACAAATGAAATATCGCGGTGAAATATATCTAAAATTTGAATTTTCCAATAAAGTATGCACAATTGCAAACAAAAATTTATCAGTTTCATCATTTTCTATCAATTCGTTACATGGTTTGTTCACTTCTTTTTTTTTATCATTAAATAAATAATTATTTTTGCTAATAATTATTAAATAAATTCAAATTCATAAGATAGTATAAAATGAATTGTAATTCTAATTGTTCTTTTCTTCTTGGAAATTTTATTTTATAATTAATTAAATGAGTGAATTTTTTGTTTAAAAATAATGAATTTATGTAAAATTTAATAATATAAAATATTGAAAAAAAAAAAAAATTTTCTTTTTATTTTATATGAAAAAAATTTTTTGGTGAAAAAAAAAGACTTTTATTTATTTTAGATTGATAAATGATAACAATTTTATTTCTTCAATTTTTAATTTTCATTTTATTTTATTTTTAATATAAATAAATTGCATTAATAAATTCATAGACAATAAATTGCTAATCCTTTTTTTTTTTTTGAATCTATTCTAAAGTATAACATATGATTGATAATATGACAATAAATATTTATCTTAATCATATAACTGATAATATTACGATGTTAAGTGATAATTTACAATAATATTTGTTATTTTTATTGATCTAAAATTTATTACTTACTAAAATTATGCAATTAAATGCAGCATCATATCATATCTTTCACATATTATTTAATCATTTCTGTTTTCTTTTTTTTTTTTTTTTTTTTGTGACGATAATTATATTGTAATTCTAATTTAAATTAATTCATTAAATGATTGTTAAAACTATAAAATAATTTGAAAATTAGTAAATTATAAAATAATTTCAAAAAAAAAAAAAAATTTTTTTTCTTTAGGTTCCAGTAAACTTGATACATTAAAACGTAAAATGCGATTTGGTAAGAAAAAAATTATTGATAAATCGGATGCTACTTCATTAATAACTCTTCCACAGTATAATCATCGTCGTTCCTCAATTTGTGAAGTTTGTCCAACAAATCCAAAATCAGATCATATTTCAATTGTGGATTTTAATCGTGATGGATTAATTACACCACCAGTTGCTACTAAATTTGCAACATTACCATATAATTCAAAAAGTAATAAATTATTTAATTAAATTCATCATTTAAAACTTTTCTATTACATATTTCTAATACTAAAAGTTTTTTTCAAAAAAAAAAAGTTTAACTAATATATAAAATTTTTAAAATTTAAATTTAAAATTAGTCAAAATTTTATTTTCAAATTTGATATGCAAATCTTTGAAAATATTATTATTTTTAAGTGTAGTTTTTAGCTACTATTTATGATTAAATTATAATAATTTGAAATAAACAATTTTCAAATGACTTAAATTATTATAGTGCACTTTTTTCGCTTTTTTTTCTTAATAAATATTCTGAACACTTTCCAAAAATTGTAATATTTTTCTAATATTTAATGGCATTTTGTTTTTGACACTTTTTCTATTTTTTTTTTTTAAGATGAAATTGGCTAATATTTCAATTTTAAATTTATCTAGCATTTATTTTCTTTTCATTTTTTTACAACAATTTATGATCGATATTTCTACTTAGCCTAAAAGGGATTATTAAAATTTTGTCAAAAATTTTTTAAATTGGATTAATTAAAACAACAAATATTAAAGATAAAAGAAAAAAAAAAGGAGCAAATGTACCAAATTGAAATATCCGTTATTTTTGAAACTTTAAATTAATAAAATACTAAAAAAGATGAGAAACAGAAAAAATTAATTGGAAAATAAATTAAAAAGAATTCGAATTCGAATATATATTAGGGAAATTTCATTTATTTTTTTCTTACTTTTTACATTCATTCGATTACCTCTCAGTTATGCAATATATTTTTCTTATATTTTTTGTAGAAAAAGTTTATGTTTATATTATTATTTAATATTTATTGTCTATATTTATATTATTATGATATCAAGATGTTTATATTTATATTATTATTTTATATTTAAATTATTATTTAATTTTTAAGAATATGTCAAAAACTAATCTTAAATATTGTTTTTAAGAATATATTATACGATAAATTCAACATAAGTATTTCATATTTCAGAAACAGATGGTATCTTATTTGGTTCACGACGTACGTCAATTTCATCGAATCGAAATTCGTTGAATTCATCGCCTGTACCAGTAGTTGGAGAAATTGATGGTTTCGATTCTTCAGCAATTCTTCCACGTCCACGTAGTGCTACTTCATCCGGTTTTGGTTCTGCACGATCAACCGTTATTAACAGTTCCGATTTAGCTTCGGTATATTCTCTGCTATATATTAATTTGAAAAAATTATAATGAAAACTCATAAAAAGTTATGAATTAATTTAAAAAAAAAAAAGTTATATAAAATGATAATCCAATAATGCACCATTATAAAGATATTTTATATTATTAAAACATTTTAAATTAGCAAGTTATTCTTAATTATCAGAATATTCTATTATTTCCATTAACATATTTTTTTTTTTTGTTTTGTTTTGTTTTGTTTAGAAAGATAAATTTAACTGATAAGCATTAATCAATTCTAAAATTTTCGTTTACAAATATTTGAAACATTCCACTTGTTTTTTTTTTTTTATTCTTGTTTCTTTTTTACAAATTTATTTTTAATTAAATTCATTTTCCAATAAGATATCAATTATTTCAAATCTATCGTTATTTTTATTGCTAATGAAATTATTTCATTAATTTATTTTTTTTTTTTTTAATTTCAGATTTCACAGTGTACATCACGTGAAGAATTAATAAGGAATATTAATGATTTACGAATGGAATTAGCACGTAAAGATGCAAAAATTAATGATTTACAAGATTATATTGGAAAATTATTGTCAAAAATTATGGAAAAAAATCCAGATATGTTAGAAATTAAACAGTCACGTGGTTTTTTCTCAAGACATTAAGCATATATTCGTATCATTTATCATTTTTTTTTTTTTTTCGTAGTTTGTTTAAATTTATCGATTTAAATTTTTAGCATAATTTGTTGTGATTAAGTAAATTTGTAAATTTTACAAATCGTTTCTTTTTACGGGTATCAAAGATTAGGTTATTATAATTTAGTTATAGTAATGCAATACTATAATTAATGATCAATTTATGATGCACATTTATAATGAGACACTATTACCATAATCGTTAGGCATTATACGGTATGTGAATGTAGTTACAGTATATGCATATTATAATATACGGTAGACCTATACTTACTTTACTACGGTATCTTATTTTTATCATTACAATAAAGCAAATTAAAACGCATAATTTTTTCACAGGATTATATGACAATGATATATGTTATTTGCAATAATGCTAATTAAAATAGAATTTTAGCCATATTTTAATTCAAAATCCAAATGATACTGTAAAATGATTAGTATAATCCCAGTGCAAATTTCTCAAATTAAACAAAAATTTATCAATTAATTTTTGAAATTTTGTAAAAAATCCACGATTTAATCTTTGAATCTTCATCATTATTATCATTACTACTACTATTATTATTATTATTAAAGTTCGTCATTTCATTTATTTCAATTGACGTCAATATTACTTACTTAATATTGATTTCATTATCAATTTCCTTTAGCTCTCTTCTTTTTAATTGCATATAAGTCTTTCCGTATTTTCTGTTAAGTAAACTTTTACATCTTTATTAGCTACAGAATGTAATACTGATAAAGATAAAGTGGACAATATTATAATAAAATCAAACTCAAATCGTGTAACTATCATTTTGTAAAGAAATGAAATTCAAATAACATACATTTGTATCATTGCTTTGTATTAAAATTAAATTTAAACCATACATCGAATTCCATTATCCTCAAAAGCATTTTCATTTTTCAGTACTCAAAATTTCCAATAATTTCTCTCTAATTTTCTTCTTCAAAGGAAAAAGAATGAAATTTAGAAACTTAGTTTTTTTTGAAATCTTTGTTTCATTTTATACAAAATAAATAGGAGATATATTTTATAAGAAATGGAAAGAATAAAAGAAAACAAAAAAAAAAAAGTTTAAAAATTTTTAATTTATCACATTATGGGTTTGGGTTGAAGATAAAAAAAGCAACTTTTCCGTTTCCCATATCTATCTATTCTAGAATATATAACAATCATTCCATTGCAAAAAACACAAAAGCAATTAATTACTTTTATCATTTTGTCATTCTGTCTTATCATTTCTTATCAGTGTTTCATTATCACTTTGCTTTATGTGAAGAATTTTTTTTTTTTTTTTCAACTCTTCATTTATTACTTATCATTACTCGAAAGATTTTTTCGAACAATTGTTAAATGAATGAAATGATTGGTAATGTGGTATTGCTTAGTCAAAAGTTCAGTTACATTTCAATAAAAATTTTATAAAATCTCGTCATTTTATCACATCTAATTCACATTTACAAAACTTTCAAATTTTAAAAGTTTCATTCCAAAAAAAAAAGAAGAAAAAAAATAGTTTTTCGAATTTGAAAGCAAAATTTTTGAAATCAAAAAACAAACTATCAATTTTATGAATTTTCAACATTTCAAAAAAACCTCAGAACTCTTTCCCATTCCCTCTTAAACTATTCCAATCCATGAATACAATGATGAGAGATGAAATCTGATATAATCGGGGAATAACAGGCCGTTAATGGTCCGTTAAATTTAGTTCAAGGTTTTTTTTTCTGGTACGGGTTTTTGAATTTGATTAGTTTATCGGTTTTTGATCATTTGAAAATTTCCAGTGATTTTACGAGCATTCTGTAAATTAAATTTTTAAATTAAAAATTTTTAAATGTAATATTTTGTTAATTTGAGTATAAAATAAGGAATGAAAAAAAAAATTTTATTTTCAAAAGTTACCAGTGAAGAAAGCATTCCTAGAAAAATATCAATGACAATAACTAAGTGGGATATTTCATTATTTTGTGAAAATTTTTTTAATACAAATAAAAGAGTCTATTATTTTTAGCTATTTTTTACTTAGAAATTTTTTGTATCTATTTCAATTTTTTCCGGAAGGATATGATAAATCCTCTTATTTTCAACACTTTTTGAGCTTCTCTATCAGAATATTTTTTCAGGGTATTTTTTTTTTTTAATCATTTTAAAGATATTTTTTGTTTGAACTTTTTGCAGTTTTCGAGAAGGGGCGATAGTAAATTGTATTGCAAAAGCAATCGAAATGTGAGAATATTATTAAATATTATAGTGTTACCGTATTAATTCTTATTAGATTTTGTAGTTCGAAATCGATGTTATTTGTGATTCTATGCTGAATTTTCTGGAAAAAAATCTAATAACATTTATTCAATTATGCAAGCTTGTAAATTGATGAGATATGCAGCGTTTGATGCAAATACGAGTGAAATAGTGGTTGCCTTGTCAAATATAGATAAAACTCGTTCAACAGGTAAATGATATGGTAATATTAAAGAGTCTGATTATGTTTTATTGAAAAGAAAAGAATATATATATGAATTCTATTCCTTACTGGATCCGACATCTTTGGTACTAAAACCACTGATGGTGAAATTTACTGGTACTGTTGTTTGATCTAGCAACAGATTCTAAATTTGTTCATAACTAAATTTACGGATAACATATTTAACCTTTTTTTCGAAATCCATATATGATTATTCACTGTAATCGAATATATGGGCATTGTAAGCGAAGCAGTTAGATTGTTAACATGGAAATTGATATTATTATTTACTTTTTAATCATTAAACATATATATGTCATCGATTTGTCCTGTGATATTTTATAAAACTACTAATACTTACAGTAGTGTTAGCTTATTAGAATTTATCTTACTAGAATCTGATAATGTGAACTTTATTAGAGATTAATGATATTTCATATCTAGATAATATACCGGCCGGTGATTTAATTCGAGCAGTTTCTATAAAACATGTTAATCAAACAATTTTCAAGCATCCAGCAATGCAATTACTTGTTCACGAGTCACACTGTGAGTATTTAATGCAAATTTACTTTCGAAATTTGAAATCGAAATCTTAAACTTCCCCCTTTTATACTACTGATCTTTTTCTTTCTATGGAATTACTGATTTTCTCTTTTTAAGGAAATTTTTATGGAATAATTTTTTATTCTTACTTTCAGCCATCTTCTCTCGCGCACAGCGTGATGCAAAAGTATTCACACTCACAGTATCTGAGTAAGTTACGCCCGTTTAATTTATACGCTGCCGAATTTCCCGAAAGTTTAGAGTGCAAGTTTGAAGCTTAATTGTTGCCTCATCTCTTCGAATCATGCATGAAATATTTGATTTCATATGCTATACTGCAGGAGGAAGGGGGAAGTGTGCAAGAGAAAGAATGGGTAAAATATGTTGAAGTCGTTATTCGCTGGGTAATTAAAAAATTTTAGTGATTATCGGTTTCATAGTTTTAGTCAAATTATAAAGAGGTTTTGGAATTATTAAGAACGATTGTATTGTTCGTTATTCTAGTGTCATTCCAGTCTCTAATAGTGTTGTACTTTGCCTTCAAATCTTTGAGAACTTAAAAAAAGATCAAAGTTTCAGTGTGCTGTCATACAGTTTACAGTATCGTTCCATTATTCGATCAACACTTTCAACAATTCCTGTATCGGAATATGAAATTAAAGAATCACTCAGCACAGCAGAGCTTATTTGGTCCCTTGTTGAAGCTATTTTCATCAAAACTCATGGTATGTGAAATGCTTTTTTTTAAAAAAAAAAAAAGAGAAATATCTTGAAAAAATATAACATAAAATGAATAACTCAAAATCTAAGAACAGCTCTTTTTGCTCTTTCTTCGTAGGGATAACATTTAAAAAAACTTATAAAGTGCCGTATCTTTTATTGAATAGATCTGTATGACTTTCTTAAGATTCTTCTATTGTGGTGGACTTAATGAGTTGGGCTCGTTTATGCTTGGCGCATACTCCGTATGTTGATGAAATTTCAAACGTACTTCGCGGCAGCAAAATAAAGCGACTCAATAAGCAACATTTTTGGCAGCAGGTAAGGCTTCGATACTTACTGCAAGCTTCTTCACTCTATTTATCAGGCTTTTTATCAGAACTGATACTGGTTATAGAAGAATAAAGCAGGACTTGGTTTTTCTTGAAATAGGAAAATGCAAAAGCCAAAAGTTTTACTTTGGCATTTCATTTACATGCTAAACTTTGGTATTGGTTTTTTTTTTTTTTTTTAGTTCATAGATTTGGGATGTTAATTGTTGTATGACATATCTAAGAAAGATTTCTTACTTATTGTCATTCTTTTTTCGACTTAATTAAGGTTTGACTTTCAGAGTTTTACTTATAATTTTCAGATTATCTATTTTGTTCTTAGTGGTATGTTCAATAATGCAGCTACTTTTCTGGAAACATACGGTAATTTATGTGATGATGTTGCTGTACGATGCTTAGCTAAAGTACTTTCCGAAATAAAAATGAATGTTCTGAACGATGAAAATACTGCTTTGGACTTTATTACTACACAGGAGGTGAGTACGTTTGGAAAGAAAGTGTAAAAAACTTTCAAAGTTAGGAAATTCAGTTATGCAGGAGAAGGATGATCTTTGAATTAATTGAATGGCAGTATTGGAAGGAACAAATAAAAAGTTTTTTTTTTTTTTTCTTTTCTTCTTTTAGGAAATTGCTTTATTTTTGTCTTTTTAGGAAGTACGTAATATGTGCACAAGAGGACTTTTTCGAACAAATGCTGAAGCTGAGAAGGTAGCGATGATTATTGCTGGTGACATTCCAACCATAACATTGGTTTCAGCTCAATTGGACAATTGGTTTGAATTGGTACCACCATATTTATTATTCATTCGGCCATGTGCTACTCTTCCTCAACTTAAGGATGCTGTTAAGGTATATGGAATTCAAACATATTTCATCAAATTTCAGAAGAAAATCACTTTTGTTAGTACCAGTTTTTTTTTTTCATTAAGGATATTGTTTGATTAAATAAGCATACTGCTATTCCTTTACATGTGGCATGTACATGTTTAAAAATCGTCGAGTGAAGTATAAATAACTTTCTTCACTACTAATTCTAAATAAGTTTATTGGAATGTAAGAAAACTATTTATTTTAGGCCATAAGTTGCTTATTTTGTCGAGGTATGTTTTTTTTTCTTTGCTTACAATTCGTAACTCTTTGCAGGATTGTTTAAAAATTTTCGGCATAAATAAATGTGACGGAATTGATGCTGTAATGTGTGAGCTGTTTTCACTGGAAGCATTACGAGCTCTTCATCGAATTTCAACTTCAAGCACCAATTGGTGGTTTCCAGCTCATCTGGCAGATTTGTTGCAAAAAGCTGATGAACGGATAATAAGTGCCTATGATATGGATGTACGTCAACACTTGATTATTGAATATGGGTCGTCACTCTTCAGTGAACCTGGGTAAATTACTATTTCTCTCACAGTTATTAAGGGCAAAAGTTGAATGAAGACTTGAAATTAATTTTATGAAATACGAATAGAGAAATGATTAGAATTACCCAGAATATTTCAATCATTCAATCTTGCAAGCATAAACAATTTCAATGTTCTTAATAAAGTATGCTGTGCTTTCAAGGAAAAAAAAAGGCGAAGAGATAACTTAGACTGCATGCTTAGCAAATATTACAGATTATGGCAAGTGGGATTTGATTATCTTCGTGAAACTGGTAATGAAGGATTGAGTCATCTAGAGTTATTGATAGCACAGGTACCTCTGGATAACGAAACTGTTGCTACGAAGTTATGTTCACTATGCGATGAAGTAGATTTTGATCAAACGCGAAAGGATATTGCACGAGCTATGGCTTACAGGTAAACATTTATTTAAAAAAGAAAAAGAACTGTATATTATAAGAATATTAAAATTGCTACAACTGAAAATTGACTTGCTGAAGTGTAAGATACAAAGTTAAGCTGAAATAAAATTGTAAGTTTTATTTCGTCTTAATATCACTTTTTGTTCCCATATTATATGTCACATTATTCGATTTTTCAGGCATCAATTATAATTTTTCCACTCTTTTTTGCAGGTTATTGCGTACTGGGCGATGGGGTGGCGCTCTTTCCTGGGCAATACGATCACGTGATATCGAGATTGTTTCTACTGTTGCGGATCAGGTGATATCACGATGTTCACCAGATCAATTTTCGTCCATCACTGTTGTTGAGCATTTTACAGAAGTGATGCTCCTTTCTTCATCATTTATATTTTTGCATCGATATTATAAATTTCGAAAATTGCTGGATTCAGACCAGAAAGTCAAAGCTGCTGAATTGCTGGTTTGTTGTTATATTCTAATATATAGCTATAAATTGTGAGTTTTGTAACAAATGTAGTAATGAACAAATATAATAATTTTTACCTTTGTGGCTAAAGGAATACATTTTTGTTTTGGCAAGTAGTTGAACAATAATAATAATGCTAGTTTTAATTATCCTTCTTCTGAGCTATTTTTGTTGCGAATTATTCCGTAAGTTGTAACCAATCTTTTATATCTTTCTTCCTGTACAATGGATATTGAGAGAATGTTAATTTTACTTACTTTTTTAATTTAATTTATTTATAGGTAGAACTAATTGTTTCCGATTTAGTGCCGAGAGAATTTGATGTTATACTTCTCTCCGACTTGATTTCTATTCTCAGTGAGGAAGATGAGGTATTTTCTCACTCATTCTACGATTTTTTACCTTATTATTTTGTCTCACAAGAATTTTGCTTTTTGTAGTATTTAATTTGAATTATATATAAATGCCGGAGAAATAAAAATGGAATATCAAGTAGAGGCTCCTACTAAAACATGGATGTTTTTAGCTGATGTTATCTAAAGTAGTGATTAAATGAATTTGTTGAAATTCAAATGTTTTTCACATAGTTTTGACTTAGCTTTTTCAATACTTATAAATCATTTGATTGATTAATTGTAAGTATCGTAGTGTTGTGATTTCATAAAACCTATGGATATGAAGGTTATGATTTACTGAGAATATGTTACAGTGATTGAGATTTTCTTCCCAGTTATTAAAGTTATTATTTTTATAATTAAGTCATCAGTTTTTAGTATTTGTTTTTGCTGGACTTATTCATATTTTATAACTTAAAGATAAAGAGAACAATAAATTTCATAATTAACTATTGATTTTTACAGTATCGTAATCATTTATATATAATCTCAAACAGTGAATTATTTAACAAATTATAAGTAGTGAGGAAGGATAACTATAACCTATCATAAGTTTTTTCAGGTTATCATAAGCAAAGATGGTAGTGAACAGTTATTGGAACATTTAGTAAAGTATGAAGCAGACGGTCCGTTTCAGCATAATTATGATGAATGGAAAATGCGTTTACGTACGGTTCGCTTCTTACTGTTACGAAATTTGGCTCATGTTATCTCTTCTACTTCTTTGTGATTCATTTCTGATCATTCGTTATATCCCTTTCTTTTGTTATTTTTTGATCTCGTTCAAAGTGACATTTGAATATTTTAGATTTAGTTCTTTATAGCTTTGTAGCATTTATCAACTTTTTTTCCTTTATTTCAGATTAGTCAGTTCAACTATATAATACATAGGTGTGAAACATATACAAAAAATGCAAATTGGTTAAATGAAAATTATATTGAGCGGTAAGGATAAATACATTGACTTGCTTTAGTTTGAACAAAGTATGCTTTGATTAAGAATGTCGAGAAAACTTTTACCAACAAGTTGACTAAATCCAATCCGATTTTTATAAGCTGATCAGATCAAAGTCGAGTTGATCTTTTCAACTTGGACATTTATCGTATAGTCATATCTTTTAATGCACTAAATTGTCATTTAATCACATTCATTCGACGAATTCTTTACTAAAATGCTTGAGAGATGGATATGAAAGAATTTGATAATGGTAAAATAGGAGAATGAATAGGTATAATTTTTGTTGTTATAAGTTTATTGTGAACAATATTTTATTAATTGTTTCAAATTTTGCTAGAATTGACATTTTTTTTTTCTCTACGTATCGCCTGATAAATTTTTTGATCATATTTATTAAACAGACAAATTTTCTATAATTATAGCTACTGTCAATGAAGTAAAATTCTCTTCGAAATAAGCTCAGTAATTATAAACTAGTCGTAATTCTTAGAACTTAATCTTCATATTAAATGAAATAGCTGGATAATAATTCATTATGAGTTGACAATCCAGTAAACATAGTAATAGAAAAAAAGAGTTGTGGGAAAGGACGTATTGTTAATCATTCTTGTCAATAATATTTCAAAACTTTTGATTCTATTTGAAAAAAAAAAATATTGCTGAAAAGTTTTTTCTTTCATTCGGGTAATTTAAAGAAAAAAATCAGACTGGTATGAGAGAGAGAGAGAGAGGTTTTAATGTTTATAACGCATTGTAAACAGTTAAGTAATTAGTAAATTCAATAAATAATTTGAAAGTGATTGCATGAAGAAGGGAAGAGAAAAAAAGAAAAACGAAATTTTCTAATCTGAAATGTAATGTAAAAAATATCTGAACTATATGGGAAGAAATAAGATGAATTAAAAATAAGACGAATTTTCTTTTTTAAAATCTCAAGTGTAACTCTTGATTTTTTTTGTTTTAAATTTCTGATTCAAATACACAAGCAAAACCAGTGGTAAATTTTACTCTTTCCTTTTTTGTCATAAATTTAATTCAATAAATTTTTTCATTTCTTCACTCATTCACATACACACTCTCTCTTTCTTCTTCACAACTAAATTCTTAGCCTAATCAAAGGAATTTAATTTGGTGAAAAAATTTGGAATCAAAATTTGAAATTTCCTACTGCTCTCTGAAACTTTGACAATGTTTTAAGTACATAGGTGAGTATTAATTCTTTTTTTCTTTTTAAATTTAAGATTTTTGCAACCTTTTCTTTGTCCTTTAAAATCATACATAAAAGATGTAAATTCAAAATAAATTGCAAATTATTTATTAAATCTCAATTTTATTACAAAAAAATTATAAAATGATAAAGAATTCTATAGAAAAAAAAAAAGAATTATAAAAAAAAGAATTACGAATATAATGGGATGAGATTAGTAAATTTCATAATGATCAATTCATTAGTGTCCTAAGCACTTTTTTGCAATAAACTTAATCCAGTAATATTTTTCGTTTTACAATATTCTCTGGGAAAAAATTTGGATATTTGTTGATGATTTTTTGCAGTTATTTCATTTTTTGCAATGCATTAATTTTATTAACTTATGCAGCCTTTTTATTTTCTTTATCGTCTATCTAATAACAAAACGTAAATATTTTCCATTTTCTCATTCTTTAACTACATACTCCTCATTTTTTGTCCAGTCTCTTCGTTTACTGGAATATTTCTCAGTAATATATCCATTTCAAATTAATTCTTATCAATCCTTAATTCTCTCCGTCAACATTATATTTTCCTTTCAGTTATAATCGAATTTTTCAAATATTAGTTTCTTTTTCTTTTCATCATACATATTAAGAATAACAGTATAAAATAATATGAATAACAATATAAAAAGTACCAATTATTCGGATATATGAGCCCTTTACTGGTTAACTCTAAATTTTATTTTCCGATCTGGATCCTTTCACAGTCTGATTGCGCCGATATATTCGCTCATTTTTATTCCCGCACTCTCCATTTTATCTTTTTTATAAAAATGTTCTTCAACACTTTTTCATGTTCCAATGATTTATCTTTTTTGAATGTTTGAGTTCTGTGAAGCTTGAATGTTTTAGTCTTTGGGATTGTTAGTTTTGTTGTAAATTATTACTTTAAATTAATTATTAAATCCTATTGTTATAATTCAGTGTGATAGCATGTTGTCTGGTTTATCAAAACAGCGATCCCTTTCTTCGGTGACACCAGCAATGTTAATCGGAAATAGTCGATTGGATTCGTTATCGTTAGGTATGGTGGGCATGGATAATCGAGAAGCTGTGATCATCGATATCGGCGCTGTCCTAACCAAGTTTGTTCCATTTTTGTGCATTTTTGTACATTGTTTATTATGAAATATTTGAATCTGCTCCAGTTTTTCTATTATCTTTTTTATTTTTTACATGATTTTTTTTTTAATTATAACGAAAATAATTATAGTTGAACATAATTTATGATAAGTCACTACATTTTTACTTCAGAGTTGGTTATGCAGGTGAATTTGTTCCACGTGCAATAATACGAACAGAGTTGTTAGATGATTGTAGAGGTGAAACAGTAAAAGTTTTCGATGATACAATTAGTGAAGAAGAGCTTTATCGTAGATTGGTGAAATTTTTCCGAGAGTTGTTTTTCAAGTAAGTCATATATACTTTTATATTAAATATCTACATTGTAGTATATCATCATAAATTGCAATGACTTTACTTATGATTTATAGCTTCAGGAATCCCTTCCCATACACTTAATTTTATATTCGTCTTTAGTACAGTGTGATAGCATATTGTCAGGTTTTAGTTTTTTATAATCTTCACTCTGAAAAAATTTTACTGTAGAATTTAGAATTTATCACCTTACACTTGTTAGATACTTACTAACGGTTGCCAAAGATCGCCGAATTGTAATCGTTGAAAGTATTTTGACACGGACATCACATCGAAATGCCGTGGCACGAGTACTATTTGATGCTTTCGATGCTCCATCGGTACTTTTCGCTCCATCGCATCTATTGGCAACATTTTCATTTGGTGTCTCAAATGCTCTTGTTATTGATGTCGGATATTCGGAAGCAACTGTTGTCCCGGTAATAATACACTAGAATTTCGTGTAAAAAAATATCATTTGAAATATAACAAGACGAATACATTACCTGTAATTATGTCCATTTCTGCCAAAATTTAGAAAAAAGTTATAAATTACATGTCGGATCGAAGATAAGTTATATCTAGGAAACCAAATCACTAAGGTCTATCATGTAATTTTTTGAAGCACGCATCTAGCATGATTTTATCTGTTAATAAGTATTTAAGGCTTTAGAGCTTTATGCATTTAAGGCTTTAGAAGCTTTATGTATCACTTTCTGACACTTCAATTGGATTGCAATTATTTATTTAGTTTCTAGATTCTTGAAAGTGTCACTATGTTGTATCAACTGGAAACCTCATGTATTGGTGCGAAATATTTAGAAGAACGCGTTTACGAACTATTGCGAAAGTAAAATTTCATCTTTTTCTATTGCACGTTTATTGTTATTTGGCTTAGATTATTTAATTACAAGTAAATAAAAAATATGATGTAAATACTAAAATGTCAGGAAATTTTTTCTCTTAACTGGAGTTACGGCGACGAATACAGTCATTGCGAGCTATGCTATTAATGATTTTGTTTTAATGCAGTTTGATTTGCATATGAGAAAGCATATGACAGAATTGTTATTCGTCTTTTTGCTTATATGCGGATAAAGTAGAACAAAGGAACTTGGAATATTCTATTTTCGCATTAAAATTGCCCTTTATTTTCTCATTCCGACTGCGCAAGTTGCCATAGTTTTTTTCAGGTACGGCAAAGTATTGACGTTTTCGGGTGCTGAACGAGCATTAACTGATAGTGATGATTTGTTAATAAAAAAAGAACACATTTTAGAAGATATTGTTGTTAGGTTTTGTTTTGCTACCAAAATCGATCGTGGAAAAATGATACAAGCATCGGGTAGGTTACAACCTGCTTAAAATGTTGGAAATTGAATGAGCGGTCTTTTTTTTCTGGTTATCGATTATCTGTTAAAAAAGCTTTCAAAAATCAGCATCCAAGATTTTAATAATGAAGTAGGTTTATGAGATGAAAATTTAGCAAAAAAAGTAATATTGGTTGAACAACTTATGGATTGAAAGTTAATTTAAATTACAGAATATAATCCAGAACGTGAAATTCCGAAAGCACCTTGCGATGTTCGTTTACCATTTGGCGAAGAAATGCTTATTGTGCCGGGTCTTATAAGGTAAACTTCTGACTTAGTTCAAATTCAATTCTTTTTTTCAAAATTTATTATCCTTCTTAGTTAATGCAGGGAATGGACAGCGGAAGCAATTTTTGAAGAAAATGATGATATCAGATCATTACCACAACTAGTACTTGATGCCGTATATCGGGTAAATATTTCGCTTGCTTTAATTTATTATTATTCCAATCTCTCAGTTTGTTTGTGTTTTAAAATAAGGAATTTGGCGTATTGATTAAGTTTATAGTTAATTCCATCTCATGTTTGTTTCATTAATGGTAATGATAACTAGCTTTTTTCATGAAAGATCTTTTCTTAAAATATTATCAAGAAAAAGATTTGTTAATCTGTCTTTGTGTCCAATATTGTTTATGTTGCAGTTCAGAACGATGGTATAAGAGATGTGCATCCCAGGATATTGATTTTTCTGATAATTGATTTCTCTCCACACATTTTTTTTTTTTTTTTCTTTGCACTAAAACTTAACGCTCTTTTAATGACAAAGTATTTAGTGTCCAATTGATACAAGAAGAAAGCTGTTAGATAGTATAATATTGGTTGGTGGTACAACACGTATGAAAGGTTTCTATGCGCGACTTCGAGATGAAATTTTACATTTACTGACAGCACCAGCTTATGCGCAAAAATTAGGCAATATTAAATCCGTTAAATTTTATCGATTACCAAATACATCAATTGAATTATATGCTAGTTGGATTGGAGGTAATTTAAAAAAAATTTTATTCAGTTGCTATTTTAAATGAAACAACTTAATTTACCATTCATATTGAGTGATGGGCGCACTAGCATCTTATAGATAGATACAGGTATATAAGCATTATTGCTGAACAACTAAAAGCATTTCATTAATGTCAGAAATTTAATGATCTTTTTAATTAGTTTATGAGTGATAACATATAGCTACGACAATGAAAATAGTTAATTTAAAAGTGTGTAACATTCTAGAATTTGTTTAAGAAATACAGTGATTTTAATGTTTCGAACGTTGAGTAATCAAATTTTGAATTAGGCGATATACTTCAAAAATGTTGCCGCATTCTTAGGAATTTAAAGATGATAATGTGTTAGAACCATTAAATTTTTCTTTTTTTTTTTCAAAGATCTGAGAAAATTTTGATTTCTTTGATTACTCATTATAGGATTTGCTAATAAAAAAAAACATCGTTTTTTTCATACTTTGATACGTTTAATGAAATTTGACAGGTAGCATGTTTGGAGCTTTAGAAGTGCTGCAGTATCATTCTATGACACGACAGGATTGGAAGGCACACGGTAAAGTACCGGATTGGACGAGCAATGTTTATGAGATGAATCGAGATCCGGCGAGAAGTCGTTAAATTTCTTCTATAAACAGAATTTACTATCTTCTCGTTTACAAAACTTAATTTTTTGCACATAATATTTCTTATTTCTTAAGCTTTGTTAGGTAACTTTAGTGAATTCAGTCGGGAACGAGTTTTCTAGAAAAGGTGAGTTATTTCAGAGTTTTTCAAACTTTCTGTCCCTGTGCGAAATTTCTGTGGTATGCTTTAGGAATCTTTTTAAAAAAAAAGTTTTAAATGTTTGTTTTCGTTTTGGCCTATAAGTATTTAGTGTTGCTTTAATGTGCATATGTAAATTACAATTACTTAATCAATAAAGTAATTTTTTGGTGTTTTTATTGTGTATTTCATTGGTTCTTCTACCGGATTTCCTTTTTTTTTTCTTTTCGGATTTTTCTCAGTGTGCTTATTTTTTTATTTCAGGATGACTGAAAATTTTTATTTTGGGAGTGCATTAACTGTTTAATATATTTTCTTAGTGAACCATAAAATTCAAGAACCATTTTCCAAGATATTCTTCTATAGAAGTATGTTTTGGTATCTTTTTTTTTATTCTTTACTTTATTTTAATAATTTTTACTGTGATATTTTGTATTTTTTATTGTATTTGTTATCAGTTTTATAGTATTACGAGTTTCATAGATTCTTCTACTTCCTTGATATTCTGTATCTAACTTATTCATTTAATTTCTTCAATATAAGATTAAGTTAAATTTGACATAGGATAATGGAGTTTTTTTTTTTTTTTTTTTAACTTTGTTTTAGTATTTGGTAATATTCTAAAACTGATAACAGATATGACAAGAAAAATGCAGGACATCACAATAAAAATTATTAAAATAAAATAAATATAATGATAAAAGAATAGAGAGATTGAAAAGCTGAATAGAGAATTATATGGAAGATCATAGTTATTTGTGAAAATACTAATAATGTATGGCATTTTTTTTATCACTATTATTTGTATTGCAATATCACGAGAATATTAGTAAATATCAAAAGGAATAAACGAATAGAGAAATTGAGAAATTGGAAAAGTTGAATAGAAAATTCAAGAAGACAGTTTTTTTTTTTTATTTCTATTTGCATAAATTGCATTTATGTTTAATTCGTATTGATTTTGCTTCTTTTAACCGATGACCAAAATGGTTCTATTTTCTATTTGATATATTTCGAATTGAACTTTTTCTGCTATTTTTTTTTATTTTAACAAGATGAATTCTTGTTTTTTTTTAATCTTGAAAGTTGATTTTCGTTGGAGGAATTTCATTAATTATTATCAGATCTATTATTGATTTATCTTTGATTCAAACTTATACATAAACATTCAGTATTTTGGTAGTTTTATTTTTTTTTTGTTATTTATTTAATGATTCAATTAGACGCTTTTCGTGAAATAATATTTATTTCCTGCTTTAAGCTCAATATATTAAATTATTTGCAGGTTTACAAATCGAAATTCTATTTAAATTAATTGCAATTGCTCAAATTGTTCACTAATTTATCGAAGGTAAGTTTTAATTTCAATATTTTTTTTTCTAGATTTTAAGCCTTTCATTTTTGTGAAGGCTTATTAAGTTACTAAAAAAGGTAGTGGAGAATTGCTATTTGTGTAGTTTAGAAAAATGAGAAATGAAAATTTTTTGAAAAATGAAATGGTGAAAAACTTAATATATCAGGTGGTCACTAACTGTATTTTTTATACTTTGATTCGAAACTAAAGGTGAAACTCACACTTATTTTATTTTAAAGTTTGCTTTGAAGTTTTTTAAATTTATATCTTTGTTTTTTAAAAATAAGTTATTTCTTTTGTCCTTCTTACATGCTTACAGAGTTTCATGAAAGTTTACCTTATGTGACGTTCAAAATAGAAATATTAAAACTTTAGCTTAGAGATTTTCTTGTCCAACATAAGTTTATCTAACATCATATTTTCTCAAAAAAAAAAAAATGCTGTTAATTGGGAGGACTGAAATTGAAAAACAATTTTCAAATGTCGTACTTAGCATTTAAAGAGCATTTTTGTCAAAGCGATCTTTCATTTTTCACTGGATTTTTTTTTTTATTCATTCAAGCCAAAAGTTCTAAACTTAAGGATTTAAAACAAAGAAGTTCAAAACAAAGTTTATATTAAAAACATTTTTTTAGCTCTTAACATTCATTTTTTAATTCAGAAATTTAAGCAATGTGGATTTGTTCATTTCTTTTTTTTTTTAACTCCAATTTGAGAAGTGAAAAGACGAAAGGAATGATTTAGCTTTCGTCTGAATAATGGAAGTAATCCATTTTGGATCTGTTATCCTATTTCTGTTATATATCATTCATATATTTGTCAAAAATTCCATTATTTCATTTTATCGTTAGTTTGTCTTCTCTACATAACTCTTTATATAAATCTATAAAAATGGTTGATTAAGTAATATGTTAGTTATCAAAATAATTTATTACAAATTTATCATTCATAAAAAAACAAGCAGTTTGTTTACATTGTATAATATTAATGATTTCCATTTTTTCCATTTTTCCCAGTACCTTAATCTTTATTTAAAATTGATGATATGCAAATGTAACGAAATAAAAATCACTGTTAAATATGTGCATATAAATTTTCAATATACAAGGAAAAAGTGAGAAAAGATCTTTTTACATTTTTTTTTTTTTTTTCATAAATACTGAGGATGTCAAAAAAGATAATGGTATGTATTTGTAAAAAAGGAAAACATTAAAATATTATCTAAAATAGAAAAATATTAAAAATTAATGGCTTTGTTTCTTTCAATATTGGAAGCTTTTATTTGGTATATTAGTCATTTTTCTATTAAAAAAAAGACAAAAAAATTCGCAAGAAATGTAATTAATTAATATTGTTTTCCTTACTGATAATTTTTAATCTACTATAGCTTTCATTTCTACTTTGGTTTTTTCTTACCTTTATGGAATATGTAATTTTTTTTTAAATAATATTAGTGCTCACATGCTAGTATTTAACTTTCTTTCTTTTTTTTTTTCCATTCATTATTATAATAGTTTTAAAAAAATTGAAATCTTGAAATTTTTAAGTTTTATTAATTAAATCTTTCGATTAGATAGTTGCTAAGCTTTGCATATCTTTTTTGTTGTATAGAATGCTGACATAAATTGCAGCTATTTCAAACGTAGTAGAATAAATTTTTGTAAGAGAGTTTAAAAAGTTAAAAATGTATTATTGTGTGATAATCTATTTTAAATAAAATATGTATTTTATAATGAATGAATAAGATGATGATGAATAAAATAAATGAACTAAATTCGGTTTAGTTTAATAATTCATATCGATATCATATGAATTAATCATGTGAAATAATTAATGATAAAATGAATAATCACATGTGTAGTTTCATCTTATGCTTTTTTTTTTTTTTTTTTGATAATAATTTATTAATGTTTAGGCAAAAATTAAAAGAAATATTTGTCAACAATAGGATTATTTATTGTAATAATAAGAATTGATAGGTAGCAATATAAAGTATGATGATAATAAAATGGATAAATAGTAATATTAAATTATGAATTATAATAATATAATATTGAATTAATTAAACTATACGAAATAATAAATGAAAAGAATGAAATATTCGTAGGAGAATAATCGTTGCTATTATCTTTCATATTGTTAGTTTTCCAGTTAGCTCTACTAATTCCATCAATTTTTTTCGAGGAAGCTTTTCGAAACAACTCATTTCAATTTATCCTAATTCTTTCTTTTTTTTTTTTTGCAAGAAAACAAAGTTTTGTCATCATTGTGAGGTTTTCCCTTTCATTTTTCATCTTTTTTTCTGCCTTTCTTTTTTTTGCACCTTAACATTTATCAATTTATATAATTACTTAAATGATATCATTTTTAAATTGGAAAATAATTTCATTGATTATAATCCGTTATTTATTTTTGAAATAAGGAAAATAAAATTTAAAAAAAAAAAAAAAAAACTTAAAACAGGGGAATAGAAATAGCTTATGCCATTTATGAAAATATATGTAAAATTTATGAAATATGATTTTAACATTGATATGAATAAATTATAATCTTTATTACTAGGGAAAAATGAAGTAAACGAAACACGAGAATTTGTAAGAATTGCTTATTGTTTGGTTGATGATCTACTGATAATAAATTGAATGATAAAATGATTTGATGATCGTTGTAAATTTGATTACACTATCAAATGTATCGGAGAAGATATATAATATTGTTGTGTAATCGAATACTGTTGATAATTTTATAACATTTTGTGGAAATTTTAATTTTATTCTTGTTATTTTCTCTTCCTTTTTCGCTTCATTTTTTTTTTTTTTTTTGAAATTTAATATTGGAAACGGATTCTCAGTTTATTCAGCTGAACTAGCAATTTTCCACTAAATTTGGTATGAACAGGTTGATAGAAATGTGAAATGGGAGAAATAAATTTTTTTTTTTTTTGATTTTTATTTCGAAATTGAAAGAACCATTTCAATTTTCATATCTTGATTTTTTGTTAGTTAAAGAAATGTTCTCATTAATATAATTATTAAAAATACTTCCATATGTTATTACATTATATTGAAGATGTTTGAGAAATTTTATTGAACGTTTGAATTTCATCTTTCTTAACTTCATTCCTTTGTTCATTCAGTTTCCACAAAATTTCCACAAAAATCACAATTTTCACTTGTGATTTCTTCCAATCTAAAACTATTGAGCATAACTTCTCAAATTGATACCTAATTTAATAGAATATTGAAAAGTATACTTTAAATAAACTTTAGAAATAGCCATGCTAGAATCAGTGGTTTCTTTTATCTTTAATAGTATTAAAATTTTTTAGGTAATGTTTGAGTAAATCAAATGATATTAAGTTATTAAGCAAATTGTAAATTTTGATGAATAAGTAAATTTATGATAAGAAAAATATGTCACATTTGTTATCATGAGAATTTTTTGTTTCTTTTTGGGAATTTCAGGATAATATCAAAAGAATGTGGCGTCAAATGGGCATCAATTATGTACGATACTCACAAATTGCAGCGTCAGCTACGCGAAAATGTCTGAAAAAAGGATTGAAGAAAGAAGCGGAAAAACCGGTGACAACAAGCGTGAAAATTACGTCGTGGGAAAACGGAAAACCATTGAAGAAAGAGTGAAATAATTCGCTATTATTGTCATCTAATTTCAATGAATAGTCTTTTTTTTTTCCTTATTTTATTTTTTTTCTTTTTTTGTATTTTTCATAACCTCAAATGTTAGGGATTATGTTATAGTTAGGAGTATTTTTATCTCGAATTTTCAACTTTTTTCTTTTGTTTTTTTTTTGATCGATTCATTCTAATGATATAATTTGCATTTTGCAAATTTTTGCTTCATCATATTTTTGCTCATACTATTTTTCAGTAAGAATTTTATGCATTTTTATGAGATTTTTAGAAAAATTTTTTAGACTGCTAAAAGTAATAATTAATATTAATAGTATTTTAGTATAGGTTTAATACTTATCATCATATTGTTCAATATGCGAATATGATTGTAATTATAATGCATTTCGTGTTGCGTTGAATTTATCTCTATATGCATGAATAATTAATGAAATAAATTAAAATTTCAGGAATGAGTACAACAATAAATAAAGCAACAGCTATAATTGATAGCACAGAGTTTGATGAGGAAACATGGCTTATTGAACCACCTAATTTATCATCAACACAATCAAATAGCATACAAGAATCTGGACGAATTGTTGAATGGTTACAGGTTAGTTACATCTCTCACTTTTTTTTTTTTTCACCAAAAATTTGTTAAAAAATTGCTGTAGTAATTTTAATTAAATTAATTGAAAAATAGTAGTTAGGAAAAAAAAATTCAAATGTTATTTATAAATTATAAAGGTGTTCAAAAAAAAAAAAAAAAAAAATTGTTCGAAAATATAATATGAAATGTGTTCTAGAATGCAAGGATTCATGATAATTATATGTGATAATTATTCGTCATCTTTTTTTTTTTTTTTTCACTTTTATTTACTTGATATTATGATATTACAGGGTGCAGCAATGAATGTTGATTTCCAGACACGAAGTGCATTAAGCAGAAAATTAGCCAGTCAAGCAGCTAGGAAAAGTTAGTTTAAAATTATTTAATAATAGTAATTGTTAGTATAAATTTGTTATGTTAATTAAAAATATTAAATGTTTAAGCATAAATTTCTTAATAATTTTTCTCCATTTCTTTTTTTTTTTTTTTTTTTTTCGAAAATTATATGAGAGAAAGAATGAAATATATATATATTAAAATTTTAGATTAGACAATTAAATTATTTAGCAAATATTGATAGAATTATTAGGAACAAAAAAAAAATTCCATCCTTCTTTTGATCTAGCAATTACTTAAGAAAGGAGAAAAAAAACAAAAAAAAAATGCATTCACTTATCAAATATGCGTGAATTAATTAGATTATTAATGTTAATTTCTTTTTTTTTGAAGAAAAAGTTTTAAAATTTTTGATGAAAATTATTCATATTATTAACAATATTTTTTGAAATATAGAATTTGTTTCATTAGTTTTTGTTGATTTTTTATGATCATTTTATAATCTAATTAATTCATGCATATTTGATAAGTGAATGTATTTTTTTCATATTATCACATATGAATATTGTTGATAACTTTTTAAAATATGATACTATTTAAGAAGAAACTTTTCATTTCATATCAACTATCTGATTACTTATTTGCATTACATACATTTCATTTTATAATAATTGAAAGATTATTCTTTCGTGATGCATTACTCTCATTTATATTTTTCAAACTATTTGAGTAATATTATTAGTTTTAAAATTGAAATTAAGATTTCCAATTAATTAAAGTTTTGGAAAAAATAGTTTCTAATGAAAAAAAAAAGGAGGATAATAAAATGTGTTACTTTCAAAACTAATTTTTGATGAAAGACTTACAAACGCATTGCTTACATAAATTTTAGATTAAATTCTTGAATAAATTAGTTTTGCAGTTAGCGTAGCAGAAATTCATTTATCCATTGTTATTCTATATTTTTACTTATAACATTTTTTGTTTTAAATTTTTGTATTACTCATTTTCCAATTTTTTCTTTTTTCTTTTTTTTTTTGTTATTTTCAACTCATTATTTGTTTATTGTTATTTGTTTCATTCCCTTTCTTTTCCTTTTTTTGTTTTTTAGAAAGGAAAAAAAATTGAAATGTTAAAAATTACTGGGATTTTTGCTAGAATTATCGTTTAATCATTTAACATAATGTATCTTTTCGTGATTTATTAGTGTTACTGATCAGATCTGTTTAGTTTACTGGTTGAATTTTTTGTTTATAGTTCAAATTTTTTAAATTTTCAATACGCACTTTCTCGTTTCAAATTTCTTTGTTTAAATTACTCGAACTACAACTCATTGAACTTACAAGTGAATTCACTTTCTATTTCACTTTTTTTTCTCTGATTTAATTTGAAAGTTAATAAATTTGAGGGAATGCTATAAGTTTAGGTGATTTTATAAATTAATTTTATGATTACTTTTATAGGCGTTTTTAGGTGGAATAATGTAAATAATTGATATAAATTCGTACAATTTAAAATCATTCTGCTAGTATTTTAATAAAAACACAAGTAAATTTGACAGTGAAAGAGATAGAAAAATAGAAATTATATGAGTGACATATTGTGGATTTTCAAAAGAATGCACATCACAATTTTTTATTAAACAATAACAAAAAAAAAAAGACGAACAAAGAAATTGTTATTATAGAGAGAAAATAAAAATAGTCCCGAGAGAATGCAGGAGGAGATTGCCGATATATTTTGGCATATTGTAAATATTTTCTTTCTAACTTATCCTCATTTCTTGTTTTCTCAATGATTTACTTACAAATACATTAAAAATTTTTTTCTTCCTATTTTTGTTTTCAAAAATTTCACTTCCAATTTATTGGTTTGTTTTGTTTGTTTATCTGTCTAATAAAATGCTTATTTATGTTTATGTTTAGTTGTTTGATTTATTCAATTTACTCTTCTAAAAAATTTATGCTTTATTATTATTATTACTGATATTGATATTTATTCTTATAATCACAGGTATTATTATTATTGTTATTAAATATTATTATTACTGATACTGATATTATTATTAGGTATTATTATTGTTATTATTAAATATTAGTATTATGTTATTATTTGTTATTATTTATCATCATTATTAATTTATCAACGGTTGCTCCAAAATATTTTCTAGAAAAAAGAGCTGAAAAAATACACGAAAAAGCGGAAAGTGTAGGTGGATATAAACGAGAACATTTGGCTCAAGTAAAGGAAGAAATGATGGAAATGAATCAAATCTATGGTGATAAGGATGATAAAGATGTTTTAAAAGGAAATACACCAAAGTGGTATGATAATAACTCTATGAATAAAAAATATCAGCAAATATGTTATGAAGGAAAGCAACAACAACATGATGTTACTACAACAATTACTTCTACTACTACTATTGCTACTGCTACTGCTACTACTACAAATGCTGCTAACAGTTCTACCATTGTTACTTCATCAACAGTATCACCCTTACTATCAACTGAAAATATGGCACTGATAACAAATGATAATGATAATGATGATGATGATAGTGATGAATTTTATGATGCAAGCTCGGATTTTAATAATGATATGCTGTTTTCATCTACTACTACTGCTACTACTACCACAATAACTGATAGTGCCAATATCATATCATCTACAATTGCATCACAAAACGGTAACAATCATTTCTTTCAATTGTTTTGATCAAATATTTCTTCTTCGTTTACTAAAATTATATATGCATAGGCATATCTAGTAATTTTAAGTAACTATTAATAATAATGAAGTGAAAAGATAAAATGGTTTGAATTTTTTTGATAATAAGGAAAGAAATTTAATTTTGAAAAAAATTTTTTTTTCATTAGTTATTATAATATCTGTTTTTCCTTCTTTTTTTTTTTTTCTTTTTTTGCAATTTTTTTTTTTTTTTTTTTCATTTATTGCGATATCATTTTGTGATATGCCTATGAGATGAATACTTTCCAAAACTTTATGATTTAATTTGGCTTTTTTTTTTTTTTATTTTTTCCGTTAGCTATCAAATTTTTTTTTTTTTCTTTTTTTTTGCTGTTATTTATTTTGTAATGCTATTTTTTTCCTTTTTTTTTTAAAAGAGTTTCAGTTTATATATTTTTTGCAATATCATACATTTAATTTTGAAACAGTAAGGAATTGACATTTTTTAATTTGTTTTTAAAATTAAATGCAAGCAATTGATCTGATAGATTTTTAATGATTAGTCAAATATTTAATGATTATGAGCTAATTGTTAGATTAATAAAATGGAAATAACTTATAACTGAAAATTGAAAGTGAGAAGTAATCTACATAAAATGCATGATATAAAAGTAATATTTTAATTTTTTTTTTTTTTTCTTCTAGCATGCTTAGTTTCAAAACTTTGTTTAATTTTCGAGAATTTTTTTTTGCTTAATTTTTGTGATTTTTATCTTTGTAATGAATAGTATCATTGATTTCTTTCATGACATAATTTCTTTTTTTCACTTAAATTTTTGTTCATGCTTTTACATGCTTATGCTTTTTTTTAAAAAAAAGCTTAAATTTATATTGCAAAATGTTTTATCTTTGAAATTTATCAGAAAATAAATTGGAATTACGATTGAATGATAATTATGCATGTGGATCATATAGCACTTTGTTAATTGTTTTATTATATTTTGTAAAATATTAGCTTTTGATTATCTTCTTAGCAAATTCAAATTTCATTATGTTTGTAACGTTTGCTAATAAAATCCTAAAAATTCATGATATTGATCAAAATTAGAAAAACTCTTAAATGATTTAAAGTAAAAAGAAAAGGAAAGAGGAAAGGTGAGAATTTTTATTAAATCGTAGTGATTTCTTTGTCTAATAGCAAAACATTTATGTCACATAGAAATTTAAAATTCAAAAGATTGATATTTTATGAAATATAGTATACAGAAATTATATATATATATATATGTATGCTTTGATTATAATCATTTGTTATCATTATTTTGCTGCTATTGATTGCTTTTTCCTTATTAGTTTCGTCAATTATAAATAAATAATTCAGAAGTTCTTTTAATTTTAATTTGCTTTTATAAGCCATAAACATTTAGCATTTTATCATTTACATTCTTTTTATTCTTAACTTTTTTCATGCTTTTTTTTTTATTTTATTTTTTCTTATCCTTTCTGTTTTCACAATTTTTCAACATATAATTTAAGAATTATTATAATTATAATAGTAATACAGTAATATATCATTCATAATCAATTATGTTAATAAAAATTTCCCTCCCTCTACTTTTTCTCCGCTCTCCAAAACAAAACTAAATGTTATACTATTTTTCTTTTCATATTTCTTATTTCTTTTCCTTTTTTCCTGTTTTTCCTCTTTAAATTTTCTGAAATTTTACGACATTTTTTCTCTATTTTCTAACATACTAATTTATTTATGTGCAATTTTAAGAATTAATTTGCTCATCACAAAATTGCTTAATAATTCAGTATTTAAGATTTGCTCACTGATTTTTTTTATTCGAAATTTTAGATTCACGTGGTAAAGTAATTTCGAATGGAACATCACTTGCAGCAATAAATGAATGCATTAAATCGTCTGCAGATGTAATTTTTTTTTTTTTCTTTTTTAAATTACAATATGTAATCAAAAAAAAAATTTGACAATATGTAATGAAAATTTTTGAGTAATTACTGGAACAACAATTTTAGTCTAGCGCAAATAGCAGCATCAGCTTACTGAACTCAGATCCTTCAATTCATGAATCACGACAAGTTCGTCAAGTTAACACTGCACGTGTTCCACCGATGATTGCGCAAAATGTCGGTACTACTTTGTTAGAATATTTTTGCTTACTTAATTTTCTAGAAATTCCTTACGAATTTCCCTACTCGAAGTCATATACATTTAATAAATAACGTTTAAAGAATATGATAATAATAATAATAATAAATGATTAATGATAATATTAATATTAATAACAATAATAATGATAATATAGTACTAATATTAATAGTAATATAAATAAATAAATATAAGACAGTAGATATGATTAACAAAAACTGATCTATTTGTTACAAATTTCTTCCTTCAGTTTTTGGTTACTTTTACCTTACTGTTTTATCAATAAAATGAACTTATCAGATCTTAATTATTTTATTTTTAGCTTAATTTAATATTTCTGATTATTCTAAAGATATATTTCTTATTTCAGCTATTATTCAAATACTTTTTTTTAGCATGCTTCACAGCGATCATCAGTATTAGATAAGTCAAAATCATTATATAGATCAACAAAATCTCATTCACCATCTACACAACCGGATTTAAAAGATATTAAAAGTATTGTTGAACGACAAGAAGCAGGTTTCTGTTTGTAATGCTTCACAGTTCCTTTTTTTTTTTTTTTTTCGAATAATTCATGCATAATTCCGGAAAAGATGTCTTTCTTTGATTCAAATATTTTTCGAATTTCTTTTGATGTTGAATGCTAAATTGGAGTAGTTATTGTTTTTGTATCTCTTCGATTTTATGCTCAATTTAATTTTTTTTAAAGAATTACGAGAAGAATTAAGCAGACTGAAATCCAGTGTTCAGGGTGATATTGCAAGCAAAACGTTTTCCTCATGTGCTCGTTAGTTTTTGATCTTTATTAATCAGTCTGCTAGAACATTATTATACTTTAGTCTTACTTAAGACAATGTTGAAAACAAAAAGAGAAAATGGAGGCTTTTTCCTTATTTGAACAATAGAATTGAATTTTCACTGAATAAATGAAAATATTTTATATATTTTCTATTGTTACTACTTCTCTCCTTTAATTCTTCATATTGCATTTTTTCACTTCCATTTTTCAAATTGTTTTTTTTTTTTTTTTTTTTTTTTAACTACTTAAATTACAATTATTACTTTGCAGATAATTCTCAGGTGCAATCTACAAGACGAGGAACGATGCCATTAGCATCATCAAGATCTACTGAATTTCATGCAAATAATGCAAAACTATCAGCTGTTTCTATACCATCATCTGTTTTTCATGCTTCTGTAAGACTATATCTTATTTTGATAAGAATTATTGTTAACTGATAATAAATAATATAGGATAGTAAATCATCATATACTTTATATATAGCAATTGTTGAGCTTTTTGATAAGGAAAACTTAGAAATTAGTAATATATTAATCTAATATTATTCATAGTTAATTATTGTTCATAGTTATTTGCTAAAATTGATAATTCAAACTTATTCATTATGAATTAGTTTTGTAATTATGGAATAATTATCAGTAAACTATTGATAACTCTTAATGTACTTTTCTTTTTTTTAAATTTCAGCGATTACCAACCCCAGTTCGAAAGAGTCTTGGACGCAGTTTGATTCCCACACCACGTGCTTCTGCACTTACTAGATCGTATGTTAATTAATTTTTTTTTTTTCTTTTTGTTTCAATATTTTACTTTAATTTTAGGAATTTATTGATGTAGAATAATTTTTGCTAATTTAGGAGGAAATTAAAGTGAGAAAAGTATTCGCTAATTTATCAGTTAACGTGCAATAGTTTTTTTTTTCTTGCTTTTAAATTTGCTGACCTGAAATGTTTTGTCTATGTTAAATTAGTATAATGTAAAAGAAGCTTTCATTAAAATTGAGCTTAGCTTAATGGAAAAATTTTATCGAAATTAGGTTTATATGGAAAAAATTTTTTAACTTTATTTTAGAATTTTTTTCAAAAATAAATTAACGCTATAAGTTGTAAATTATATTAAGCTAGTTTTACAGATAACATGGAATAATTATTTATGTTTTCAAATTTAAAAAAATTTTTTTTTTTTTTTTCAGAACTATTCGTGGTTTAGCTGGCGGTAGTACACCATCATTAGCATTATCAGCGCAACATTTATACGATGATACACGTTCGGAATGTGGTAGTGGTGGTATGTCACATAATGAGCAACGATGGGCTGATGAATGCTTCTAAATTATACAATGAAAAAAGGAAGGGAAAAAAAAATGAACTAAATTAGATTATTACTATTCTAATAAATAACTTTTTTTTTTTGCTTTTACACTAGAAATTATTTATTCGCTTTGCATAATATTTTATTTTGAAATGATAAGTGTGAATTTTATTGTCATTTTTATAACTTTGTTTGAATAATTCAGGCATAAATATGGGGAAAAAAATGATTACCTTGATATTTTCATGATTAATAAAAAACATGCATATCAGTGATGATGAATATGTATCATAGTTTTTTGCAAAAGAAATTATCATGGTAGTTATTGAAATTTGATTAAAAATTCCTTTTTTTTTGTTACTTTTAAATTAAAATTCACTAAAGTTGAAACAGAGGAATGTTTGACTTTTATTGATTAAATTTAGGTATTTGGTATCTTATTTTGAATTTTTTATTACCATCAAATGATGGCTACGTTTTTGGTTTTCAATATTTATTGTTCAATTTCAGTTTATGTATACATTTTCTTATCATGCAATATTTGATAAGTTAATGACATAATTGGTAGTTTTACTTTCCTATTTAGTTTTGTATAAAATTTATTTACAATCTTTTTAGGTATAAGATCAATTTTTTTTTTCTCTCTCTCTCTCTCTTATCGATTTCAAGAGATAACTACTGAATTTTGATCTAGGATAATGATTTTATAAAGAAGAAAAAAGGAAAGAATAGAAATTCTGTTTTGATTAAAATCTTGCTACATAATAATTTTTTGGTGCATTTATTATTGTGCTTCTAGCAAAAGTTAAATTAACAGTAATTTGTAAAATTATAGGTTTAATTGATACAATTATCTTCAAACATTACTTTTCGGATATATCACTTTTTTTTTTTCTTTTTTTTTAAAAAATTTTTGGTATTTAAATCTGATGGGTTGTTATTTTCTAATTTTCATTGATTTTCTTTCTTTCTTTTTTTTTTCTGTACAAGTACATATATACAGCTTATTTATGCTTTTTTTTTTTTTTTTTTGCACCTTAGAAAGTTTTTTTATCTCGCTTTTTTTTTTGGTCAATTTTCTCATATTTTTATTGTTATTATAATATTGAGATATCAGATTAGTTACAATTTCTAGTCGTAGGAAATATTTTTGTCTTCCATTTTTTTGCTTTTTCATCATTTTTAATTAATTTATTATCTTATTGATACATTACTGTTGAATGAAAGCTTGTAATAGATTTTATTGTATATTGTAGATTTATTTGTAGCAAATTTTTTTTTATTCAAATTATTGTAAAAATGAATCAATTATTAATTAGAAAATACATTTTCTTTATGTTATTGCTTTCCTTTCTTTTTTTTAAGTTACACTTTTATTTGTAGTTTTCTTTTTTTTTTTTTTCAATGCTGCACCTTTTCTATGTGTGTGTGTGTGTTTTTTTTTTCTTTTAATTCTTGCGAAAGTTGAAAAAAAAAATAAAAATTTGAAATTTTCATTATACATATTTTACAGGTAAAAAAAAAGACGGTTCTATTGATTACTGATATAATTGTTAATTTGCTCATAAAATTTATCAATTTTCTATTTCACTTATTTAATATTCATTAGATTAACTAGGAACTAAAAGTAATGTCATATAATAGATTGATTTGACATTAGTTCGTATGTCAAAGGATCGTTGTCGATATTGAATTTCAGGTTTGGAGGAGGGAAGGTCAGGTATAATTCGGAATTTGTCCAATTTTCCGTTTTTTTTTTTTCTTTTTAAGATGTATTTTGTGATAATTGTATAAAAGAAAGGAGAAGAAAAATATGCTAGTCGATCATTTATTTTCAGCACAATATTCTTTATACTTATGTTCTGGGTCAAAGGTCACGAAACCTCCGCGTATTTGAATGTTTCATATTTATATAATAAGGTTTTCAAAAATTTTTATAAATATTACTAATCATTGGTATTAATTAGTGATAATAGAAGGAAGGAATAAGTTTGAATAAAAAAAAAAAAAAAGATTTTTACTTTTTCTTGTTTTTCAAGAATTAATTCATCAGTTACATTGATAATTGTTCGGCAATCAATTATACCACTTGTTTATTTTGTTTACCTAAATATTTGTTGATAAGTTGAATTTTAATTTTAATTTCATTCCTTCACCTGTGAAAAAAAAAAAAAAAACGAAAAAAGGAATGACATGAAAATTATCTGAAAGACAAAGACAACAAAGAGGAAGAGAAAAGAAGAAAACAAAGGAAAAAATATGAAAACAGTTTCTATCAGTAATAATCAAACTTTTCACTAATTGTTTGTATTTAAAAAAAATTAAAAAAGTTGAACAGCTAACTCTTGAAATATCTATTTTCATTTTTGTTAGAAAATAAAATTTAAAATAAAAGTATTACAAAAGTAATTTATTCGTTTTTTTTTTTTTTTTTTTTCACTTCTTATACCAAAAAAAAATTTTGCTGCTAAAATTTCAAAATTAACATTCGTTTTAGCTATTGTTCATTTGTTATTTGTATAATTAAAGTTAACAATTAATATTTACTTTTACTTAGCTTACTTAAGTTAATATCTATTGCCAATTAATCCGTTATTAATAAATTAATTATTAATCCAACAATGTAAAATCATTTTCTGATTGTATTACAATAAATTTATTAATGGAAGAGAGAAGAAAGAAAGAGGAAAAATATTTCATTTTATTTAATTGTTAAAATTTGAAATAAGTCCATAGTTTATCATTTAACCTTTAACCTTTAACGTTAACATTTATCAGACCATAATGAATTATCATATGTCATAGATAAGTGAAATTTTAATCGAAAAAAAGAAAATATTTAGCATATTTCGAACTGCAAAGCTATCATTCATTCTGTTTTAAATGAAATTCTAATTTTTCATAGCGTTGACAAGCATTGATGCAAACAAACATAAATTGTTGTAATCTATCGATTTGTATTAGCTTCATAGTAATGTATTTATTCCATATTTGTTCCAACATTTTTCATTGACCGATTGTGTAGGGTCAAAGGTTAGGTGATAGTTTTTAGGTTTGCTTTAAGTTTTGTACCATCATATTATTGCTGCAATTTCAAATTATTGCTGTTAATTAATTCGGTTCAAGTTTGTTTATTTTGTTAGCAAAATGTTGTAAAATCAGTGGTATAGTTGTACTAATTAAAAAAATTGTATACTTTATTATAAATCTTTTAGGAATTGAACTCAAGAAAAGAATGGAACTGTCTGACCGGAAATGGAAAACATATGAATGTCTTATCAATAACTTTTTTCTCATTTGATAATTTTTATTTATTGTTGTGTCAAATTATTATGTAAGATGTTATTATGTTTTTGTTCTGTTTTTTTTTTTTTTTTTTTTTTTACTGGACTAAATATGTGTTATACAATGACCCTGCTATGATCGTCTTGTTTTTTTTTTTTTTTTTTCTAGCTTTCTACCTTTTTTAAAATTTATCAAAGAAAAATTATAACTTTTAGTTCTTGTTATTTAAGCGTATTGTTCTCATTTTCTTGTTTACCGTACGAAATTTTGGTGTCCCACTTTTCTCATTCCTAACTATTTGAATTTATTTCTTTTTTCCCTTCTTCTACTTCGTTATATATTATTTACGTAAATTATTATTCTTACTATATTTCCATTTTTTTTTCTAATTATTTCTTCATCTTTTTACTTTTTTTGTTCATCCAAAGATGGAATTTTATGCCTAACCAATGAATCATTTGTTGACTGGTAAACGATATATTCTTAAGCTTACCAGAAACTGTCGATTTTTTCAGTTCTTGCAATTTTCTCATATTTTGTGACGATAATGGACTCATCAGGAGAGTTTGTAAAAGTGGACTCATCAGGAGAGATAGTGACATCGATGACTGATTTGGAACGAACTAAATTGGCTGAAGAATTGGACGACGATTTGGATTATTTTCTTGATAGCCTTGCTAAACAGGTTTCTTATAATATTTTATTTAAATAGGTTTGCATGATTATCTCACATTTCTGATAATAATTCATATGTGTTTCTGTCCTATTAAAAAAATAAAAATAAACACTTGTGAAGATTATGTTTGCTGTTCCAGTAAAGAGGTAGAAAACAAACATTTAACAGAGATTTCTAATATTAATTATGTGCTTTTTATTTCAAAGAAAATTTAAAGGAACCAAAGAAACCATTTGTTTATGATGAATGGTGTAGGGAGATCGATCAACATCCAGCATTTATGACTGTTTTAGAACCCGATAAAAATGGCGAATTTTCAGAGGCTATTCAAGCTTTACAGGTATAGGTAATAAACATAGTTATTTTTCTTATGTAACATTTTTTTTTTTTCTCCTGTTTATTCAGTATTTGAACAGAAAACGTGTTTTTATATCCGTTTCATTTTTAATAGGCTTCAAGTCATGAAATATTTGCTAAATATTAGCTTTCTTTTAGGCATTAAAATACGAGGATGATGAATTAGAGGATCGACGGGCGGCTGCAGAAAAACATAAATTAGATGGCAATAAACATTATAAGTATAAAAAGTATCACTGGGCTATCAATAGATATACAGATGGTATTTTATTTGCTGTAATCATTTGAATAAAAAGCATTTTAACATCCTTGGAAATCTCTTAGGAGAATGACCATTTAACATTTTTAAATCCGATAAGAGCTTGAACTTCCTCGATTTACTATCGTAATTCTCCGATTAAAAGAATTTTGATGGTAAATGCGTAAATCATATCGTCCAATGTTATTTATTACCTTCTAAGACTACTGGGACGTTACAATTTTGAGGAAACCTCAAGCACTTTTTCCTTCTATTAGTTTTTTGGGATGAAATAATGACCCAAATAGAAAAAATTACTATTGTTTTTATGATTTTCTCTCTGAATTTATTATGAATGAATTTAATATAGGTATTAATCAAAGATGTACGGATCGGTCGCTCAACTCGGTTTTATATGCTAATCGAGCTGCTGCTCAGAAACGTATTGGTAATATTGGCTCTGCTTTCAGAGATTGTTTCTTTGCTCGTAAATTTAATCCTGATAATATGAAGGTTTCCACTTGATTCTAATTTATTTTTATAGTTACCGGTTAGGATAAATGATAATGCTTAGTAATTCGATTAGGCTAAAAATTGTATGGGTAAAGTAACTGAGATTCCTTAGATATTTTTTGCTTGCTTTATGACTGAGTAAGCTTGGCAGGACAGTATATAATTTTGCTCGAGGAATAGTTTCACCCATCCTTAACTAATATCATGAAATATTCAAGTTATCTCTTTGAATTTGAACTACTTACATCAGCCTTATCTATTGGTTCAGGCTGAGTTCCTTCTGTTTATGTAGATTGCTTTAACTTTGAATATACACCCATTGATGTAAATAAGAAATATAGGTGCATAATTTGCAGTTGGTGTCGTGTGTTGTGTGTGTTTTTTTTTTTTTTTTTTTTTGTGATTTTCTAATATAAATCGTGAAATATCGTACATTATCTCTACTGTTATTGAAGTTTCATATATAGATTTATAAAAATCAAGAAAAAAATTTGATAGTGTATAGGCAGTTATTCGTGGTGCTGAGTGCCTGGTGGAGCTTGGCAGAGGAAAGCAGTGCATGGATTGGCTCAAAGGTAGCAAGGAATATTATAAAGCGGCCAAGTGTATTTCATATAATCATAGTTCGTATTTGACCTTGTTAATTTTTAATCTTGCTAATTCTTCTTTGTTTTTCAGTGCATTATTCTCCTTAAGTAAGCACAAAAAAATGAGTAATATATGAAGAGTAGGATGATTAATGATATATAACCATATATAAAATGTTATGGTTTAAATTTAAAACGGCAAAGCAGCGAAGTATAAAAAATGAAGCAGTAAAATAAATAAGACATGATGTGAGTAAAAATTTATGAATTGTACTTTGTTAAATTATTTTTTAGTATTAAAAAGTATATAATTATTGTTTCGATAGATTACAGATTACTCCTTGTTATACATTTATTTTAAATCTATGCATTTAGCTCATAAAGCGGACGATGACTACGTAAATGAATTGTATGAAAAAGCGCAGCATCTTGCCTTAATTGAGGATCGAAATGAGCGAAAAAGACGGCATGATGTGAGTTTATCATGTTTACTAGATATACAACTGTGCAAAAAATCTTTTTTATTTCTCTTCCGCAATCTGAATTATAATACTTGCAGTATGTGAAAGATCTGACTGAGAAGCAGCGATTATTATCGGCATTTAAGGTGAGGGATATTAATTTTCGGCCACCTCTATGCTATGATAATCCTGAATTTTTCGAATGGTCACAAGTTGAAGTACAGTTACCAGTTCTACGAAAGGTAATTTGTTTCAATTGCAATAAAATCTTGAAATAGTTGATGCTGTTAATACCAGCTGGAATAAGTGAGAATATTGATATTCGCATTGTTGTTTCTACATAATCACATTGTGAACTTAAGTTATCTAGAATGTATTCCTTTTCATACTTTTTAATGTTAACTAAATTCACTTTTCTTTTATTACAAAATCATGCCTTTAATTCTATATATGTCCGAATGTTAGTAGGAACACCTTTTTCATCAATTCATTGCATTTATCTTATTGTGTTTGTTTAACACAATTTTAATTTAAATAATGAGGTTTTATATTTTACTATGTTATTTTACATAAAATAAATGTTATTTTCTTGCAGACTGAAAGGGTTTATGTGGATAATTGCGGTATATTACACTGGCCTATACTAGTGCAATATCCGGAAGTAGGAAAGGTTAATATAATAACTGATTGCTCCGAAGAAAATTCAATAACTGATATGTTCGGTTTTTATGAACAACGAACACCACATGATGATACCACGTTTAAGTAAGCTTTAGCTGTGATTCTTAAGATTAATTTCCTTTAATTGTCAAATGTTGAAACTTCTTTAATTTGCATAAAATAATAATATTTTCCTTTTTTTGTCATGAAAATGTTCGATATTTCGTGTCACTGGATTCGGACAAAGAATATAACAGCGCAGAACTGATGCCTTGGACAAGATTTAGGGAAGCATTCTCTATACCGGGATTTATTATTGTGCAGGGATTACCGACTATTCAGGTAAGGTCGATGACAGCGATTTGTTATAGAATCGATAAAAGTAGTTGATTGAGAGTTAATGGGCAAACCTGATATTTACTTATTTGCAAAGTTGTGGTTATTCAGGCATTTTAAAAAAAAAAAACAAAAACAAAATTGGTGGAGTCACTCGAAACACCAACTTTTCTGGTGTTTCGAACAAACTTTTTTCGAAAGATATTCAAGTAATCAATTTATTGTTTGGTACATTTAACTAGTTATGTTGACAGCTCAAGTTTTAAACTTATTTCTGCTAAATTTAATCTTCGTAGCTTTGGGAAATGAAGAAAAAACAAATTGTAAAAAAAAAAAAAAACATGCTTTAAAATGTAAACTAACTGTTCATTGAAAAGTGTTAGTTGTGAAATACTGTGCAATAAGGAAATAGTGCAATTAAGATATATTAAATCGCAGAAAAGATTTAAATGTTCAAATCAGTTTTAAAAAAGAAGTATGAAAAGGAATTGAGAAAAAGTGTAAAAAAATGACGTTAGTTGCAAGTGAAGACCTGAAAATATTTGGTATTTCAACCTTTTGAGCCATTTTTTTTTTTCATATTTCCACTTCAGATCTATACGAAAAAACATGCCGAAGCAAATTTTGTGAGAGTTGAAGATTGTTTCTACATAACTAAGTGAAAATGCATCATCTTTTAATGGTTTGCTTCTTGTATTTTTCATATCTTTTTTCTGTTCACGTCATTCAGGTTATATGCTCTTTCATATATTTATGTATATATTTATGTTTTCAGCATTTTTTTTTTTTTTCAAACCTAAATTTGTAGTTATTGCAAACTATCCAGTCAATGGACAAAAGCTGTATTCTCAGTAAAATTGTAAATTATATACGAAAAAAGCAAACATGATGGGATCTTGAAGGAATTTTATGATTGTCAATTAGTAAGCTGTTTAAATACTTCACTTTATTTGTTAAATTCATATTTTTTACTTTTATGACTTAATATATGGTTCTTCCTAACGATCCATATAAAATTACGTATGACTATTTAAAGTTATGGTTATTTATCGCTTTCCATGATTTAGTTTAACCAGTCCGAAAAACTGGAAATTCGGAAACATTATGAAAAGATTAAGGCGTTGAAAACGAAACATGTATTCATTTTTTCAAAGGTAGAGGTAAAATTTTTGTATTGATATCAATATTCCACTCTTATGAAGATAGTACAAGACTTTATTTTTCATGTCATCTGATTAGTATCTTATGCGCATTTATGAACTTTGAATATCAATTCCTGTATTTATCAATTGTTCTCTCTTTTGTTTTAAGAAATTCGCGGTCAATACTCAGGAATTACTTCAGGAGTTGTAGTAGTCATAGACATTCTTTATCCAGAAAGTGATTTCATTAAGCAAAACAACGAGATTAGCAAAATTTGAGCTTCCCGATTAAACCGACGATAGTTGAAATTGTTCTTCTTTTAGCAGATGGTGTGAGGATGATAATTAGAAAATAGTTAGTATAGTAAATAGGAAACTAAGGCTTATTTGGAAGAAGAAATTGGGAAGAATCAGTATTGAATGAATGGAATAGTATTTTATCTTTAAATTGATAAGTAATTCATTAAAGAATTGTTACTGTTAATAGCAATAATTTTTCTATACTTTTGGTGCATTACTGAAAATGATCGCAAATGTATTTTGATTTACAATTACAGAAAAAGAAAGAATGAATATAAACTTTTGTAAACACAATAAATATGAATGTGTTTCGAATAAAAAGTATTCTCACTTAGAATCTTCAAATCATATCCCATAGTCCAATAAAAAATGATCTTATGACCATTATATATTGATAGTAAAGGAAATTTGAAAATACAAAGTAGCCTAATCTTGTTGTTTTCTTATGTTTTAAATTTGTTTATAGTAGAATTGTATTGTACAACAGTTATATGCATCTCAATTTATAATATGTTTCGTATTATTTTTCTTTTCTTTGATTTTTGTTACAAATAAATTTTAAGCAAAAAATTGTTACTCATCAAACTATATTAGGATCGGTGTGTTGTTTGAAATTTTTAGTTGATTCACTTCCAGTAATCGAATTAATTGTAGGTTTACTGCTATCATCTCTAGAAAATGCATGCATTATTAATACAATTATTTGAAATGTTTTAAGTGATTATTCTCATTCAATCATTTATTTAATTTAGATTCCTTGATTGCATTGATTATCTAAATGTGAATTTAATTAATTCCATAACTGTAATATGTAGATGCTAAAAGTACACAGCTCAACGCAGAAATTTTGAGTGGAAAATTGAGAAATTTCAAAAAAAAATTTGCATTAGGGAACATTTTATATTTGCTAAATGATTTAGCTTCTCGTTATGAAAGTATTTCAGAATTTTGGTACATCGTTTTTTAATTTTAACTTTTCATATAGTCTTACGTGTTACTGCCGCTGACAATTGGACTCATCGATACTGATTTAACTGATCCTGCCAAACAATATGCAAAATTTGAAGTGAATTTTAAATTAAATCAAAAAATATTACTTTTATTGATCGAGATTTGATTTAACATTATTGAGAGTTTTTATTTATTTCTCACAAACTTATGAGAAATTTTAAAACTTTTATTTCATTTATCTCATTAATGATTAAGGTTTCTGTCAATTTGCTAAAATAATCAAATCAAAATTAAAAACTTGAATAGTTAATACTGTGAATTCATATTGAACAAATCTTTAAAAATCCATTTGAAATGATAGATTCAAATCAATTTAATCATTACTAATCAGTAGTATATCTTAATCATAAATTAATTGACTTACTTGAACTATGTGAGCTTTTCATTGTATGTAAACTAGCCATCGATGCTGTTTTACTGCTTGTATCAGATTCACTGATACTTGGTCTGAAGTGAAAAATTATGTTTTTTGATAATCTTTTCGATAACTAAAAATTTGTATGCTCTCAGTTAAGTTAAAATTTAATTTCTATTTTAATTCATTTAATTAATTTAATAAAGCTTAAAAAATTAAAATGATGATAATCTGATGACTGATATAGAAAACCTGTAAACTTTAGCTATATGCTTTTTGTCAATTTCGCCATCTTTAATACTAATATATGATTTTGTGCCATTTGATATTTCTTGCCAACCTTTTAGTTTTACACCAGGTTGTATTTTTTTAAACTGTAATTTATTATTGTAATCTTACTTAAGAATATATATACTTAAATATTTGAATTTAAAATAAATTATAAAACACTTAGGAATAATTAAATATTTTGCATAATGAATGAAATGAAAAATAAGTTTGAAAAAAAAAATGTTTGAAATAAAAAGTAAGTCAGTTTGTAAGTAAATGTCTTATTAATTAACAATAAACTTACATCAAGTAAGGTATACTTAATATTAGTTGCAGTTTTAATTTGAATGTTTGATCGACGAATTATTAGATAAATATACAATGGTAAAATGATTATAGCCATAAAAATACTTCCAATAAGCCAAACAAAATAAAATGTTGGTCGTTGATGTTTTGTTATTGGATCAATGTAAAATACTTTTTAATACATTAAAAAAATAAATAATTATACTATTTAATTATGAGTAATACTTAATATTAAATAATAATTAACTTAATAGGTTAATGATAAGACTTAAAGTTTTTTGATATTAAAGAAAATTTCTATTTCAAATTTAAATTCAATGATTTATATTTTAATGCAAATTTATATGCCAATTGAATCAAATTGTATTAAGCATATAATTTCAAATTTAAATGCAAAGTTTAAAATTCAAATGCAATTTAGGTTTATCAGATGAATATTAATAAATGAAAAAATTTCTTTTTTACCAAAATTTCTCCAAAAACTTTCGCCTTCTACCATAACTATTGCGTATGCTTTTTGATTGCTTTTAATTGCTTACACTAAATAAATGTTTCTAATGATAGATTAAGTTTATAATAATGTTAAAATAATAAATAATTTTTTTTTTCAATTCAATTGTTTTTTGGCATAAAATTTACATAAATGCAAATTTGGAAGTAATTTAACAAAAAAAATATATATATATGATTTTAATTGTTATCATTTTAATTCTTGCATAAATTAAGAAAAATTTATATTATTAGCAAATTTGCAAAAAATCAACGATGAAAAATTTCCAATTAATTATTCATTTTTCGTTTCACGTTCATTTTTCTATTTTCTTAAAAAAGAAAAAAAAAGGAATTAAAATAATAGAATTAAAATGATAACAATTAAAATTATATATATTTTTTTTTAAAAAAAACACCAAAGCATCGCATAATTTTTAAGTATAATTAGATATATCATTTTACTTTACGTAGTATAGGTAAATAAGTTTAAATTTTTAATTTATTTTATAAAAATTTATAATCGTTGATTGTTTGTATTTTTAATTATATTTGCAGAAATTTTTTAACCAGCAATTATTATATATTTATAATTAAAATCTTTTTTAGTTAATACTAAATTATTGTTCTCCCTCTCTTTCTGTCTTTAACACTTCCTCTCTCTCTCTCTCTCTCTCCCTCTCTCTCTCTCTCTCTCTCTATTCCTTTCAATTTTCCAGAGTTTTTCTTAACTTTTTTTTTATTAGTTCACAGTAAGGATACTATGAATTTTTGTTAATTAGATAAAATATCTGAAATTTATTTGAGTATTTAGTGAATATATCTAAACTTAAATTGTAATAAAATAAAATACAGTGAATATCATTTGCATATTTCTATTAGAGAATGTGATAAATGATAAGTGATAAAAGTCTCAGATGATAAAAATGTTAAAATATAAATGATAAAAAATTGGAAAACCGATGGAATTTAAAAATATTATTTATTTCATAATTATTTATTTTTTATTTCCTATTGATAAATGAATTCAATATAATTTTAAAATTTTGTTTTTTTATGCGACAAATATAGTAGTACTTTAATAAAATTAATTTCAAAAAAAGAAAAAACTTTTCCGATAAAATGTTGGCAAACTATTTCAATGCAAAAAAAGCAGTTACCTTTCCTAAAGTTAAAATTTAATTAATTCCTCATTTTGTGTATTTGTACTAAAAGAATGTGACAAATATTATTGTTGACAAATTCTCAATGCATTTATTGAGATTTCAAAACAATTTTGCTATTATATGGAAATAAATATCATATGTGGGTTAAATGTCATCACATAAAGGGTTAATGTTATTATACAAAGGTTAAATGTCATCACAAAAAGGTTAAATGTCACCATATAAAGGTTAAATGTCATCATATAAGGGTTAAATGTCATCATATAGAAGATAACATTTAACCTTTCTACAACAAATGCACATAATAAAATGAATGAAATAATGTATTATCCTTATATTTTTGAATAAATATTTTGATTTTGTTTTTAATTTATATTTTAACTATAAAACAATTTATGATAGTAAATTTACATTTATAAAATAATCACTCAAATTTTATTCGTTATCATTGTCAAATTTTACATCAATCATTATTGGTTGTATTAAAATAAAGTTAGTTCTGTTTTGTGATAAATCATTTAATTGTTTCATTTTAATTATAATAATAGTTTGTAAAATAGTTTAGAAAAAAAAAAAAAAAAAAAAAAAAAAAAAAAATGTGACAGAGAGAGTGAGAGAGAGAAAGAGAGAGAGAGAGAGAGAACGGTTATTAATTAATATAATTATTATAATTATCAAAAAAAAAAGAAAACATCGAATACTAATTATAATTTTTCTAATAATTCTCAATGTTTACTTTTTTCATTTTTCTTCATTCTATACATATTAAATATTAAATTTAAACATATGTTTTAAATTAAAAAAGTTTTTAGTATTAATTAAATTTAAATTATTTATCAATTATTTGCATCAATTTTCTTTTCTTCTTTCTTTTTTAGGAAATGTCACCACTTTCAAATGTATTATTGAGTAATGATCATTTAAGTGATGATGATATTTTGGCACTTAGTTCAGCTCATCATTCATTACGAGTAGCAATTATATTTCTTATCGTAGTTGTTATCATTTTTGTTATCATGCAACTTATCAAATTAGCCTGTCAAATTATGGCAATTCGTCGTAAAGCTGATAAGGTAAATTAATTTGCAAAAAAAAAAAATTTCTTATGAATTAATAAAAAATGGATAAGAGATTAATTTCGTTTTTTTTTTTTTTTTTTTTTTTCAATTTTGAAATTTAAAAGAATAATAAATTAATTTTGAATGATTATTGAAAATTTTTTGCATGCAATATTTTTGATTTAATATAGATCAATCAATAAATCAATTAGAGAAGATTGGATCAATTTCATAGCTTATCACATTCATATTCATTCTTTCTTGATTAAAAATTTTTTTATCAATTCATTCTACATTTAGCCTTTTGATAGCAAAATTCCCGAGATAAAAGTACATTCGAAGCCACAAAGGTTTTCATTTATTTTTTATTCATTAAAAAGTTTCTTTTTTTTTTTTCATTTTTTATCAATCTTTGATTTAATTAATCTTTACACTATCAAAATTATTTAAATTTACTCATAGCTGATTTTAAAAACTTTATTTTAAAACTCATTCATAGCTCATTCTGAAAACTTTTTTTTTTTTTTTAATTTCAATCTTTTTTTCATTTTGTATTTTTGTTTACAATTTTTGACCAAAGCTATGCGATGAAATTACGATTTTCAAATTGATAATTGAAATTTAAATGAATTTATACTTGTAGAAGAAAAAGATTGAAGCATTCATTACCAAGTAAAGAAATGAAAATTCAATTATCATTAACAAATGAACAAGACGAAAGAGATATTGCATCTGATGATCGTGAAATATATGCTACAAAAACAGCAATTAAAAAAACGGAATTTTCAGTAGCATTATTTTTTTATTCATTTGCTATTAAATTAATAAAATCATTTAAATTTTATCATTTTTAAGAATTTAATTAATTAAATATTAGATGGGAAGAATTTTTCACATTCAAATCTCAAAAGTTCACAGGGAAAAAATGAACCTATTAGAATAAATTTAATAATAAATATTTTTTTCAAATTTTTATATTAATATTTCTTAATTAATATAAACATTCTTTGTTTCTGTTTTTTTTTCTTTTTAATTTAGCCTCAAAATAAAATAAAAAATGTGACAGAAGCAAATGTTATCATGATGCATGATCAAATGCAACATTCATCAGATGAACTTGAAACAACAGATATTAAAGATTCATTAACACTTACCGGTAATAAAATTTTTAATTTCTATTATAAATTTTTTTTTAAAAAAACAAAACAAAAAACGAAGGAAAAAATTTATTTTAATTATTTTATTTTACACACATACGATTTGTAAGGAAAAAAAAAAATGATTTAATGTACTACAAAATTGCTATCAAAATTTATAATTTGATTTTTATAATATATATATAATCTCTTTCATAATAAAAATTTATAATTTGATCAGATCAAATTCAAACTAATTTAAAGTAATTAGTTTCTACTTTTTTTAGACTCAAAAAGTCAAACATTATCGACACCAACTATTATGCAAAAGTCATCATCGACATTTCCAACATTAAAAGCTCAAGATTCATTAATGACTGTTAATAAACAAACATGCTTACAACCTGCTCATAGTGCTGAGCAATTAAATTCGGAAACCGGAATGAAAGATAAGCAATCAACAATTTTGGAAGGAGCTAAAGCAGACGATTCATTAATGATTGTTAATGAACAGAAACCACTGCAACCAGCTGATAGTGCTGAACGATCAAATGCAAAAAATTTGGTAGCAAAAGCAGAAAAAGCAAATATTAATCAACAAAAGGAAATTGAGTTATAAATAGCAGATCATAATTTCATATAATCATCATTATCATTATCACTATTATCACTTATCATGCAATTGTTATAATCAATCAATGCTTTTAATCTGCTAAGCTCTTGTCATGATACTTTGTTTGCTGAAAGTTATAAAATATTACTTATCAGTTATTGCTTGTTTACATAGTAATTATCATATTCTTTCATTCAGTTTAATTGGTCGCAAAATTTGCAAAAATATTTCGTTCATTTTCAAATTTTAATTTTCGATAAAAGTAAAATGATAATTTAATTCAGCTAATCAGCAAAAAGATGCATCATAATATGATCTTGCTAATTTATTGCTATTAAAATATGTATGTTTAATTCGTTTCATATGTGTGAATGAATCATAATATTTCGAATTTTTTGTTTCAAATTCCAAAATTTGAAGGCTTACAATTTGGAAATTGGAAAACCAAGATTCTCCTTTATGAAAAAAATTAAAACTTATTTCTTCTTCAATATCATTTGCTCTGTATTGATTAAATCATTAATGCACATTTAAAAAAATCACTTTCGAATTCAGTAAAAGAAATGAATTGTTTAATTGGTAATTTTTAATTTAGCAATGATTTATAAACCTGAACTATTATCCATTGATTTATTCAAGTTAGATAATTGCCATATAATTGAACAATGAATTTGTGTTTCAGTAAACATTTGTTTTTAGCAAATTGAATAACTTCAATTTTAATTTCATGCTAAAACCATTCCTACTGATAACACCAATTAATTTTAATCGTTTTCTTTTCTCTATTTCTTTAGAGTAAATAAGACGAATTACTTGTTCGTAATTAAAACGAAAATGCAAATCAGCATTATGCCATTTTATAGTTTTCAAAAAATGATGAGAAATCAAGTGCTTCATCAATCGATAATCACAATGTTAATAATTTATGAGCTATTAAAATTAAAGTTAATCTTGAGAAGACCATTTCTACTCTATCAAAGACCCTGCCTAGCAACAAGTTTAAAAATAAAATATTCCATCAAAGAATAAACTCGGTAAAATCTAAATTTTGATATTAACTAAATTTTCCCAATGAAATGCGATCAAATGGAAAGTTATATGAAGCAGAATTAGACTTTTTTGAATTCAGAGACGTCTGGAAAGATAAAAATGTTTTGTACTCATCTTTTTTCTTTTTTGCAATATTATACAGAGTATACTAAGTTGAACGAATAAAAACAAAGAAATCATACAATATTTTTCAACGAAAAGACTACAAATTTCGCTTTCAATAGACAACGTATTAAAATCAATGTATAAAATTCACTACCTCAACATTTCACCAATAAAAGATTTCACAAAATGAAATGCAACTGTTATCATTAAGAATAAAATGCTACCCGCTGAAAAACAAATGTCATAAATGGAAAAGATCACGAAAGTATGCAAAATATATGAATAAACAGTACATGTGGCATTATCGTCTACAATAAACAGTCAACAACAAAGTCAGTAACATTTCTAAAATTTCGAAATCAAAAAAAAAAAAAACTGGAATTTGACCTATCACTTTGAATTTTAATTATAAAATAGCAAGTAGCATCAAGAATGTGTGACTCTTGATCGTCTCAAGGTTGAAAGCTGATGATTTTAAAAAAAAAAAATAAAAATTTCGAACATATCAAATCTAAAAACTAAAAAGTGAAAACAGCTTTCAATAGCATATTTGCTTCGCACTTCAGATCTTCACCCTAAAGAGCTAACAAGGATTACTTTTCATTTCCCAATAAATTATCAATCCTTACCATCTAAAATTTAACTCATATTTTCAATATTCTCTCTTTTCACGACAAAAAATTATAGAAGATATGTGCTTTTAAAACGTAGTAAAAACCATGCAATACTCTTTCTTCCTTCTCATATCATTTTCGTTTCTATTCAAGGAATGATATAGGAATGATATACAACACATATTTTGCCTCGAACACATTTCAATGGGTTGCTTGGAAATTACACTAAATGAAAACAGTGCTAAATTAAACCAGAACAACTGATACATCAAATACAAGTAAAATGGAATGAATTGCGAAGTTGTAACAACAAAGCTAAAATTCTGCGCTATATATTTTATTAAATATAAAGCGGCATGAAAGTGATTTAATCTCCTTGTATAAGACATTCCAGAAAAAGAAGAGTGAGTCGCTTTTTCCTTCACGAAATTAAAAAAAAAAAAAGTGAAGACTCAGAACCGAATTGATAATACAAGTGCAAAAAGCAAGAATTCAAATTGAATTAACTAGCAGTAAGATCTGGATCATCTCCAATATAAGATCCTGCTGTAGATCCTGAATTCGGCCGCAATAAATCAGTACTATCACCACCAAAACTTCGAGTGCCACGTCCAATACTGTCTGTCTCACCTATAATAATAAAGCTATCAAGTTGGACCAAAAATGAAATGTTGAAAAGATTAGTTCGAAAAAGAAAAAACCGAAACTGCCATGATTCACTATGTACTCACTGCAGTAGAATTTAGTGTACAACACCATATCTATGCATAATATTTTAGTTGTTTTATTTCATACTAAGATTTTTTTATAATTCTACAGATAAGTGTATATTTCAACATCAGAACAAGATAGTTATGAAAAACTTTCGCCCTTTGTCACACATTTCAATAAAATAAACTGTATGCTTACTACCAAAACGTGAAGTACTTGGTCGATTCAGTCCAGAACGTCGTGCAAGTGCTGCTAAACTTTTTAATTGAGCATTTTCTCGAGTTAGTGTTTCATTGGCTTCATTTAGATCATCAATACTTCTTTGCAACTGTCGACACTTCGATCTTTCACGACAGGCTTCCTCTTCTAAATCTTCGATTTGTCGACGCATCTGACGATGACGTGCTATTGCACGATCTGCCTAAAATTATTATTTTTCTATGCTGATTGACGAAAAAAATTCGAAGTTTAAAAAAGAAAACCAAACCTACAACAAACTAAATTTATTGAGATTCCTTAGTAAATATACTAAGCTTACGGTTTCCTTCAATTGTTCTATATTTCGCTTCTCTTCTTCATTCATCATCAGTGTATCACTCAACTTTTTCTCCATACGTCGAATCTGCAAAGCTTACCATTTAAAAAAAAAAAAATTCAGTGCAACATTCAACAGATAAGAACTTCACGCAACACTCAGCCATTTGTTCATAAGCAAGAAAGAAATAACAATTCTGACAATTATTGTGGCATGATCAATGTTTACATAAAACTTCAGTGTGAAAAATAAGGATACTTGAAAATGCGTTCGACAAAAAAAAACACTCAAGAACACTTTTTGATAAGTTCAAATAAGTTAGAAATAACCTGTCGATTGGCTGTATTTCGTTCCTGTTCCATTTGAGCATACTGTTCAGTTGCTGCTTGAAGTTTCGCTTCTAGTGCAGCAATTTGTCCTCGGTTACGTGTTCGCATGTCATTATCCATTTCTTCTAACTGAAGTTTGAATTTGATAAAGCATTTGATAAGAATTACTGACAGCTATATTTCGCAAGCGTAATGAATAAAAACTTACTGCCATTTTTAAATCTTTACACTGTTTTTCAAAGTTTTGTTTATCTGCTTCTAATTTTTCACACAATGAACGTTCAGCTGCCAATTCTGTCGTCAGTGTTTCCAGCTGCAAACTTTTTGCTCAATATTGCTTAATAAATCAAAGCAGAAGTTGAGTTAATAAGGAAACATATACGTTCACAAAAGCAAAGAACCAGTTCTGCAAAATCTAAAAAAATAAACCCAGAACCCATTAAAGTAGAAAAAAAGAATGACATTCCACTCCTTATTTATGGTCACACTTAACCAACTTCTTTAGGCAAAATATTTACTTGAATTTGAGCTTTTTTAAGTTTGTCATTGCCCAATTCGGTGTTATTTTGTTCTTCTTCAAGCAATTCTTCCAGCTCATAAATTTTCGTTTCCAATCTCTTCTTATCTTCAGCACTCATCAAGCCACTTTTAACACTAAGCTCTTCGACAGCATCATCTCTTTCTCTTTCTGCACGCCGCCTATCTGCAGCTAATTGCATGTTTGTTTCCGCTGCTCTTGCCAATTCATCTTCTAACGATTTCAATCTTGAAAAAAAAAAGCCCACATTTTTTCTATGATCGCAATCCATAAAAGTAGAAGAAAAGGAAGCATTGATAACATTGATAAAAACATCGCAGCTAAATACAAATATAATCCGGATTCAGTTCAATTTTTATTCCCTCTCGACCCACAAAATGAATATTTTTTCTTACCTTTTCTCCATATCCTGCGTTCGCAGCAATGCCACATCTTTCGCTTCTTTCGACTCTTCTACTTCCGATTGCAAATCTTTTAAATGTAAACTGCATTTCCGAAGCTGACGTGAAAAATCCTCCTTTTGAGTAGTAATAGCTTCCAGTTGTTCCAATGAATGGTGCAGATCGGTTTCTAATTTACGCTTTTGTTGCACCAGAATTAGCTTAGCGCGGCGTTCCGAATCCAATTCAGTTTCCAGATCACCAAGCTGGAAACAAGTTCTTAATAGCTCAAATTCAGTAGCAAAAGCTAACTGATTTCCTGAACTTATTATAATCTTTATTCTTAAGAAATATTAAGAATACTAAAAAGTAGAAATACCTTAGAAATGCCGTTACAAATCATTAACGTTCCTAATTTTCGCATTTCCCTATTTTAAAACCAATCTTAAAAACCTTTCGCAACATCACTTTACGACGCTCATCGTCATCTCGCTCTTTACCATTGCGAATTTTTTCAAGTTCGGCATTCGTCGCCTGTAGCGTCACATCTAACCGCAGTTTTGCATCTTCAGTAAGCTGAAGATTATCTTCTAATTCGGTAATCGTCTCTTTTGCGTTTGCTAATTCAATCTCTAATTGTCTCTTCATTCGATCAAGTTCTAAAACACTGCGACCAGTATCGTCCTTCATGGTAACCTGAAATATATGAATTATATCGAGCAATTGAATGCAGTTCCAGAAAAACAGATGAACAACATATATCGAACAAAACCATTAGGTAACTCGGATTTTCGCAAATTCATATTAATTTTAATGAACATTAATGAACAAAATCAAAGATTCATAAGTGTGAATGTAATGTATAATCTGAAAAAACTTCGGTATTATTTAATGTACGCAAAATTTACAGCATTATCGAGATCCAATTGTAGTGTATTTCGAATGTTTTCCAGTTCAGCAATTCGACTTTTAAGAAAATCAGTTTCCTTTGCTACCACCAGTGAATTTGATTCATGATCACGAAGCTTTAAGCATACAAATTTTAAGTCATCTCAAAGACAAAAAAATTATAATCCAAAAACACTCAAAAGACGTCTACTCTAACTTGCCTGTTTCATTAATATCTATCATCAAAATACAACTAAAAGTTATTGCGAATCTGATCCTCCACCATTATTTATTTACATACCTAAATTGAATTCCCACTTATATCTTGCAATCGAGAACGGGACTCACACTTTATCTGTTGTTACTCATATTCATATTTCACTAGAGAAACTATTTAAATAGGACGATTATTTTGCGGCTGTTATTCCACTGTTATTCTCTGGAAACTGCTAAATCTTTGCAGAATAATTTTAGAGATACCTCTTGTGCCAGCTTATCTCTTTCTGCACTAACTTTTGTCACATTTGATTTTTCTTCTTCAAGCACTTGATCAAATTTTCGTTGTTTCTTTTCCATTTCACGTACATTGAACCGTAATCTATTCAGATCATTTAGCATATCTTCATTCTATAAAAAAATTTGATCCTCTACTATAATTTTTTTTTTTTCAAATTCCATAAATAGAATTACAATTTCACTGATAAACGACAAGTCTGAATCCATTTAAAAATGTAAAGTCTCGCTAAATAAAAAGAAAGAAAAGACATTAGGTTTCAAGGAAAACCGTACATGTGGCGAAAAGTTAACACTGGAAATAGGAAATTTAGAAGACTGGGAAGACATCCATATATTACAGTAAGCTGTTAACTAATTAAAATATCCAGAATATCCGAGTGATATTCAAAGACAACCAAGCTAAAAAACGTTAGCCACTACTCATTTACATTCTATTCGGGCTAACTAAAAAATTTTCTGCAGGATATCAATTTCTTCTTAATTATAGATAATAATTAAAAATGTATTCATTAAAAAATGCTGTTACTGTTTCACAACGATAATAAAATTTTTACTAAATTTAAGAACTGAAGATGAAGAGGATCGGTTTACCTCTTGTAGCAATTTTTCTTTAGCTTTCTCATTTCGAGCACGAGCATACTCACTTTGTTCTAGCTCCTTCTTATAAGTTTCCAACTCTTTGGTCAGTTTTTTACGTAACTCTTCGGTTTGTAGAAGTAACTTCTCATCGTTCATCTTTTTTGTATCAGTCAGTTGCTGCTTAAGAGAATTTATTTCCTGCAAATTGCTTTGTAATGTGATGCTTATTTACCAATAAAACAATGAGAAATTCAACTGTCCCTCAAGTAATTATAAATCTCAGAATTTATTGATAGCACTTATATGGCCAGAAGTCCTAGTTTTTACTTTTTTTCAGTTTATAATTTTGAACGGTCAGAGATTAATTATCCTACAACTGTGAATACCTATAATAATACAATACTCTACAATTATAAATTCCCAAATCATATCAAACCTTTTCATATTTCTCAATGGTAAATTCATCACGCTCTTTATTTTCCTGCAAACTTTCTAATTCATCATCTTGAATTCGTAACTTTGCCCGAAGTGCTTCGTTTTGAGACTTTTCTAAATTGATCGAGTCGCTTAAATCAGTGATCTGAAAAGCCAGCCTTCTTTTAATATGCCAAATTATAGACATCCAATTGCATCGATGAATTTCTTTGAGGAGTTTCCTAATAAAGTATTTAAATAAACAGCAAAAAGGTCACCACAACATAATGTGCAGAAAATGTTGTTTGATTTCTTTGTGATAAAATTGAATCAACAGAATAATTTTGACATGAAAACAGACCTGAGTTTCTGCAGCTGCCACTTTCTTATGCAAAATTAAAACAACGTTTTCACTGCTTTCCAGTTCCTGAGTGAGTCTTTCAACCTCTGACTGTACCTAAATTTATAAAAGAAAATAGATTTTCCATAAAAAACCAATAAGTATAAAAAAATGGAAAAAATAATAAAACCATGTTATATAATCTTCCTTTATATACAACCTTCCTGAAAGGAAATGCATAAGAAATACGATTGTATTATTCGACAATTTTGCACACACAAATATTTCTAATAAATGACGATTCATAAAAGATTCACTTTTATCAGAGCAGATTTTAATTCTGTAGCATTTTTTTCAGCGTCTCGAGCCTTCGTTTGCCACTCATTCAATAAATTTTCAACGTTCTTTTTTTTCCGTTCATTTTCCAAATAAGCAGACTGATTGCGCTGAATTATGGCGATTTTATCTTGCAATTCATTTTCCATGCCGTTTTTTGTTTTAATTACCTAAAACATAACGATAGAATAATTCATATGTTCTCCAAATCGTCATTTTCTTATGGTAGTAAGAAATTTATGAAGTTTCTACATGAACCCGACATTCCGGATCAAAATAATATAGAACACAAGCATCTAAAAAAAATGCTATATTGTCACAATATAGAAGAAACCTGCTGCATTTGTTTTTTTAATTGCTCATTCTCGATTCTAATAGAATCCAATTGTTGTGAATGCTTAGCTTTCAATTGTGCAATATTTTGCTCATGTTGTGTAGCTGCTTCCTCAAGCTCTTTCTGTAAGTTTTGAAAGTAAAAAAAGAAAAAACTATAAGCTTCCTTCAAGTTGCTTAGGTCGATTTATATGTCGACGTAGTTAAAATCTTTTTCGCTTAAATGAATAAACACACTTTAATCGACAAATACTGCTTCTCACGTTCAGTTCGTAATTCCACATTAGCTTGTGTTTTATCTTGTGATTCCATTAATTCCTGCTTCAGTGCTTCTAATTCTTCCATAAAATCTCGTTTTCCCTTTTCTGATTTTATTCTGTAAAAAATACTAGCAAAGAATTCAAAATTGTTCTATTTCTAGAATCAAAAATTTTCGAATTCATAAAGAAGTGAGAAATTCCTAGCAATCTACAAGATTCTTTTAAAAAAATCTGTCCATCGAAAAATTAGTTCATACCTCAAATTTTTCTCATTTTCCAAATCTTCTTTAACTTCTTGTAATTCCAACACTAATTCTTTTGTCTGTCGCATCAAATTTTGTTTTTGTGACTGCTCTTCATCGCTTCTAAATAAAAAATCTAATCATTATATAACCGAAGTCCAAATGACTTAACAAAGTCAGAAATTTTAAATTCAAACTAATACACGAAATCAGCAAGGATAAAGTGAAACAAATAATAAATGAAATATAACAGAGAATGAAAATGACAAATAAATCACTCTAAAACAACAAGTTGTTGATAATAAAAGTTCAGTAGCTCGATTAAATAAATAAATATGAAATACCGTGTAAGAATAGCAATGAGTTCTTCATCCTTTTTTTGAAGTTGAGCACTTAACTCGTTTAACTTCATTAAAAGTCCCTCATTCTCGTCTCGAATACCTCGAATTTCTGTGCTAAGTTTTTGGTTTGCTGCTTCCGTCACTTCGATATGCTGGATTGACAAAAAATAAATGAAGAGATAATTTAAGTTATATAAAAATAAAGCATCCTATCCATAGGCAACTTCAAAGTCAGTATTTAAAATATTTAATATTTTTGCTTTTGCTATGTAACTATAAATGAAGAGATCATTTAGAGCAGAAGTTTATTTAAATGAAAAGAGATAGAACCACTAAGTTCACGATAGGATACAAAACGATAGATTGTAGCTATTGCGCTTGTTATTATGGATTTTCTAACCTTCTTGATTTTTGCATTTTCCTCTTCATAATCTGCTATTTTTGTTTCCAATTTCGCTCTTAATTTAGCACTCTGTCGATTTCGTTCTTCTTCGGCAACAATTTTTTCAGTAGCAGTTGTAAGTCTCCCCTCAAGCAATATCTTTTCTTTTGACATCTGAAAAAATGAGTGAATAGATGAAATCAGTAAGTTTTCATAAATTTTTCAAATTAGAAATTATAACCTTTTCATTTGTTTCAAAACACTGATCCTTCTCTAAGGTGATATTTCTCAACTTTTGGTCAACAGAGGTGTAAGACAGTTGTAACTGTTCGTATTTTCTATTTCCCTCACAAAGTTGATCTCGAAGAGTTGCCGCATCATCCTGAAACATTTTAATAATATGATACAAATTGAAAGAAACCATAGCTAAATTAGCTATAAAAGTTCAAAACTTAATTGATCATTTTTAGAAAAAATCTGGGTGCGCAAATGAATAGATACATAAAATTGAAGATTTCAACAACAAAAAAAAAATGTAATGAAAAGTCAAAGATTTTCAATAATTTGGATATCAAAAACAAATAATTTTTCGAATAATTTGAATATATAAAAAAATACCTGTAGTTTTTTACATTCTGCAGAGACGGAAACATATTCAGCTTCCTTTTCTTCAAATTTCTGTCTGAAAGTTTCGACCTGTTTCTCCAGTTGCATTTTCACGGATACCAACTGATCTTTCATATCTTCTATTTCCGTTTTCTCTACGCTTTCCTCTTCCAGTAATTTTTGCAATTCAGCACGATCATTTGCTAGCTAAAAAATTTTGCAAAATAAAAAAAATCAACGTTTTATTAACCCGGATAAACTTCAAGAAAATTTACAAAACTCTTCACTATGCCTGGACGTGATGTATTTAACAAACTGGAATTTATATTCTCGTTAAAAAATTGCCTAATCTACTGTTTTCTCTTTTCATATTCAAATAATAAAACCCCAAAAACCTAACCTGTTCAATGCGAGTCGTATAATCCGACAAAGTATATTCCTTTTGCAGCAGTGTATCTCGTAGAGATTTCAATTCCGATTCCTTCGCAGCTATGGCTTGTTCACTTGCAGTAACTTCCAAAAGAGGTTTAACCTTAAAAGGGTATAACTTATCATCAACTACACCTTTAAAAAGATACAAATAAAAATTATGTTTACCAGCTTAATGCAATGAAAAATCTATAAGTAGAAAAGAGAATTCCAAATGCATTCTTTGTCAAAATTTAAGCTCTGCTACCGTTATGAAATGATTCAAAATCTAGGAAACCTTAGCAAACAACCTCCACCAGTTCCAATCTTTCAAACGCGACCATGCTAAACCGTTCCTTTGGATTATCCGAATTGCAGAAACTTGCTGCAAAAGTTTCTTAAAAGCACGACGAGCAAGATATCCACGACAGCAGGTTTGAAACTGAATTACAAAATGTTGTAACTCTTTATCACGCATTTCTTCTAAGGCAGCAATAACACCAGATCGCAAAAATACTTTTGACTGACCGATACGAAAGAGACTTGCATCCACTTCCAGTGCAGCAAGAATTCGTCTAAAAGAATGTCATTTCATTCATGAATAACATGAATTTCAAGTATTACTCATTATCATCGAAGTTAATTGACATAAAAATGATGAAGGAAAAAAGAATAGATTTTAAGATCAACGCTGAAAAAAACTCATACTTAACAGTTTCCTTTCCATCCAAGAAACCAGGAGGAATAGTTCCACGATCAACGAGCAATTCGTATCGCCTGCGAAAGTCATGAAACGGCGCTCTATTTGGATAGCCCTGTCGACAAATACGGATGCCTTCCAAAACACCATTACAACGAAGTTGATCTAATACTAAGGTCCCATTAATGACACCAGCCTAAAAGTGGTTACAAATGCATTTCGTTGAATAAAACTTCACTATAAAATTGGTCTTAAAGCATCTTTAACCAACGATACTGATCCTAAAACACCTTCGACAAAAACATGATCTAATCATTTTTGATGAGAAGTAAATCACATTACTCAAATACCACAGTAAGTGCCAGTTTGATTTTTTGAGTGTTTTACCTTTTTTTCATAATTTGGAATAATGCATCGAACGAAATGGGGAGAAGTATTCTGCAATGTTTTCATTAGTCGTGACAGCTGTTCTTTATACGTTTGTCCGACCGTGCGAAACATTCCTCGTTTTGTTCGTGCGCCAAATACGTAATCGGTTTGATCAGTCATACCCAGACTTGCAAATTCTGCTATAATAATATTAAAAATAAGAACAGAACGTTAGATTTTAAAAAAAAATCATAATTTGCAGTGTGAATTGATTCAAATTCGAATAAATGATACTATTTGACGGGGATAGTACAATTCTTTGAAGGCATTGTTCAGGTTTAGTGTTCAGTAGTAGTAATCATTTTGAATGCTTTCCCAAATCCATAAGATTCAAAAAGTAACTTATTTAAAACATCCAGAAGAACAGACCATTCTTCCACATTTCTGCTACAAGTTGATCTCCCGAATTTTGAAGTAAAAACACAACCGAATCATTCAGTGGATCCATATTTTTCATTAACCATTGATCTACAAAACATAAATTTTTAATTTATAAAACTGACTGATTTATTCCAAAAAAGTTATATGGCTAAAATTTCAGTTTACTGCAAACACCTCACATATAATCATCCCTGTGCAAATTACCTGCAGAATAATCTACACGGCCTGCATAATGAACAATAGCAAAATCAGACTTCGTCCTGAATTCAGGCACAATAAATTTCGGGTGTTTTGACTGATTAGCAATCAATTTTTCCACGTATGACTTGTCAGTTGACTTCGGAAATATACACTGCTCATCCAACAATGATAAAACACCTAATGGCTATAAAAAAATAAACAGATTATATACTTTTTTATCAGAAATGATGTTCGCCTTCCGACAAATTTTAGGGCACCAGAAAGGTTTTCCGCATCACTAGAAATGGTCATTAAGAATTTTACGCATTTTGCAACATATTCACTCTACTAAGATTCTATCAGCATAGCAATACAACTTGTATGAAATAATTTCTAGACTGTTCATTTTATATTAACCAAAAAAATTCCATTTGTTCCAAACTTCCATACAAATAGGTCACATTCCATAATACATTAAAAATGCTTACTTTTTCAATAAGATCGATAGTCGGTTGCAAATCAAGGCCAAAGTCAATAAAACTCCATTCGATACCTTCCTTTCGATATATCTCCTGTTCCAAAACGAACATAGTATTATTGAATAATTGTTGTAATTTTTCATTCGTGTAATTGATGCATAATTGTTCGAAAGTGTTCAAATCGAATATTTCAAATCTAAAATTATGTGTAAGAATGTATATTTCACATATAAATACAATTTTGATTTTTTTTTTTTTTTTTGCTGCTTATGACTAAAAAATTAAGGATTAGAATTTTTAGGGTTCTAGTTAAACGATATATAAACGTTTTATGAAACCTGATAATATAGCAACTTAACAGTACTTCAGAATACTTTATATCTCCGATTTCAATGCTTAGTAATTTTTCTATAATCAATGTCATTCTTATAATTAAATGGATTTTTTTTGGAAGAAACCCATCAAAACTTCAAAATTTACCCGGCAATATCGAGTATTCCGATGAAAGTTGTCCCACTGCTTGTAGAACGCCCCAAAGAACGATTAATCCGCGTCACCAGCCATCGAAACATTCTTTCATAGCTTGCTTTTGCAATAGCTTCAACCGCATACTGAACCTGCTCACGGGTTTGTGCTTTATGCACATAATCACGACCAACCTGAAATTTGATTTCATGCATGCACATGCGCTATATATACACCTAATATATCTGAGTATGACTAATAGCTGAAAAATCACACTGACCTTTACCCTTGGTTTTAGAAATGCTTTTGCTAAATCCGAAACTGGCAATCCAAGTAAGCAACATATTTTTTGAGCAACTGAAATTAGTAATTTATTAAGATGAAATGAATAAAAAAAGAAAAGAAATCTAACACCAAACTTGTGACACAGTTAGCATCGAAATTCTAAAAAAAAAAAGACATCGACTACGTAAACGATCAAAATATTAAGCACATTAAAATGAAACGAAACCTCTGTCATCGACGAGTATTGCTTGATCAGAAGTACGATCTTCAGTAAAGGATAAGTTTCCTAATAGTAAAACAGCACTTGTTATTCGCATAATTGCTGAAATAATAATTCAGCTGTTCTATTATTTTCAAATAACAAAGAAATGTTACTGCTAGATTTAAAGTCCAACTTCACTGTTAGTGCTAAATATCATGTTCACCCTTCTGAAGTAAATATTTGAAAATCTCACGATGTAATTCATAGAATAATGAAATGCAGATAAATCTAAACAGCAATCCAGAACAGTTGAGAGTTTTTACTACAATTCCGGAAAATGGATATAGTATCTTCTATTTCAAACTGGATGATTTAACTTACTATCGATGTCTGCATCTGAAAAATCCATCCCTCTCATTGCATTCAAAGTAGTTGATAATTCGGAAGCATCATCAATATTCGGGATGATGAGACTTCCATTAGTAAGGAAACGATAGCTGTCGATATTATCCATTAAAAACATGCCTGCAAAATAACTGCTTTATTTCAAAATCAGATTGAAAATTCACTGCATGATTGGTTATCTTTTTGTTTTATACTCAAAACTTACTCTAATTAAAACAAAAAATAATCCTGACACTACGAAAATATTCTAAAAAACTGATAACAAAACGTCTTAGAAGTATTCATGGCACAATAAAATGTAGCATAAAGCTGAACAGTGGTGATCTAGAACAGTTAACAGTTTTTACTACACTCATATGCCATTTCAAATTGGATTAATAGATTTACACGTTTTCCATCATACGGAACACCCAAATTTAAACACTGTTAAATATTCAAAAAATAATATACTTTTTTTGTTAACAGATGAACCAAGCAATAATTGATAAAAAAAGTGGAATGATCGCTCATTTGTTGCTTGCCGAATAGTACGCGACTTTTCCAGCAAATAATGTTCGATATTTGCACCAGATATACAACCACTTTGGTCGAAATTTATCCTGATAAATTTACCCTACAAAAAATTAAGTAGCTGAACTAATAACTTCGAATAAATAAAGATGAAAAATCTAAAACTATCGATTTCTTTTATTCCTAAAATTCATTTTCCTATAGAGAAAAAAAAATCAAAAATCTGAAATCTTCCAGCTACATTAAACAATGATTCATTTCCAATTTTCGAATTACATACAGAAAGGAAACTACAAAAATAAAAATCGCTAAATAATGGTAAAAGAAAAAAGAAAAATGGTGTAAAACAATGAAATGAAAATTGTAAAAAAAAGTCGAATTTTAAGAAAATGATCATCTAGTTATCAGAAATCAGTCGAAATCACAAATAATAAAAAGAGAAGTTTAACTTACAAATCTTGAAGAATTGTCATTCTTAACTGTTTTACTGTTACCGAAAGCCTCGAGTATTGGGTTCGCTAGTAGCAACTGATCTTCCAACTGACCCTATATTTTCAATATCTAATATTTTCTTCTCAGAAAAGAGCACTTGCTATCATAACAAGAAAAAAAAAAAAACTTACTACAGATGCGGAGCTCTCCGAAAGAGGCGACAATGGCAATGGTATCGGCAACTGACTCTGCATAGAAAAAAAAATTAAATATAAATAAATAATTTCAAACAATAATAAATAAAATTTTGGATCTGAAATCCCATTGTCATAGTCCAAAATTTCTAAAAATTAAAATTTGCGTAAATTCACATCTTTCCAGAAAATCTGAGAGAGATTTTCACTGAAAAAAAAAAGTTTCATGAGAAACACAACCTTTCCAGGACTCCTTCCAACTGATGAGCGCATGTGCCGTCCAGCACCTGCAATATCTGCTAAATACTGGATCACTTTCTTCGTATTTTCCGTTTTTCCAGCACCTGATTCTCCTGTACAAAGAATGGATTGATCTTCTCGCTCTGAAATTTCAGAAAATTCAGACTTATTCTCCTAGTACTTCATCTTTACATTCCTGATTTCTACAACTTTCACTACCATATAAATTCACAAAAACGAACGATGCAACATTTCGTGATAAGCACAATCGGTCACAGCGAACACATGAGGAGGTACTTCGTGTCGCTTTCGTCCACGATAACTTTTCATCACTGTTGCTGAATAGATATGAGGCATCCATTTGTACGGATTGATGACAACACAAAATAAGCCGGAGTACGTCTGCAGATAGAAGGTATATAAACGATATGCACTGCAGTGAATTTCTTGACCTTTATCTTATCAACTGGCATATCAGCAACTTTAACCTCAACAGTTAGCCTCCAATAAATTACTACTAGCATTAGCTGTTTACATAAATAATTAGAAACACTGTCGCAAACTTACATAAATAAGCGATGAATAGTATCGCTGCCGAAGATTGTGTAATACACAAGCTTCGTTTAAATATGAAAGCGATGACATATCCTCTATTTTATCTAATTTAGCAGGATTTACAGATTGCAACTCTTCCCGGCACACAGTTTTTTCACGACCCGTGTCTTCAATTCTCAATAATACACGATCATCTGCTACATTCTGCAACATAACGACAACTTATTTCAGCTAAAACACTTTGCTAACTTCATAATGATACCACTCCTCAAAAACAGTCACATAATAATCTCTTATCCTGCATGAACTTAACAAGGTTAACCTTCGTCAACAGTGATTCAGAATTAAAAGTGATATCTAATTCGTAATTTTCTTAACTCCCAAATGCAAGTACTGCACTGTTTCACATCACAATTTCCCTATTATTCGATTTGCTTACGTGTAACTGAAGTAGATATTCTCCACAAAAATTTTATTTATTGGAGCAAATCATAGAATCATAGATAAAATGATCAAATTAGCAACAAAAGTCGAATATTTAACTGAATGAATATCGCTGAATCAACAATATCAAGCTTAGTTCACATAATCTCATTTTAAAAATTACTATAATTGATTTGTACCAATAAAAATTACTACGGGAAAGCTCAAATTACACTTTGTAAAATAAACTGTCTGACAAAAGTTCTACCTCAAAACTTACTCGAATTACGACACCTAACACAAATCCTTCGGCAGCATCTGGTACCCAAACACGTTCATCCTGTTTTGGATTCGTCTTATTTATAGTTCCCAGTTTCTTCATTTTAAGATTGAAATCGAAATCCAGGAACTACCAGTTTCGATGAAATAATGATCTACAATGATCTCTAACATGTATAATAGATGGTCAAATAGGTAAATTTAATAGAAAGACATATGTAAGCTGTAATAATCACAAAATATAATAATAAAGCAGTTGATAATTCAGTCTTCCATTAATGGTGCCTACAGATGAAATTAAACAAAGTTGACTGCGTGGAAGCTTCCAATGCAAATTTGCGACAGATATAATAAATGTATATAATACGCTATTTGAGAAGTTTAACACTATTAGAATAACCTCATGCTCTTTTATATACTTGACATTTAATTCCGGTCATAACGAACTACTACTACTTTTATATGTCAATTTCAAATTTAAAATTTCTGTAATCTGTAAATCTTAAGCCAAAATCTACTAAATTAGCATTCAAGCTTTAATTGGCAGTTAAAAATTAAAATTTATATAATTGCAATTATTTTAAGTCGTATTATCATTTTAATTGTGTTAAATATTGAATTTTCACTTTATCATTAAGGGATCACAAAAATGTTAAATAATTTCGTCTATTCTTATTCTATCACTTACAGTTAATTAATTAAGCCTTAAAAAAATAAAATGACAAAAACTTCACCATCTGTATGGGACAAAACAAACAAACACCGTAATGATGAAAAAAAAAGACGAGACAAAAGCAAGAGTTCAAATTCAACAGTTCGTTTGAAAATGGCGCGTTTTGCCATTATGAAAATAATGATTCCGAACCTTATGTATTTTACATGATTTTATTTACTATAGTATCTCAATGGCTATTATATTTCGCAAAGTTTTATGCTAATTAGTTTTTATCCTTTTGTCCATTCTTTTTTTCCTTTTTCTTTTATTCATTGATTTTTTTAAATATTCAACTGAAAAATATATATATATATATATATTATAATTTACTTAATTATCTAATTATTTAATTAGCTTTGAGAAATAAAAATTTGTTAAAATCAAACGTAGAAGAAATGAAATAACTATGTCTTGTAAAAGTAACTTAATATTAAATATATTTTCTCAAAAATATTTCATTTTCATAATTTTTATATAAACATTATGATATATCACAAAAGTTAAAGAATAATTATGATAAATCGTTTTTCTTCTTTTCGTTTAAATTTTTTCCTTCATTTTTAGTTATTTCTTGTTTAAATATAATCATTTCAATTAATGGTGATACATTATGATAAGTTGTGAATTGTGAACATTATGAAGAGCAAAAAGTTTCATTTTTTTACTTTTTTTTTACTTGAATTATTGTTGAAAACTTTAATAATTAAGCTTTTTTTTAAATTTATTTTATTATTATTGCTGTGAAATGATCAAATCATGTATAACCAGCACCCAAGAAATGCATATAAAATAATCAATTAAGTTGAAAATATCTATTTTTTTTTTTTTTTAATGGATTGATATTTTTAAATAGTTTTAATACTTTATTAAAATAAAATTTGATAATAATAAAACTTTTTTCCTTCTTTAATATACAAAAACTCTTAGCGTAATTTAATCACCTTTTAACACATCAAAATTTAAAATGCATTTGAGATTCAGGTCTAGAAACTACAAAAATGATCAATATTTTCAATCTGTAGTTGCAATTTACTTTAATAATGTGTATTCGTGATATTTGATCAATGTATCGTTCTATTAACCAGACAAATCAAAAATTTATAATTGAAATACAGAAAGAAATTCTGGATGCAGACTCTTCCCTTTCAATGGAGAATGCAGTGAAGACATTTGAGAATGAAACCATTGTCCTAAAAGAACAGTTATGGATAAGCAAACCGCAATAATTAGTGAATTGGAATATAGACAATGAGCATTGCTTAATACTGCAAACATTTGCGGTGTTCCCAACACTTTTTGATAACCTGAATAGAAATTCCGTAATGCTTCTGAACAGTTTTCTCCCTAAAATGGAATACATTTACTCTCATGTCTTGATAATATCGAGAATTAGTTGTATTTTAGATACAATCACTTGTAATGTATTCATTCTAACAGATTTGTTTGCAAATAATTCAACAAATATTCACCTGACAGCAGCAATCACCATTTCCACTGCATACTATAGGACCACCAACAAGTAGATCCATATTACGACAAACATTACCAAGATCTTCAGCACAGCTCATTTCTACACCTCCTTCATCAACCAGCGAGACACATGCGCTACAATCGGTACGTCTGTATAATTGTTCGGATGTCGGATAGGATGATCTGTTTAAACCTTTAGAACGACTATTTCCTATCCATTGTTGGCGATAGACATCACAAATTACACCTGGAATTATCGACTTCACTTGAATTCATTAAAGAAATTGTACATTTTGTTTTGGCAGATGTTTCAGTTTCATTCTTTGAATCTTTTAAATACCTCTTTTGAGTTGAAGAATGCCTCGAAGGAAGTGATTACGTAGTTCATTATAGCAATTAGTAGAAGCACAGCAACAAAGATTATAACCACAATAGGTTGGACTTCTGCTACACATTACTCCTAAATGAATAACTTCCAATATAAAAATAAAAAAAACTTATTCGATACAGGATTAAAAGGTACAGAAAAGCTTATTTCATACAGTATTAAAAGGATCTCAACTTCAGTTTTAACCACAATATAGTCATAATATACAGTATTATAGAACTACCACATTCCATTACTGATCCTATCACAGATGCAAAAAATTTTAGTAGTATAAAAAGAAAAACCGAAAAATTCGTTGAGAGTTTTACTCTCCTGATGCCCGTTGCGACGACAACCGCTTATAAATATATTGAAATGAAGAACTCCAAAACAAAAGGAACAGTTAGTTGCCTGGAATTGATACATCTAAATAATAATGTTAATGTTGAGAATGTTTACTTGGAAAGAAATTTAAAGAAGAGTTAAAGATTTTCACTCCCATCACATTGATACAGTGAAATTTTCTTTGCGACGAATTTGCAACTTCGTTTTATTGCAAAGATAAATTTTTTGATTTTAATGATATTGACATTTTTAACAAAAATTTAACAACCACAGATCTCTTTTTATGACACTACAGACCAAAACGACGCTTCTCGGGATTATATTTGCCCCGGGAACCAAAATTACGTTCAAATCCTGTGAATAAACATGACAAACGTAGCATAGCACCGCATTCCTACCAATATTTACTAGAATGGAACAACAAAGCAACAACCGCATGTAGCAAAATAAATTTTATCACTAGATCGTAATCCACATTAACACACATTTTGAAACAATGAGAATGTGGATAAATCTCACCTAGATCGTTCATTTTCTTAAAAGTGAAACTTCAGAAATGCTGCCACTTTCCTTAGACAGCATTACAAATCATTGAGAAACATGAATAATCTTTTTTGTATAAAATGGCAATTTCCACTTCCATACCTAGATCCAAATATGCAACTATCTGCTCTACATATCAAATTTTATCAATATTTTGAAAGCAGCATGGGTTAAACGAAAATGCAGGAAACGGTGGCAAATGTAAAAGTAGATACTTATCACAAAAGCTTTAAATGTTGAACTTTTTCGTTGGATTCGTGATAGTCTGGAAAAGCAATTCTGCAGAAAATGTTGTTCCTTCGGTTGTTTAGTGACACACCGCACTTAATTATTTTATTAGAAACCGACTACAAAAAAGAACACATTTTTTATACAGGAAACAAAAAAAAAAAAATTGTAATCCACGCTAAAAACTGTGTACAAATCAGATCATCATTGTTACTTATATATCACGAAAAGCAAGACATACATTTTGGATGGAAATGACACTTCGGTAATGCTTCACTTTTTTAAAACTATACAATGTTCTAATAACTCTCTAAAAGAACAAAGATAAAATAATCATGGACTAGGAAATTCTCTTTTACAAATAAAGAATGTACAAGTAGAAAAAAATTAGTTGTCATAGGCCGATATTTGCATTACAAAGACCAGACCATTTCAAATGCTTTCGTTATGCCAACATCATAGGAATTGAAATGCAGCAAACCAGCAAGAAGACAAATGCTAAGTATGTAGGAAACTGGTCCCTGGACAATTTTTGCAGCTGTTGTCCCAAGCACAAATGCACGACCATAATCCTAAATACACAACTTTATAATAATAAACTTTCAAAGCATAATTTCGAATAAATTCAATGTATGGAAACAAACAACATGTATTTTGCTGCGCTCTATTACTGGACACAATTTTCTGTTAGCAACTCTTCTTTTAAGACTTTACACTCATTAAGCTATTTATGTTTAGCCATTCTAACCCACCATTCTCATATGTTATGCAAGTATATTTGTCCATTCTCATGCAAGTTATGCAAGTAACATGTTTTGATGCGTTGTTCTGTTTGTTCAAACCGCCTTAAATAGATAACATCTTCATTTCAATTGCTCGATACTACACAGTATTGAGAGTTCGAAAAAACCTTAGTCAAGGAATTTAATTAAATTTTTTTTTCTTATCTTGAAGTTAAACTATAAGACTTACACTCAGTACACCATGAAGACCCCAGTGGACATGCAATGTGATTGCAACTGCCAAAGCAGTATCCATGACTGGTCCATGGATAAAGTAAGCAGCTGGAAGAAGTGGAAGCATTGCAGCCGAAAAGTACTTCTCGATCTTGAACATCGTTGAATGATTATGCGTCTCTTTGAATTTTTTTCGAGCGCTGCAATAAAGAGCTAAGTTAATTCAGAAGAAATATTTCAATCACCTTATAAAACAGATAATTTATGGTAGCTACAGTCAATATATGATGATGTAATGACTTGTCAATTAATTAAAAAATTAATCTCATACATTAAACACCAAAAATACAAGAGTTCAAAAACACTCTATAATTTTATAAACCTGAATTTTAGATAAAAAAATTTCGGTTCAAATTTGCTCTTTCAATTTTAACTTGTTTAAAAAGAAAAAAAAAATAGCCAATCATTTTGGCAAGACTTAAATTTAGGGAATGCTTACACAATGGGATCAAATTGTGGACGATCCGAGACTACTTCTGCCAGGGATCGCTGTAGTAAGCGAGGATAAACAAATCTCGTGCTTACCGGTACAATACGACCAGTGGCTGACAACATCTGAAATACACTGAATACTTACAGATTTCATTTATAGACTCAAATTTTCCGTTGCATTCTCATCGTTACTAGCAGTTAACTCATTCTAACAGAACTTAACACTCAATTTAGCGCTCATTCGCACTCATTCCCTATCACTTATAACACCCCGCCACCAGTCATCACCTACCAACCCCATCACACCATCTGCTAATTCATGAACACCGGCAAATAAACGTTCCATGGTAAGAAAGAAATAACAGCTCGTCCTTGCAGTATGAACATTTCACGGTTTGATATCCATTATGAAAAATGTCGTGTCATGTGATGATGGTATGATGGATATATACCGTATTCGGCAGTTGTGTCTGGAAGAGAAAGAGGATTGCAAGGTTGGTTGTTTCAGCTCCATTTTTCATGAGGTTCCACTCACAAAAAAGAATGAACTAAGCGATATTTAGTTCACTATAGCATATTGGAAAGGAACAAACAACTTGGATTGTTTCATTTGTTCATTTTGCTTGTATCATAAACTGAACCCCGAACTGTTGGATAGTCGAGTCTCCTGTGAACATAGAAGAGATTTATTGGGCAAACAGGCTTTATAAATGCACTTACATGCTTTCTTTATTTGCTTATTCATATCCTAAGAAACTTTTTACAGGAAGGTTTAAATGGAATTCTGAAATCGCTAGAAGTACATCCACCGACGTGGCCTGAGAATGTTGCATGTCTTATTAGAGGTAATCTGGAGTAGTTTATTTTTGTTGTTTCATCCATCTTTAAATATTTTCGTCCTAATATTTTGTAATAGAGATGAAATAAATTATATAAATTGCTTAAAAGTATTATATCAATTTTGTTTTCAGGTGCTCAGAAGCTTCAAGATGATTCGCAGTTGCGAGTTCCAATTGCAAGAGATTCATATTTGAATTGCAAAATTACTTCCGAAGAATATGTATGTTTTTTTTTTTCACCCCCTTATAATTTGTTTTAATTTTTCCCTTATGTTTTTACCATATTTCAAGTTTTCAGAATACTGATGATTTACCTTGGCAGAATGGGTGTAGCGTTGCAGGAGCCCTTAATGAAAGATATCGAGGCCGTGTAGTCAGTGTTTCTAATCTTACGAGTTTGGAAATCCAGAAGCCAAAGCAAGAAATTGTGGTGGATTTGGAACATGATGCCGAAATATGTTACGAACCAGGCGATGCGTTTTATTTCGTTGTGCCGAATACTCGGGAAGAAGTGGATTTCATTTTAGAAAGGTAATTCTGTCTAACTCTTTAAAAAACGTAGAAGCACTTCCAAGTGTACTGCGAAATGAAGATGGCAAAAGAGGTATTCGGTGTTCAAAAGATAAAAACTTTTAATATTGTTGTAGCCATTAGTGTGCCTATGCGATGCTTCTGAGTTAGTCTGTTCCACATGTTTGGTTTTGTTTGTGTGTAGCTATACCATCAAGAATACATACACTGCATAGTTGGGAAATTTTCAATCTTCCAATAAGTAAAACTAAATGATAGCAAAGCGGCTTTTAGGCTAACCTATCGCATGAAAAGTGCAGCTGTTTCAGAAATCTTTTTCGGTTTGTTTGATTCATAACTGCTTGTCTTTTCCAAATATTATGTCTTTTGCTTAGTTTTCAGGATAGGATTTTTAGAGGCAGCAGATCGGAAATTAGTTGTAACTGTTAAATCTCAAAATGCAGTGAAAAATACAGCCATACCACCGTATATACCAGAAGTTTCTACTCTAAGATACATTTTCACGTGGTGTCTTGATATCAGGCGATCGCCAGGCCGAGTAAGTTATATTTTTCGAGAACATAAGGTTACTTCTTAGAAAAGTATTAGTAAGTCTTTTCTATAGTTTTTTTTTTTTTATAATTTATAATTTTTTGTTTCCATTTTTAGCCTCTTCTTCGTGTACTTGCGGAATGTACAGAAAGCGAGTATCAAAAAAGACGCATTCTGGAACTGTGTAGTGCTCAAGGAGTTGAAGAATTCACAAAATTTGTTCGTCAGGTAAATCTTAAAATATATTTTCAGATTTATTTGCTGTTAGTCATCGAATTAATAGTTGTCTTACCAATCATAATGTCACGTTCGTTGAATTCTTCGGCTTTCTCATGATGCGTCTCCGCAGTTGCGATACTGTACAAAAAAAAAAAAAAAAACTATCGTTTAAAAATAAGTTGAACTTCTACTGGTCAATCTGAAAGCATACTAATATACGCGAGTAGATCTTAGAGTGTTACGATTGGCTAATTTCATTGTTCTTAGTAACGTTAATTACTTTGAAAGAAATTGAATGGAATGAAATGATTTCAGGCTGGTCTTTCGTTGGTTGATTTTCTGCTAAACTTTCCTTCATGTAGACCTACCGTTGAACGTTTGATTGGTTAGTTAAATATTTTTCATTCTGAATTCTACATGTTTATTGAATAATTTACTGTAATATAAATTTTTAAGAACTGCTGCCTCGTTTGCTTCCGCGACCATACAGTGTCAGTTGTATCAGGGAACTTTGGGGAAAACGTATACGTTTCATTTTTTCACTATTGCACTTTACTGCCACTGAAGGCCGCTGTTTCCATCGTTTTGGTTTATCATCGGGATGGCTATCAACGCTGAAAAAAGGACAACAAGTTGTGGTTAGTTGTAGTACTATTTTCAATTTCAGGTCGCTTTTCAGTTTCTAGATATTGATATGAGTAAAGCTAAGCAGAATTCATGCTTCTTTACTTTTAGATAAATTAGAACTGCTGATGAGGTTTTGTTTTTAGATGCTTCTGAAAGAATCGTCTCGTTTCCGTTTACCTCCACCGGTGCATTCTTCTTTTGATCTTGCACGTACGCCGCTTATCATGGTCTGTACAGGGACTGCACTAGCACCATTTTTATCTTTCCTACAAAAGTTGTAAGTTTTTCACTTTCAAACACTAGTTTTTCTTCATTGAAAACTGCTGTTCAACTTTGTAATATGTAATTCTAGAGCTTTCTTGGAAGCCGAGAAATACAAAGTGCGACGAGAATTGTATTTTGGAATTCGAAATGTTAAGAACGATTGCATTCATTAGTAAGTTATAAATGGATCAGCATCATCTGTGTGTGCAACTTTAGTAATGATCTCCATTAGAGCTGTAGTATGGGATAATCTCACTTTACATTTCAGTACGCGTTGAATGTTTTGAGGAGCCATGCCATTTACTGGGTGAAAGAGTTGCCATTTGAAATGAATTCCATATAATTTCCAACTCGTTTTTTTTTTTATTAAAATTCACTTTTCTCTTAATTCAGTTAAGTAAAGTTCTAGTTACTAAGCTTTAAGTGTAATATTTTTTCTAGGGTGCATTGTATCAAACCTGTATATGCGAGATCAGAGTCAAATTATTCATAGTGCAGTGTTTTTCTTCAGTTTCAGCAGAATAAAACAACTGCTTAAATTTTACTTTACAGTGAGGATATTATGCGATCTGTAGACGAGAACATCCTTTCACACGTATCTCTTTGCGAATCGCAGCCATATAATGATATCTCTAGTAAAAAGTACGTGCAAGACGCCCTGCAGGAACGCGGTGGAAAAGTGCGGTTTGCTTCTGATTATTTATAGATTTTTATTTGAATCACAATCCTCCAAAAGTTCTTTATATATTTCTGCAAATCTTCAGTATTCCTTAGTTATATGCAACTTTGAAACGCGCATCCAATTAACGTTGATTTTTAGATTTCGGATATACTATCACGGAAAAATAAAGACGAAAATCATCCTGCAATCATTTTTGTATGTGGCTCCTCGAAGCAAATGTTGAAACATGTGGCAGATGTCTTTGTACACATTTTCAGCGAATTTCTAAGTAAGTTTCTTTCATTATTTCATAAACTATAGTTCCAAAAAGACATGAAATATGCAGCGTATTGCTATTTACTGACATATTGGAAAGGTAGGATGCTAATTGCTCCAATCCTTACTCACTTTACCATCAATTTTTTTGCTTCTATCTTGTTATGCTGTTCGTTATGTGCATGTTTTTCGCATATTATTGTCTTAACTTAAAAAAAAATTGAAACATTATTATAGGTAAAAGTAAAGAGGAAGCAGAATCATATCTCAGAGAACTGCGAACAAATGATCGATATGTGGAGGATATTTGGTGATAATACGTGTTTACACTTTACAGTACGACTTTACAATACGCATACGGTTTCACCTATTTTCCAGTAGATAAAATCTACCAAATACCTAATTTCTAATGTTTAAGTACACAAATTGTCTGAATTTTTACTTACGATGAATTTGAATTTCTTTGGAATTTTATCTGGCTGAAAAAAAATAGATGTACGGTGTCATGTTTAAATATACAAATTATCAGTGTCCTGAATTTCTCCTTTTTTTGCTTAAAGCATTGAACAGTTATTCAATAAACTGTCTTTTGGGAGGTGCGCTAGTTTTATATTTCAAAATTCGCGTCACAGAACCGCGTTTTCGATAACTTGTTAGCATTACATTTGTCGGAGCCAAGAAATCGGCAATCTCCGAGTGGCTCAAACGTCGAAATAGCTCTCCATTCTCACCTTCCGAATGTTCGTTATACATAAGTCTTAAAGAATTAAAAGTTCGTGTCCAAAATTGTGTAGATTTTCGCTCCTACCTAGTTCAGTCATTAAATTTACTGATTAATTCCTTACTGATACAAGTAAAGCATACACCAGATAGAGAGGATTCGAAATATCTGCTTCGATCTGATGCTTGCAAGGTTATAAATGATAAAAAATTATTCCAAATATTAAAAATGTTACAGTCTATGGTACCCTTACCGGAAATCAATGAAGTACTGATCGACTATAAGGTTCATTGTTGAATCAAGAAGATTGGCAAATTGTTGCTCGTAAGCGATATCTAATATTTTGACGGCATCATCCAAATTGACACTTTTCCAATTCTGTTGGATCGTTATGCTTATTTCTTTTGATTTTTGAAATGATTAATGGAGACAGGGATATCAAATTCCCTCTATTTCTCGAAAATACTCCACATATTCAAATTTAATTAAAAAATGACTTGTTGAAGAGTTTCATTGAGTTTAACGGATATGTGGTTGATAATTTCAGTCTGTTTTAGAGGCTTTATTCTGCGGACACATTGCAGAAACTTCCTAACTTTGTCAATTAGCTGTACTTCCATGTTATAGGTGCCTTTAAATGCAAAATCGAGGACCTAAAAAATTCTTGCATATTAGAATATATATGTATTCTGTCATAGTCTCGTCACTGGCATTAACTAAAATTTTTAAAATTAAAAAAATAAATTCCACAGGATTTATTAAGTTGCATATAAATTATTCAGAACCATCATGAACATTGAAATCATCTGATAATAACACCTACGGCTTTCTGAAACCTGTTTAATTTTTCAATCTCTAAACATATACATTTGAAAGATTCGATGAAAGAATTCTATAACCTTTTCAATAATATCTCGATTGAAATCAAGAACAACAGAGAACGCAAATGGGTTTGCTGTGATCAACTCATGAAAATAATTTGTTGATAAGTAAAGTAGATATTTTGATGTCTTGATCTCGCCATCATTTGCCATAATTTTGAAATCTCTAAAAAATGTGCATTCGCTTTTTATTCTAATCACAAAATATGCACTAACAGAAACTGAGGAAATTCGAAAAAGCTAATAAACAGAAATACGAAGCATAAGCACGAGACTGAAGTAAGCAAACTATTCGAGTTTGAACTTTAAAAGGCAATTTCAAGCACATCCACTTTGTTTAAATCAGAGGAAAAAACAGCCAAAGGCAACAATGAATAAAAGGAGAAATAAACAGTAAATACTGTAACCCAACAATGTTTTTTTCTGCCATTAAATAAAGTTGCAGATGGCTGGCCTCTAAAATGAGACTGAGAAAAGTGTCTAGATTCTGAGATGTATCCAAGGAATTCGATCTTTTGAAATCTAAAACCAACTGTTGTGGAATGTATTGACTGCCAGACATTTTATTTTGCCTCAAAGTTGGGTAATTAAATCAACAAATCAACATTATAACAACGCGTAATGAAAGATATAATATAATTATAAAACACTAAAATAATCAAAATCATCCCAAAACGTAGAATGAATAATCGTAATGAAGGATTTAGTTTATATACAGAACTGTACTGATAGCCGAATACGACAGAGGACATTTGACTGATGTGAAACAAAGATTGCTAGCAAGGGGTTTTTTGGTTGTGTGAGAAAAAGGAAGTAATTAGCATAATGGCTTAAATGAACTAGACATAGATTATGAATGAAAAATTATTTGGTGATTGATTTATCAGATATTTGGCAAAAGTGTTAGAATTTGAATTTGTAATTTAAATGTATCGTTTTTTACGACACCAGTAGTTTTTGAAGTGAAGCAAAAACCTTTGAGTATCTAGAATTTGTTTCAATGCAACTGATCGAGGATCCTTCTCGGAGATATGGGTCAGTGGATCTCTTTCGCGACGTCGTAGCATTCCGAAAAAATTTTTAACTTTGAAAGTAATTCTCACGGTAAGAACTATCTCACCACCATCAAATGTCTGCGAATGAAGAGTATTAAAAATCGTCCGAAAAAATTCACTACTTTCTGGAACAACAAATAAACCACTGAACGGTCTTTCTTCCATTTCCAATTCACTTACTGAAAAAAAAAACCATTCCGAAGTAACGCAATCGAATATATCTTTCAAATTCTATTAAGCTTTTAACAATGAACTTCAAAAAGTAACACTGCGGTATAAAATTATATCAAAAATGCAGTCGTCAAACTTTTTTATAATTTCATCCGCATAAATTCTTTAGTTCATAAATGTAGTACCACAGGTACCACAGGAGTACCTACTTTGATCATATTTCCTGGAAACTGCATAGTATTTAAGAAGTATAAAGCCCGACGGGTAAGTTTCGTCGATTCTCATACGTCGCTGTGCAAGTCGAATCTGTGGTGATCGGCGATCACATGATATATCAAAAAACCTAGGAAACAATATGGAAAGAATGGAAGAGTGAGATAAACTATTATCATCTATCGCTATTTCTGATAGTTTTCTATGTCCAATTGAATTAATGAGAAAAATGAAAAAAAAAAAGTTCAATTTTGTTTATTATTTCAAAGAGAGACAAAAGTGCTTATATTTGTGTGAGAATTCTGTAGAAGCGGATATCACTTTTAGTTAGTTTAAAGTTTAAAGCTGACCAATCAATGGAACGACTGCCATACGTGGAGGAAAATGTAGCCGAATGGATACGATTGTCCATGTAAGCAATAGTAAATGCAGAGCGATGAATGAAAATAAGTTCATCAAGTTTGCCCTCATCGCTTTTTGAAAAACACTCCATTACCGCCACCCTACCGAGATCTTTGACTCAACAATGATCCTCATACAAAAGCTTCGACTTATTTATTAAAATATGATTTTCAATTCTTTTGTTTTGGTTTTTTTTTTTCTTTTTTCGGGACCCAAATAGATATTTGTAATGCTGCTTAGCATCACTACATAATATAATACTTTGTGTTTGAATTATTTTTAAAGTCGACCTTATTTTATGAAGATGTTTTCGAATTCAGATTTACGAAAAAGCTAAAAAAAGCTAACTTCAAAGAAGCTTTAGTTTTTTCAGAATACTTCAAACACTAATTAACGTAGTGATCATTTTCAGTTATTACCAGAATTTATCGAGTCAAGTTTCTGCACAGGGATAGAAAAAAATTCACTCGGTAAAAAAAAGTCCATTCGTTAGTAAAAGATTTGCTCTTCAACTGTGACAAATTGTATTCAGAGATGCATAAATGATCGACACCATATTCTTCATAATACATGGGGACCATAATAAAACGCATATATTCAGCATCATTTTATTATTACACTGTACAATAATTGCTTTTGCAATCATCAAGATAAAGAATGCATAATGGCAATTGTGCCACTCTTGTATCCATTACCGAAATGATTCCTAAAATATTAGAAATGTTTACATAAAAACATTGGCCAAGATAAGAAAGTGAATTATATCCCAGCAAAAATATAAAGTGCATGTTTGAAGTCAGTCTTCTTGTAATTTCATTATAAAAAGATGCAACAGATATCGAAATTTTGGCAGTGAAACTTGAATGCAAATTCTTCGTGTTTCATGATATTTTCCCGCTAGGGTAACAAAAAGACAATGAAATAATTATGACATATCAGCCGAATTTTGACCAACGGAAACATGTTAATGATGGGAAATAAAAATCGTGAGGAAGATGAAAATGCATGAAACTGACCAATGATTTAGATGATGGAATAGTTCGTACAATTGAACACGTTTCTGAATACCTTTCGTTTCGGGAATGATTTCGTGATAAGCGGAATAAACAGAGCTACTGAAACCACCAAACATTTTCATTATACCAAGTTCATATTCACTGTGTGCGTAAAATGAAGCAGGGTCAAAAATCACTGAAAATATTCGTAGTAAGTATGTTGTATTTATGATATAATAGTGTGTTGATAAAATATGTAGTTGTAATGTCTTTCAGTAAAACTATTGGAAGCACTGAAAATTTTATTGGAATTAAACAGGTTAAGTGATTCGAGTTATAGGTGGTATTATTTGCTCAAGTCTTTCACAGTAACAGTTTTTTGACAAGGATTATAAGAAATCTATTCACTGTTTTTCTTGGCAGGGACAACGAAAACTATCAGTGTTCTTAACACTAAAATGTACAAATGTACAAAACGAAAACTTAACACTAAAATTTAATATAACCAAAATCAAATTAATATATCCGTATAAAGTCATCAGTAAATGGTAAAATCTTGAGAAAAATATTCCCAATGTTCACCTGGGCCATCCGCACAATACGAATAGTTTCCAGACCACAAGTCTCCATGAACGAGGGCTGGAATAATGCTTCCATTATCCTTAAAGAATGTTGGGATTTTTCGTTCCAACTGAGGCCATAATGAAAGCAAATCCCTGTCATTACGTTCCTGCAACAAAAAACGTTACACTGAAAATGCAAGAAATAGTATAAGGACTTGTAGCTCCACATAGAGCAAATTTAATACAGAGTAAAAAAATCATTTGGGGTAAATAATCGTAACAAGTGGACAGTTGAAATCAGACTAATTGGTTCAGTAGCTTTTTCCAGAATTGGCTTTTTTTGCAATAAAATATGTCCAATGAAAGTAATGGGAAATCTTTCAAATTAATTCATAAACCTACTTCCAATAGCATGTCGATTTGATATTTCAATCGATTTCGCACGAAGAATTTCTGAAACAACTTATAAAGTTTACAGCAATCGTCATGCTTCAATAAAGTCTAAAAAATATTTCATTCAATTGCAGCCAATAGTTTAACTGCCTCTTATATTCGTTATAAGTATGAACTGTGTTATACAAGCTCAAACATCTTAAACTATTGAATATTCAGATACTAATTGGTGGTCATTATGGTCTACAAAATTACAAAGATTAAAAACAACACTTTACCACCCAATCGTCGCACCATTCATTCATTTGGGGTAAATAACCACAACAAGTGGGCACGTGAAATCCGAACTGTATAATTGGTTCAGTAGCTTTTTCCTGACCCCCAACAAAACTACTTGCACGCTCTTTCTCTTTCAACAAATATGCATTGTGCATATGCATCCTACAAACTACTACTGAATGATTCTGACCAGTTAATGAAAGTGAAAATAAGCAAATATTCTGAGAGAAAATAACTCCAAATTTGTTAATTTTCGGAAATATACCGCGATCGATTGATCGATCACTAATGACTATTTCTTGATTTCTTTTGATCACGGACTACTTTTCAGAATAAATATGCATTGTATCGTTGAGAAAATTACTACAATGTCTGTAATATGTAACTAACACAATAATATTTGTATAAAATAAAATAAAAAGTTGTGCAACATGAAATTATAATCCACCGTGCCAAATCTCGGCCAAGCTGTGAAGGTTTTGAAGAACCATGTAAGTCAATGTACTCCGTAACCAAACAATGCCGGTTCCTATCAGATATACTCTTAAAAATAACATGATTTTACTAATTGGAAGCACTTTTAATTTGAAAACATAATTTAAATAAACGTTCTATGGATTGCCTATTTAAAATTATATTTTTTAGCATTAAGTACTGTAACATTTTAATTCTATTTATTTTTAATAATTTCTGAATAGTTGAAGACCTTGATTGGCTTCGGCACACGTATTGTTTGTGTATGATAAATAGCTTCCAGGCTTGCGAATTCTCCATCAAACATACGCTTAGCCTTCAACAGCATATTTACTATTTCACAGATTAATTACGGATTTGTTCGTAATTATAATATTAGATATTATGGAATATTATTTCTTACAAATTGCTTTATAGCATAGAAATAAGGAACAATTCGAAGGCAAAAAATCAAAAGTAGTAAATATTTTATAATTCAACATGAGGAAAATAAAGTAAGCTTCAATTTAAATTTTCGATATTAGTCCAGCTCAAGCTAGCATCATCTTCTCAGTAAGATAAAAGTTTAAAAGATCATAATATATGAAATGATCATAAAATCTTCTGATCTATGTAAAGCCGTTAAAGAAATGAATGTAAATCACATTTTCACGTTCACTAAATTTGATGAAGAGGTCACCAAGATCTGAATGATAACCACTTCCTTTACTGATACAACCACCAGCTGAACCACCGAATGGTTCGAGAGTTTTCAATTTCAGTTCTTTTCGTATCACTTCCTCCATTTACTTTTTGCTGCATAAACAAACAATTATCAATGGAGATTTTGAAAGCTCAAGGTGTATGAAATTTCGCAAAAGATAAGATAAACACAATTAATTTAATGTCAATACTGGCATTTCAAATTAATTATCTGCATAAATACAATAATCGAGAATTATCACGGAAAAACTGATATGGAATTCTACGTATCGTGACGTACTCTCTCTTGAATCTTGCTTAAATCTATTTAGATACGCCGTACATAGCAAAGATGCAGATTGCTTCTAGAAATGAAGTTAAAATGAGTAGGAAGGACTAGAAAGAAAATAATATCCATCCTAGTAATAAACGGAAAGCGCGGGATAAGATAATCTAATCTTAGAAAATATTTTATCAGAATGAACCTTTAATATTAATTATTAAGAAAATGAAATTCTAATTTGCTTTTAAGTTTTTCAAATTAAATAAGGTAATTTTCTTTTCTCCCAGAGAGTATACTGAGAAACATTAGGAAGTAGGGAACTTCTTTAAAATGGATTCATCTAATAAAACATAAAAACTGAGTGGAATAATTAACTCAAGTTTGTCCACAATGCATATGTATTAAAGTAAAAGTAACTTCCGTATTCTGCAAGCTGAAATGCTGGATATTGCTATTAATTCAACTTTTTATCACTACGCATTATGGCATATCAACGTAAGATAGTACTGGCTAAGGAACAAAAAATACAAATTGTCTTTCTATTTTTAAGTAAAATTTGACTAAAAATTAGTAAAACAAGAGGTAAGCTATTTTTAACATTTGACTTCCTAGTGTCCTTGAATGTTACCTGTAATTTAACTTCAATAATTGATATTTTGAAAAAGAATTATAATGTTAAAGCTAAGAAATGAACGAGCGATGAATTGGATATTACCAGCTGTGACAATGAGATATTTTATTAAATTCAAATAAAAATCTAAACCAAGCACAGCGTATGTCCGTCATTCCACTTAGCTTTACTGATTTTAGAACTTCCTGAATATCTCGAAGAGGATGAATGACTTCTCGCGCGTTTACCGGATCCTGTTAGACCTGATAAGTATTTCACGGTTCCTCGATTGAAACTGATTGACCAAAGTCCCTTACTGATGAGTTTCTCTCTTTCCTTTCAAGTCATTTCCAGGTAAGCACTCACTTTTACTTAGCTTTCTGAAATGGAAGCTTTTATCATTACCATTCTCTTTGCTAGATTGAATTACTATATAACATCAAACTAAGTCTAAGTTATATAAAAAGTTGAGATATATGTGATATACAACATCAAAATAGGCATAGTTTTATAGTCGACATTAACAGGCATAAGTAAATGTTGATATTTGCAGCCATAGCTTGAGATTATATTTGAATATTTCGAAAAAGAAAACAAAACTGTGCTTTAATGGGTCGTATTTCATCCTTTTACTTTTACAATTTCAATTTTTATTAAATTTAATGTTTGAGTTGTAAAAGAATGGTTTTATTTGTTGAATAGGAAGTGTTCATGCTTGTTTCAGGTATGATGAGTGAAGGTAGCAAACAAATTGCAATGTCTTCCGTGTTCTACTTTTTGCTGGGAACGATACTCTTCCTCACATCGTTCGGCATTTTCGGCTTATGCATATTATTGTCGCTTTTTCTTGGCCTTATTCTCGGGTACTAAACTCATTTCTTATTTCTTCATTTTTCAAACGCTACAGCTACTGGATGGTTATTTATATGTTTTCCACTCATCTATTGCAAAGTTACAGATGAAACCTAATTTTTTTCAGATTATTTATGAGCCCGTTCAGTCGTGGTCAAGAAGTATCGGATGAATATTTACGTAAATTGAATGAAGTCAGCATGAAATTCTGTTTCTTAGTTGGACGCCAAGGGTTTCTAGCAAATCGTGGGCGATTCTCCAGGAATGCTTATGAACAGGAGCAGCCCATGACGAATTCAGCTACCATCGATGCTATACTTGAACAAGTGAGAAAATGGCACAATTTTCTTCAAATCACATCCATACAGCACATAATTCATCTGAAATCTTTTACATGCTACGTGTAATGCAGATATCTTTCAATAAATTTAAAATTTGTTAATGAATTGATTTATAATTTTTTAAGATGCTATCTTATGTAATACGAGACTTCATTGATTCATGGTATAGCAGTTTAACACCGGATCTTCATTTTAAAGAAAGTTTAAAACGATGTGCTAGGCGAACTGTTGCTGCTTTCTCTCAGTGGTATGGTTTTTTTGTGTTTATTGTTATCTATGCGTTAAAAATTTTTTTCTTCAGTTGTAAATGAAATGAACTGATATTTGGTCATATTTCTGGAAAATTACTTCGTATGGCTGAAAATTAGCAATGATCAAGAACTAATTTTGCGTTCGTTAGCACTGTTAAGTTTGTTAGAAAGAACAAAAAGATATTTTGGAATGTGATGCGATTTTATGCCTTTTATCATTTTAGTGTTCAGAAGGTGGATTTTGTTCCTCTTTTAACTCAACACATTGTCGATGATATTGCTTCGCATTTCCGTCTATTTCGAAGAGCCAAGGTGAGCTTCAGTGGTACTGAATCGAATGCTGAAATTAGATGGTTTATCTATCATTTCAAATCCATCCTCTGACATGCTGCGAACATTCATTTTCTGAATAAGGAAGGAGTAAGAGTCATAATTAATTATATTAAACTAGATTTATTTAGCTCCAAAAGATTTTATGAGTTCTTTTGCTCATTAATACACTGCAGAAATTGATACCATTTCTATCTTCAAAGCCTATAAACTTATAATTTAAAAGTATAAGATTCTCTATGGACCATAATATATTTCACTGCAAATATTTTTCCTTTGAGGAAACTTGTTCATATTTTATTTCAGGAACGTGCACAACTTCATTACGGTGAAAATTACACAACGGATGAGTTGGAGACAATGTTTTTTGATTTGGAATTGGAAATGGAGAAATGTTACTGCAGGGATCTTGTTTCTACCTGTTCGCACTATGAAAATGGTATTTATTTATTACATTTTCCCAGTCACTGGCTGAGGTGTGGTTCTAAAATAAGGAAATGTTGTTTCCCTTTCTTTTTAAAGAGGACACTATTTTGCAGCATATTTTCATGACGTCGCCGACATTCTATTATACCTTTTGACACCTGCTGAAGATTTTCGTTCTCGACCGTTTCGTTTTCTTCTCCGGGAAATATATGTTAAACGTATGATGCTACCTCTCTTCGATATGCTTAGCGATCCTGATTTTATTAATCGGAGTATAATTTGGTTGGTAAGCCGTTTTATTGTTCTTGAAAATCAAATGTTTTTTTTTTTTTTTTTTTTTTTTTTTTTTTTTTTCTTCAACTGCATCAAATGGTCTGAGACCCGTTACAGCTTAGTGAAACAAATTTGAAACCAGAAGATTTCATCGCAACACTTGAAACTACTGACAGTGTAAAGGCGCTGGATGCGGTATTGGATTCACTTTGTGAGGAAGCAGCACATCTGCGAACAAAAGATTCTGGTGGTGAACAAGGTTTTGTATTTGTTTATCTAATTTAAGGATATCAACAAAAGATAGGTGTACGGAAAAGAAGCTACTAAAGATGCAAATTTTGTTTGTACTTTTATTTTGGAGTTGTTTTACTTAATAGTTGATTTTTACGCATACAGTTTTTAAAAAATTTACTTGTTTTTGGCGAAGCGGTCCTTCAGGATTTTTGGTGAAGCACCAACTAGCCAGTATTGAATATGCAATAAATACTATAAAGCGACGAATGGATGCTCTAGCAGCAGCTGAAGTTGAAAACTGTTTGCAAAAGGTTTTTTCTTTTCTTCGTACCAAACAATGTTTCCGCTCTCAAAAATTTCATTTGAATGACTTACTGAACCTTAACTCCGAAATATTGCATAATAGACTATTTTTGGTTTTTTCTGTCTTTTGATTTTCAAAGGTTAGTTTGATATTTACAAGTACTGACAACAAATGACTGGACTGAATTTAGACAACAAGAAAGCTACCGGTAGCTAATTCATCTATTGTGCAATTACCAATTCACGTTGTATTATCGAATAATACGGCAGTTACGTATTTCGCTGATTTCCTTGCATCTGTTGGTGGACAAGCTTTAATTGATTGTTATTTGGCTGTTGAGGTGAATTATTTGTGCAAAGTTAAATGTAAAAGATGATGAACTTTCAATTATAGAAATTTTTTCCTTGAAAAAGCAGTTTTATGGTCGCAGACAAGAGCGCAATTGCTGTAAATGATGCTGAAATTACTCTAAATTTTACTTTTACTTTGTTAAAAAAATTTTGCAGGGCTTTAAAGTGTCCGTAGAGCATCAATTACGAGGACTTTCTGTAGGTGAAACTCTTGAAAGCGATGCTTACGAAACAGTTAGGGAGGCTGCTAGTTTCCTTTATCAACAGTACATATCGCAAGAGGTAGCACTTTCACTTCTACTGGATGACTCTGATTTGGTCAAGCCTAGAATCAGTATTTTGTCGCATTATCATTGTATTTGCACTGCATTGATGAGGTCACATCCAAACAATATATTTTATAAATGTCCTAAGTTTTATAAATAATCTGCGTTTTATAAGAAGTTTGCAATAGTGAAACTTTCCCTTTGTTCAGGCAGTTACACGGGTCTCATTGGACGATGTTATAGTGAAGAAATTATTAATGCGCATTCGAAATGATGATCCACCTGATATGTGGTTCGAACAAGTGCAAGCAAGGATTGTAGATATTTTGCGAACAGTTTGTTTTACCAAAATTTTTTAATTTTATGAAGTAGTACTTTTCTAAATTCTTAATATTTATTTAAATGGTATTAAGAAATTTTGGCAAGTGTGAAACTTTACAAATAGTATGACTTTTATTAATCTGCAATTTATCAAAGTCCTAGTTTTAATGGAGCGTAATTTTTTATTGTATTACAGGATGAGCGCTTTTACGATTCTTTCAAAAAAAGTTCGATATATGTAAAAATGTTAAATGAGCTTGGGCTGAATGAGAACATCAGTTGTCAAAGAGGAAATTCAGAATATACCGCTGAAGATAATATTAAGTCAACTGTTGTACCTACGGCCTCTAAAACTAAGGTTTTCGTTTTTGACGTAAATCACTACTTGTTAGAAAATTTGAGATTTGAGAAACTATTACTGTTTGTTAAAACAAGTATGTAAATAATTTGTGCAGTAAGTGAAGTTAGTCAAATGTAAGAAATAATAAGTGAGTTTTATCAGTGTTTTAATAAGTGATTAATTGTAATTCGGATCTAATAATTTAGGAAATTAATCGCTTTATCTTTAAGATTCCAAATGATATCGATGGGTTAAAATGTACACACGTAGGAATGCATGTTGTCGTTGAAACTCTTGGTATAGGACAACAAGGGAAGCAGTCTTTCGCTCTTTATAATGTACGGGTTGCACGAATTGATAGATCTGGAAAACAGAGTAGCACTTGGAATGTTCTTCGACGATACTCTGATTTTCATACACTGAATTCACTCATACAATCTCGCGTACGTAAAATATTTTGTTTCTTGACATTTTAAGTGTTCCACACTCTCCTAGCTCTGTTCAGAGTTTTTCAGCTAGCGTAAGTAGTGGAGAAGGAAGATTTTTGTTTTCTTATAAAATGCGTGATAACAGACACTAAGAGACTAGGGTAAAAGGAGCACAATCATCTGTATATTTTGCTTAAATTTATTCCATCTTTGATATCTAAAAGTCCGATTGCAAAAGAGTGTAATATGATTATCCTACATAGTACAGCATTATCCTACATAGTGCTTCTTTTAATAGAAATTGGTCTAATTAACATTAATAATTTTTCCACTTGTTTTTAGTTCCCGAAGCTCAGTAATTTGTGTTTCCCAGGGAAAAAGACATTCAATAATTTGGACTCACGTTTTCTCGAAAAAAGAACGAAAGCGCTCAACAGCTATATGATGGTCAGTTTTCTCTTCTTTTCGTTTATTTCGAAAATTCTAATTTAATTCAAAATTGAAGTTAAGATCTTTGTTATGGTTGATTAATCGGAAAGGACTATTTAGCATCAGCTTTCGCATTTTTCATTGATTTCATGTCATTTTAAAGTATGAATTTAGAGTATCCTACAACCATCAGTTCTGGAAGCTAATGCAGATTTAGAAACACTCATATTTGATTTCCTCAGCATGAAGGATTATATCGGCGAGAGGGAAGGTTTCCCAAAAAAGGTACTATTATTGAAATTTAATAAACTAAGAAATTTTCTATACGATACAACTCAGACAGTGTTTTAACAGGTTATGAGTGCTGTATTTGAACCATTAAAAAGTGGTGTTCGAGCTTTCGGCAATGCAGTAACAGCTATGCCTGATACGGTTTATGATGGAGTAACTCGTGTAGGTGATGGTATTAATAAAGCTGCAAAACAAATCATCGATTTTCAACCCACACAGGTAATGTTCAATTATGAGATAACATCTTGAATAAATCTTCGATTCGTTACAAGATTAAATAAGTAAAAACCTGTCTATAGGATCTTAATTTCATAATGCAACTTATTCATGGACAGTTGATCCAAAATTTCTTTTATGTTCAGTATTTGTTTTGATTTGTGAGAAAGTCAGTGATTGTTTGCAGGGTTTAAATGGTTTGTCAAATAAAAAGGATGATTTGAGTCGTGTAGCGGCTGCTTATAACGACCAGGTAATTACTATACAAGCGATGCCTTTTTAACCATTAATAGATATAAGACTGTCCATGATAAAAGACAATAAGATTTTTATGAAATGACTTATTACTGCATAACACTTTCAAAATATTTCATGTATTGAATTGTACAAAAATTATTTCAATAATGACATGAATTATTCGAATAAAGATTTTAGCAATGGATGGAAAGCATACCCTTACGAGTTCTTGTACTTTTGATTGGTGAAGTGTTTGGTGTACGTTCTCGAAATGCTTGGTTTCGAAGAAGGCTGGTAGCTCTATTAAATCAATTTGTTCATGCAACAATGGGTTCTTCGCTGAACCGTAAAATTATTGATATCGTTCAATGGTTAACGTCAAAGCAGCAAGTTGCTCAATACCTTGTTGCATTCAGGTATAAATATTTACTGTTACGTTACATTCAAGGTTACTGTTACCATTTTAAACTAAAATTAATGTTAAAATTCTGATAAACTCAGTGGAATACAAAATATTATTGTCAACATTGCATAAGTTTTTTCTTTTTTGAGGATCTTCATAATTTTTATGTTGCATATTCGAATTTTGCAGAAATACATTATGGCCTGATGGAAAGTTGGCGGAGAGTAGTGTATGTCGTCCAGAAAGTGAACAATTGAGAACATGCGTGTTGGCAAGAGCCCAGATGCTGAGCGCTTTACCGGACGAGTTACGACTGTTTATAGGCGCCGAGACAACAAATAAAGGAATTGCAAATGTTTCCGAAGTATTTCAAAATAGTCGACTTAATCGGCGCCTTCTCTATGTCATATTTGAAAGACTTCTTGCAAGTTTCTTTCCAGACAATCATTTTGAGAAGATTTTTCCCCAATTACATGCAAAAAGTCCGCGTTCAAAGCCTTTTCATGCTTAAACTCCAATCAGCAAGTATTTCCTTTTTTGTGTTCAAAAAGGAATGTAATATCCAGGTTCATTAGGATTAAAAATATCCATGCATGAAGTTGCTGAATTACAAGCATTAGCTTTACTCAAAGATTTCTAAGCTAATAAAGCGAAAATTCAATCCATTATCGTGCTATTCTAGTCATCCGTGTCAAATTCTGTTTAGCGAAGGTTTTATTTAGTGCGGATTTCAAGATTTACATAGAAGCCGAGCTGTGATAGACGCTCGTCTTATAAAACTAATTCAGTCAATTATATTCACGAAGTCATATTGCAGTTTGAAAGGCAATCTAAACAGCATATTGAACGAGATAGGAAGACAAACCCCTTACCATATGACTACTCATTCTTAGTTGGCCTTTAAAGTACTCACTCTACCATTTCGTTGATCTCATTGATATGGGTATGTTTGTAAAATTTTTATTTATATTGCCTTTATCATTCTGATTTTGTTCATCTTACTAGTGATTTTTTGTATTTTTTATTCTTCAGACATATCAATCCAGGTGTTGATATCACGTTCTAGACAGCTATGCGTAAAGGATAAGCTTATGAAATAGTATGGTAATTATGTCACTTCATGTCAATGTCCAAGTTGCTCCGAACCTTATTATAGTGAATTCTTACCACTTTGTTCACTTCGCTTTGCAATACAATCAACAGTTAGATTGGAAAACTGGTTTTGTGAACTTCCAAACAACTCCAGCTCGGAAGATTTAATGAAAAAAAATTACTCTCACTTAATTGCAAAGTGAAAGATGACACACATACAGTGCGGAATACTGTAGTTGTATTAATGGTTTATAACCGAGAGTTCATTTTAAAAAAAGCAAAAAAAAAAACTAAAACTACCCGTTTATGTTTTTTCTGTACAAAAATTTTTCGAACAAAGCTTAATAAAAATATTAAATACAAATTATTATAGAAACAATAGCTGAGGAGTTGCTATCAGCACATTTCAAGTATCTCCAACAGTTTGTATTTTTTGAAGTATTCTGTACCTAAATGAAGCGCTTGATAACCTCGAGATAAAACATAACGAGCCCATGCAAAACGTAGCTGGAAAGGAGCAGGTAACATATTGACTTCGCTTACTACTGGAAATAGAACACCTAAGCAAATCGTCGATAACGGAAGCGGTTCCATTCGTTTTTTCAAGACACCTTTGATTTTAATGTGTTCTTCTAACAACGCATCTGTTCCACCGCATACTAAAATAAAAAACTGAAATGAAAAAATGTGTGGAAATTACTTTTATAACACTTTGATTTTAAATATATTTCTGACACTACATTATTCAGTGAAAACAATATGCGTTCCACTGCATATACAGAACAAGCTAGATATTGAAAGGAAAGTCACGATGCCAGGAGTTTATAAAGCCATTCGTGGTTAATAGTCTAAGCCGAACCAGTTACATAATTTTTACACTGTTAAGAATTTCCGAAAATATGTCCACCTGTACTACAATTACTCAATCAACTACAACTTTTTTATATTAAAAAAATGAAAATTTGTGAAGACAAGAAATCTCACCAAACAGTTGTCCATCAACAATAGCTGCCGTATGCCATAATCTGCAGGACTTCGTTTCAAGTTCAATATTTACTGCAGTCCACGTTCCTAGATAACGTCCAACACTATCTTTCTGTACTTCTATTCTCCAAAAATCAGACAGTGCCCGAGCTCCATTCGAATATCCACCGTAAACCAAAGCCTGATTTGGAAATAGTGTATTGAGTGAACACCATGTTCTACCTTCTGGTTCGTTTATTCCCGTCACATCACTGAAACTTTTATTCTAAAATCTAAAAATGTGGACTCAGGTGAAAAAAAACGCAAAGATTTCACATGAAACTATTCAGGATCAGTGAAGTTCTACATTTGCGTCCAGATGAGGGATGACAGATCAAGCAGGTACAAATCATTTAGTCGTTGATTTTGACTTCGTCCACCGAAAAGTAGGATAGCATTAAATCTTTCAAGAAACGTGCATGCAGATGCTGCACGGGCTGAAGGCACCGTTCCTCCAACTCTAAAAATGATTGGATAATCCGGAAAAACTAAATTAGTTTCAAAAAACTCTTTTCAACAATCAAGTTGACAACCAAGTAAGAAGCTATATATTGAATTTTATTAATATTCTAATCCATAATTCAAAATAAAAATGAAAAATCTGCTGCCATTCCATAAAAAAGGCTTACTTTGCAAGAGTCCAGTTCAACTGTTTTGTTGGATCAGGATCAAAAATCAGTAACTGGTTATTCCAGTAGAAAGGCCTAGTTTCATCAGCGACAAATTCTCCCACATCTCTCAAATATAACGCTGGATTTGGCATATCAAAAGGGCCCGGTCCATACCCACCAAAGTAGTAACACCTAAAAAATTAATAATAAATAGTACAGAGAGAATAAATAAATACTAAATAAAAGAAATAAATAAAAAAACAATAATTCATAATAACAACAATAACAATGATAATTAATAATAATAACAATAAATAGATAAATAAATAAATAAGTACTACATAATTTTGAACTTGTGTCAGAAAATTCGTACTAACTTCTTCCTGTAACACCATCCAGCCATTTTGTCTCGAGGTGTTGGTATGAGGCTCTCATCGTTAGTGACAACCAGTGACCAACGTTCTTGTACTAAATCCAGTACGTACATTGCCGATGACTGGCCTTCCAAGATATTATTGGGAGTTGCTGCAAATTTTCGTGAACAGTCATATAATGCTTATATGTAGTGGTGAGCATTATAATTTGATGACTTTAGAAGATTAATTTATTCTGAGTATGAAGTTAAAAAATGGTTTATAAAATATATCATGCAATACTTAATCATGGCAAAAATGACATAAATGGAGAAGTCAACGGACATCACTGTCTTTATAATTTAATGTGCTATGTTTTAATATGAACTGAAATACCCCGCCTTCAAAGAATGAATCAAGGAATTTAAATAACCAATAACTACTAACTATCTATTCATTCAACACCAAGTTGACAATAATGATCAAACGATATTTAGTTAATTGGTATAAATATAAAAGCAGGACGGTTACCTATCAATTTGGTTTTATAGAGATCATCTAATGCAACAGAGAGAGAGAGCATGATATACAAAATTAAAGCAATCGCTTGATTTATTCCTATTTTAATTTTTGGTATTGTACCATTACATTTTTCGATCCAGCATGTTCAAGTCCTAAATTTGAAATACTACGGTCCCAATAAAAACTACTGCATAGTATATGCAATTTAAAACTAAAAATACTTTTAAAATTATATATCCTTTATGTTAATTATAATTCACAGAGACGAAATATCAACTAAAATTTCAATAATTCTCGTAAGTATTGATTCATGTTGACTGTAGCGGCGGTATTTACCTTTCTCTTCAGGATGATTACCATTACTGAGATGTAATTATTTGATGAACTAGAAGATTACACCATGAAAAACGCATCAGTCCTTCTGAAGTTCTAATTTTTAGAACAAAAAAGTTATGTTAATATATGTTAATTACACCTTCAAAGTAAGCTTATTTTTGCATGTTGCATATTACATGAATTCCGTCTAATGTGAAGTCCTTAATTATCACAATATCCGAAATGACGTAAACTAAACTTACAACGTCGGACGTAGCCTCCAAAGATAAAAATGCAACAGCCACATAATACAGCACAAGCACCACTAATTGATGGAGGTACATCACCATGTGGGACATGATAAAGTATCCTGAAATTCATACTAAAAAAGTTGAAGAAGTAAACATTTTATGCGTGAATGCACAACAACACACAGATAAACAAACCACTTAACATCTTTACAACCGGTCAGCAAACCAGCAGGTAATATGTACAGAAACGTGGAAGAGCGATAACGGAACTCGTTGTCTTCCTCAAAATAATAACCGCCCCATACAATCAATGATTTTTTATATTCAATCATTGTATGTCCGACAACTGGACTTATCTCCCTACTGTCGTCATCCTGAAATTGTTTCTGTTTTAGTCTCATCCAACACTAAAGGTATGTAATGGATAACTTTTTAAGCTTAATGATTTTAAAGATAATTAGAGATAATACTACTAATACGAAAACTTCAAAAACCATGTGGGCATCCAGAACATAATATGCAAATAAGAGACTTCTACTAGTCAATCTTGGAAAACTGAAGGCACGGAATAAAGCAAATGTGAAACGATCCATGTGACAAATTTCATAGCGATTATCACTTTTGCAGAAATCTGACAAAGATAAAAGAATTGAGGAAATACACAATAATGATATATTACAAAGATTTGATAAGGTAGTCGTTTGTCGTTCCAAGTTACTTGAGCGCCTTCCGGTGGACCACCAAACATTATCAGTATAATTCACTGTAATGAGGAAACAGAGATAAGTATAAGTGATAGTTCAGTTATAACATAAGAAAACAAACAGTTTACTCGTACAAGATTTATTGTTCTCATCTAATTGTAAGTCAAAAAAGGGTCGAGATTTACAGCAATCACACAGCTATCATTTAATTTACGACTGAAAAGAGAAATAAGCAAGGAAAATAGAAACACATTTGCTTTGATAAAATAGAAAAGAGAGTAAAACTAAGCTGAACTTCTCGAGAAAGCTATAATTCTGTATTAATTCAAAAGCCTTCCCACTCACACTTAACCCCATCCTGACCTCTACCCTCTACTCCAACAGCTAACGAAGCATCATCACTCCTTTACACTTCTTCAACAACAGACTCAACCCTCACATCAAACCATCAATCATCTTTGTCACAAATCCAATACTGATCACGTTATGTTACCACGTTTGGAGAATCTGTGAACATTGCTATTCCACAGAAGAGAACAGTTTGAAGGTTGTATTTTAGTAAGGTAAAGGTATGTGTGTACTGGTTGTATAAGCTTTTCATTTTATTATATTGAAATGCTGAACATAGAAATAAATACCAACATGTTTCGTTTTATAAGGTGCGCATTAAGTTATACATAATGTTTTGTCCGAAGAAAATAGACTCAGGCAATACAGACTTCACTAAATTTTAAAGAACATGGAAAAATAAAGTGAAGTAGTAGGAATATTAGGACGGTTTATTCGGAGGAGGTATATATCCTCGAGGTCGAATGAGCATTTGCACAGCTGAAAGACGTTTACCATTCCAGTTAAGTCCAGGATATGTACCCTGAGCTCTGTTGATTGCTGTTAAAACACCTTTATGTTGACATCCTTTTCTCCACCATCCTCCTCCATCGATACAGCCTTTTTCTGCACTGGTCACAAATGGACACAATTGACTCTGGGCTAATTCGTTTACTGCTGAAACAAGAAAATCTGCGGAAATCTGTCGTGTGTATACATCAGGAAATTTCTGAAATATTCGAGCGAAATACGCTAAAAAATAACGTTTAGTTTATTGATTTGTGATAAGAAAAGGAAAGAAAACACACTGTTCGTGCCATTCCCATAAATGATACTTCCAATGTTTAATCGATAGTTCAGAAGTCTTTCATAAACGATAAAATGCGAATACCGAACCAAGATTATTTGTCCATTGATCGCTGTGCGTAACCTTAAAAGTAATTCATTCGGGCACTGCGGGCGACTAGTCAAATGATGCATGCGTTCCAATCCTGCAACTGATAAGTCCACGGAATTATGCTATATTCAAAAATATAATGCAATTAATTATCTTAGTATCTGATTCCGAAATTAAATTATAATTCAAAGAAAGAAGAATTGCCTAACTCATCGCTTTATGGACTTGATATTGTATACATAGACTTCGTTGGAATTTTTATTGCAACGAATATATGTTGCGAGAATTGCCTTTTAACAAACAATACTGTGATTTGAAAGAAGACACATTTAGTTTGCATAATTGAGGAAAAAACTAAATTTCACCAAAATTTTATTGGAACATAAGCGAATGAGAACCAACCAATCCAAAAATTTGAATTATCTAACTCGAAACCATTTTCATATTCCAATATATCCTTGTCAAAACTAAGCGATGTGTTGAAACGTTGCATGATTATCTAAAAATTTATCTTCAAATAATCTGCACTGGAAGCTTATTATCATCCTTTTGCTTTGTCATGCCTATTCTAACTATTAAATTTATTTCAACTACTGGCAGTGACCAATTACCAAATGATATTTGAAAATGGGAGCACAAGGCAAATTCCACTTTTATCCGTAACATTTCCGAAGAGCAAAAAATGTTTGGGGTAAGGATATCTTTCGCTTTCCACTCACTTATTCATGTGTTTATAAACTTACCGTCCATCCACCACCAAATAAATCCATTTCACAGTGGGCAATAAAGGGACACATTTCAGGCTTAGAGCAACTCCAGTCATTGAGTTTGAACAAGCCTGATCCCAAAAAATGATAACGTCTCTGCAAATCGGCACAATCGCTGCTGAAGACTGGGGCTGAAACATGTCGAACTCCATTTCTTTACATTTATAAGTCTTACCATCGTCAAAGCTATCGATAGTATCTCTCTACTGAGACTATTGTCAAAACACTATATGAGTACAATTCTTCTCTATCACCAGAGATGAGATTGCCCGAGTTTCTGTCCCTGTCATATTCATTAATTTTTGATTGCTAGGTTATACCAGCAATTATTAACTAATTATGATGCAGGTAACAACTGCTGCTAACAACTGCAAATTTTATTAACCGCCAAAGGGAAAGCAAGGTGCTTGCAAATAAAATCCAATCATGCTTTAGTAACATCCAAATGCCAAGATATTTAAAGTACTATGCAGTAATTTAAGAAAGTCCTCTTCAAGAAGTCTGTCTAATGTCAAAGATGTATATATATAAACTAACCTAAAAAAGGGATACAAAGACCAAAAGAAGTACGCGAATAACCCAGTGGACAATCACATCCGAAAATGCCAGCAGTCGGATTAAAACAACATTGCTTTGGTCTCTGACACATGTTACTTCCAGCCATCTCTTTACAATATCCTGTGCAATGATTACTTATTAATACACAAAAAATGACATGGAACTAAGGAAGACAGAAAACAGAAAAAAAAAATTAAAACGAAGTTGAAGAAATAAAAGTGTTTTAGCATTCTAGATACCTAACTTTGGTATAACATCTTGTAAAGCTTTTATGATAAAAGCATACTATCAACTTTTAACTGCTCCTACAAAGAATAAAATTTTCCTTTCTATACGTTGCGAAAAAGACTTATTTCGAGTTTTATTGTCTTGAACTTCAACATCTAACTTATTCATATTATTTTCTCTGAAATTAGGAATCATACTTTCATCACTCCCATCGTTACATTGTTCAATACCATCTAGGACATTGACAATGGATATACATTCATGTGATATGATACATTGAAATTCGTCTTCTAGACATCCCTCTATTGGCCCTGAATAAATTATGGAAGAAAATTACTTGACTATCATTAAGTAATGAGGAGGTATGTTTACAATGTAAAATGCAGCGACATATAAAAATATGATTTTGAGGTAGAAAGATGACTTAAAATTGTTAGTTATTACTTTCAATAGGAGCACCCACATCAAACGGAGATGCTGTAGTTGGACTTGTTCCGGTCTGATTGCAACCTGGTAATGCAAGAGCACAAAGGTCTAAAATAAGCGTATTATTCAAAATTATATGCTTAAATTTATCACAGATGAAAATGGAACTTATTTTATCTATAATGAAGCATAGCAGTTCATCAAACTATGAATGAAGAGTATTAAGAGATAGACGAGAAAGTTGAATATAAGTTTTGCGTGCCTCATTCACATAAATGTAAAATGAATTAAGTCAAAGCTCATTTCCAAGTCCACGAAGCAAAACCTTAAAGTTTTCAAATGTAGTAATTGGAGACTTATACAGCGTAAATTTTGAAAGTTGGATTTTTCTTTCATAGCACAATTACTCTGAACATCACTGTAACATTTGCTACCTTCATCTGAACCATCAGCGCAATCATCAACACCATCCCCAATCCATTGAGGTAAGATACAATTGTCTGTGGACAAGCATTTAAAGTGGTCAGTCTCCGTGCATATATTTCGCCCTGCAAAATGAAAAATTTCAAAAAGGAAACTGAAGAATAATGTATTTAAAAAAAAAAAAACTGAAAAGGTGAAAATGAGGTCAACAGAAATTAGTATAAAAGAATAAACATCGACGGTCGCTGCAAAGCATATCACGTTCCTCCATTTTGACACATTTTCCGCATCCATTGCTTACTTTTGAATCACATAACACTTTATTCACTGGACATTCTGCAAAAATAACATCTGATAGTAATTCCATTATTCTTTGCTTTGAAGGTCATAAATATTTGAGTAGGACCTTCATCAGCTGCATTTGGACAATCAGCGAAGCAGTCCCTTACTGCTGTCAATGTTATACAAACTAGTGGACCACTAGGATCGCAATCAAAGCTGGCCACACATCGACCACCAATATGTCCAGGATATTCTGTAAATCTTGTCATGTTAAAGGAAAAAAAAAAAAAAATTGGGCTATAAAACTGTTCAACTGAAACAGTCTTCTCAAGAAGAAGTATCCTTCTCTCACTTATGACACATTCTTAGATCAAATCTTGAAACGCAGTATTGCTACACAAAACAGTTCGTGTTTTTGTGGATCCTTTCTAAATTAATTGTTTATTATTGGATGAGAGAAGATGCTTAGGTTATCAAAATGATTTCTTTTGCTACCTATGGCTAGTAGTGATTGAAGTTTTATTCTACCGAATGATAGAAATGACCTGTAAGAAGTGGGATGTGAGCATGCGACAATGACAATTGAAGAATGGTGAGGAAGAATGAAGGGACATCAGCTGGCATTGGACATTACCTTTTTTAATTACACCTGAAAAATGATAGTAAAGTGACGAAAATAGTAAAATCATTTTTATGAATGAATGAGGCAAAACATACATATGCATGGGTGTGTCATGTAAATAATGCACAATAATCATCCATACTGCTCCATTGATAATGGATGTCAATAAATAATCACAATCCCTTTAATCTAAACATTTCCAGTTTCCATGAATATAGTAATTGTGGCTCTTGAAAACTATTACATTCGGATTATCGATTCAATTAATTAATCTACTCAATTACAACCTGCTTATTCTGATTATTACATTGTTAATTGACGTATTGTTGACATGAACAGTAAGCTTGCTTGATAATTTCATTTGAAATGTAAGATTCATTCTGCTGCCATCATAAGGGCTATATATTGTTATGATAGCTAAATTGTGCAAATATTTGGCGGAAATGTCCTCTGAAATGGGCGTTCTTTATTGTATTTGAGAAATAACACATCAATGGCTTTAACGCTATGTAGGTCACAACAATTTATTTGCTTTTTGATATCATTCAAGAAAGTTCATTAAAATTGAAATGTTGATCTGGGGAGTGACGATAAATTTAAAGGAAGGATAATAGCAATTTCTTTTATTCTTATCTAAATGTTCCGGAAACAATTATTTTTGATCTGTTTTGAACTATTTTATTTCAAATCATTTTTAGACTTATTTGTTATTGATTCATTGATAAATGGTAGAATAAGAAGCAAACAAAAAGTCAATGCTATTTAACATTTTAATTAGACATTTCTGAGGTACTTGCACTTGTAACTAGATATCCCTCAGGTAATCTCTCTCAGGTAATCAATGCCAATGTAATCTTTCCCTCTATTGTCATGAGTAATTCAAACGACTACAAATATAAAATAATTAATACCTTCAGAACTTACCAATTACCCAATCACATCCGTTCGGTAGTAAAGTATCAAAATACAAAGTCACCAAATCAAGCCATCAGTCATGCGTGTATCCGTGTGTGTATACGTAAGTACTCAAATTGTTACGCGTGAAAGCGTCTACTGTCATTTACTTTACTGTCCCAGTCTTTCTAATATCTTTGAACTGTGATAGCAGTGTTAGCCGTGATAAGTTAGCTCCTTTGCGCCCATAAATGACAAGGCGGTGCTTGTTGTCGCGGAGAGAGTCAGATAATGATGATGGAATAATTGGGCATTTTGCGCTCATTTGTGCCATGTAATTACCGGTTCTGTTGTCGTTCAGGAAGAGTTCTTGGGATGAACTATCGATGTTCATGGCCAAATAGGCCTACTACTTCTCCGATGACATCTTGCACATGTCCACACACATTTGACCATTCGTCCTTTCCTATACGACAAGTTCAAAGTCCAACTCCAGTACATACGCGCTGTACTTTGTTAGTTTTCACTCAGTGGTTATTTAATTACAGAAACTCTCTTCTCGTACAAATCACGAGAAGGGATGATACTGCGATGTTCTCTTGATGGGGTCTGTAATCCTTAACTATGATAACGATTCTCGAGAAGTTTGTCCCAAAGATAAGGAAAGAATGAAAGTTGAAGTACGAGATAATTGTTAGAACATTGAAAAAATAACGTTTAACATATGATTTATAGTTTTTGCACTGTTTAATGTTAAAGATTTGTTGGCTTTCAGTTGCACAAATGCAAAAAACTACACTGTAGATGGGAAAATCGCTCAACTTTTCGGTGAATCAACGAGAGGTCTCACCTATTATTATTACTAGTATCATTAATCAAATAATCTCTTAATTAAATGACATGCTGTAAACTATATAAGAGACATCAGGATATAAAAGAATTATCAACATTTTTTTCTAGGCGCCTTCAGTAGTATCGAAGCAGTTTTGGCTGCTGTAAATTCTATTGCTGATATGCTTAATGCTACCCATCATGCAGTTTTTAATTCCTTTCAAGCTGTATTTGGTGCATTGGATGAATTTGGAAGGCTGAAAACACAGGTACTTAAAAGTTTTTTTTAAAGAATTTCATAAGTTTGAACGAATTTTGGCAGACCTAATAGCTTGTCCTGTTCGAGAAACTGACACTCAGAAAGATTTTTCTTGTTAGAAACTCAATAGTAAGTCCCCTAATAATAAGTCTTCTTTTATTTGTTTTCTCTTCAAGTAGCAGATGTGATTAATATTACAGCAGTGAAGCAATGCAATATTTATTTGATAATTCTAGATACATTGTTTGCTGGCTTCAACAGCATTACTGAAATGGTTGCGATATATATGGCAACTTTTGCTGAAATGTTTAAGGTTAAAAGTTAGTGGCGACGCTGGGATGGAAGAAGCATGGATGGGAGTTCGAAAAGATTCAGGTATGATTACAATGAATCAGTATATTGCTTTCCTATGATTTTCAATGAAAAAAGACAAACTTTTTTCTGTAAAGAGAAAATGATGAAAAGAAAAGGACAAACTTTTCCAAAATGAAAGAAATTTGTTGTGTAGTAGTAAAATAGATCACAGTGTTATTTTCAAGCATTTCAATTCATTGTGACTTTTCTACAGAACATTGTTTGTCATGAAAGCTTACACTAAGGGTAATTCAGATGCACTCACAACACAGGAAATTACATCGCAGTTGGTTCCTTCTAATCCATTTCGTTGGTTACCTTCATTGATGTTTTGGTTAATGGCAATAGGCGTGCCTTATTTAATGTATCAATCACTTGGAGGAATGGTGGATGAATCAATGAAATGGACAACGGGAAACGATGGTTATTACGAAGCATTGGTAAACTATTTTGGCATCGGTTGAAATACTATATGGTGGCATTTAACAATGATGACAATTAATTTTTAGGCAACAGAAGATCATTATGCTGAAGAAAACGATAATATATCGTTTAAACGTGGCGATATTTTGCGTGTTGCACCTAGAGAATATCAACCGCGAAAACTTGGCTATATTTTGGCATGGTGACTTGTTTTCGAGAAATTTCTCATTTCCAATTAATCATGTTGTTCATCAACTTCTTCATTTACATGGGCTATCATTTAACGAAGATCGATAATTTAAGGATTGAATTTTATATAATCTTTCAATATAATATTATAAGTTCAATTTCATCTGCAAATATTTATTCAATGCTTCGCATGTATCTTACTTTCAGCTCAACGGGTGGTAAAAAAGTGGGATTAGTTCCAATTAAAAAAATTCGATTGACAAGACGAGTCGCTGAATCATCTGCTTTTACTGGACAGGATGCCGTTCAATTATTTGATGATGCACACGCTTTTGAAAATAATTTGTATGACTGAGTGTAATTTTATCATATTTTGAATTATTTGTAACCTCTTTTGTAGTACATATTTTAGACTTCTATGAACTCGTTTTAGATAATGTGAGCTGCTTGTATGCTAATCCTGTTTCTTAATTCCTAAAAAGTTTCTTTCAAGCTGTTATTGAACTTTTATCAAAGGCAAATATTAATCACTTAGATAAAGTTCTGTTCTTGTAAGCTTTCATCATCTTGTCGAAGACACAAACTATGAATTCTACATAGATATAGCTTGCATATTAAATCAGAAATACCTTACCGTGATTATGTTTTTTATCTAATCTCTCACTGTTCTAGTTCAACTCTATTTCCTCTGAGGTTTCCACATAGACTGCGTACATGAAGTAATGCAGTCCGTCAAATTTCAATTTCTGTCTTTCCGCACGCTTATTTATCTTTGTCAGTTGCTAATTTTAAGTAGATGAAAATTAATGGTAATTTTTAATTGCTCAGATAATAGCGCTTTCTCTACACACCCGTTTTTTAATGTTTGCCTTCAAGAACTGTTTGCAATTTTTGTCATTCTTTTTCTCATGAATTTTCCTATCAGTATAGAAGAAATCCATATTGTTTTCATGAAAGACTTAACATTGCTCAGTTTCACATTTTTTACCCATATTTGATGGACTTATAAATATGGAACAGTAAAAATGAAAAGCTTCTTGAAGACAAAAACAAAAATGTATAGATACAAATCAAAAAATTAGGAAAATACATATATATGAATTCAAAGGGAAGATTTCATACATATTTGTTTTCAAAAATAAAAATATGAATTTCTAGTAATGAACAAAATAGCCTATATTTTTTTTTTTTTTTTTTTTTGCGTGTATATATATATACTAATCCCCAGATAGAGTTGTTTCAGCTCATTCACATTTCCATTTTTCGATTTGCAATTGAAAACAAAAGAGCAAAATGGAAATATGAAGTAAGCATCAGCAACGGTAAAGAAGAAAGCAATACATGCAATAGGAAATAGTTAATGAGATCAGATGTAAATAGGATACAGTGTAGAATGAGAGGAAACAATGATGTATTATTAACAGTAAGAAAAGATTGGGTAAGTTATCGAAGTGTTAACTGCATCTGGTTGAATGTTTTGGAACATAAATGCTGGATTAGTGCAGAGTTGTTTTCATTGACTTCAGGTGATGAATCTGGTGGTGAAGATGCATTTGAACTGGTGGTATGCCTGAAACAACAAATTATTTACCCATGGGAATATGCTATCAATTGATTAATTAACCAATTCACAAAGTAGCATAAGTTGAGTGTTCTGCTATTGTTTTATCTTCTTGTTCTTATCGAGTGCTTATATTTTTATTGACGGATCTTTTAGTGAAACAATGAGTGTAATAGTGATAAATATGTTGATTTCATATTCAATTTCAATTACTCAGCTAATATGTTTGAATTAATTAATCAATTTATAAGGTAGCATAGGATGAATGTTAGTCACAAATTGACGACAATAAAAAAAAAAAAAAAGGAAAGCCGCCGATAAAGAGAAAAAGCGATAGATAGATAGACCTGAGCAAAGTGGCATTTTTATCATTGCGTTTATCTTTGGCTCGACGATTCTGAAACCATGTTTTCACCTGACTCTCATTTAAACCTAATGATCGAGCAATCAACAATCGTCTACTTCGTGGCATGTACTGATCTGTGAGGTATTCCTGTAGAAGTATTAAAATGAGTGAAAGAAATTGAAATTCTGTAATTTTTTTCAACAAATTTATAAACATATCTTCACAAATGTTTTCAAACTTCTTGTTTGCTTTTTTCAAAGTTAAACCAATTACTTTTAGTATATGAAAATTCTTTTAACTTCAAATTAATTCTTTTGATCGTTAGCTTTATTGATGTATTTTATGATCGTTATAATGAATTTATTCGTAATAATTTATTATAATGATACAACTCATTTTTCATATGAAAAAATTATTTGCAGTGAGAAATTCATTTTCTTTTTTTTTTTTTTTTCTTTTTTTTATACATCAGAAATGATAGTTTTTGCATTTCTTAACCTGTAACATTACATTGATGAGAAAGACAAAAGTAATAAGTTAACATTGTGTAGAAATTCCATATGCCTCAAATATATATTTTGAGAGTAATTGTCAATCGTTCCCAAATTCTTTTTTTTTTTGTTTTAATTTTGGAAGCTTTTTATATTTTAAAATGACATCTGGACAGCAAATGTTGATTTTTGTTCGTATCATTCTAATAACCAATAAGCATAATAATGAGGATTAAACATAAATATGTACGCATAATTAGCATATAGTCATTAGCTTGCTTAATTGTATAATAATTTAGATTCAAATGTATGTGTGCCCGAAGTGATTTTTTGTGTGTATATTGCTAGCATTCAAGAATTACAGGTATTTTTTTTCTTAGCAGATTAACTACTGCTAACAGGAAAATGTAATTAACCTTTTCCAATGTATCTGCTTGCACAGATGTAAAAGTTGTCCGTTGTCGTCGCCTTGTCGTTGAAGTTACATTAACAGATGCCAATGATTTGTCGAGATTTGCTGTGATGTATGTAGTAGCATCATTGCTATAACTAAAATTTTCATCTAATCTTATAAAGAAAAACAAAAAAAAGAGGGAAATTACTAGAGTTTAAAGCAAATGATAATGATTTATTAAACTTGTGATGACAAATTGAAATAGCAAATAAAGAGAAATATGAAATTATTGTTATTCCCCAAATGCATTTCGATAACTATTAACTATGAAATAAATGGAACGAATCAATAGAATTTCAATTGCTAATTTTTCTCAATAATATATTTTAAAATTTAGTTTTTTTTTTTTTTTTTTTTTTTTCTTTTCAATTATAGAAGCATAACAAAATGTAATATTTTAATGCTATGATCGAAAAGGCAAAATTTTTTAAACAAAATCACATATATTTCATTCCTTCATCTTTTTTTTTTTTCCCCTAAATGTCATCTGTTATTGCGACTATTCAATTTTCATATTCCCTTAAGACCTTTTCCTTTGCATGCAATTTAAAACACGAATAAGTGATCCAAATGATATAATATGATTGATGTCATTTTCATTTGGTAAATTAAAGAGATGCGACAGACATATGTTGCGTTAGATGAGACAGGTGGTCATTAGCACATAAATTAACTATTTATGATACATATCAAGAAACGTTAATCACTGCAAAACTTCTTCGAACAATGTTATAATTGTCTGTTTTTGTCATTAGAGAGAAATGATATCTGATCAATTCAAAATTTCAAAAAAAAAAAAAAACTACTCTTAATAGTCATATAGGCAACTAATGATGATATAATATTAACAATAATCTTTGTTAAGCAGTGAATTTTAGAACGAATTGGATATTTAATGAACGGTGCATTCCTTTGATAATAGAAGAGATAAATGGTGATAATTATTATGATTATGATTGATAATAACAATAAAAGCGAAAGGGGTAATAATAATAATAATAATGGCGATTGAAATAACAATGACCTTGTCGTATTATCGATAGTTTGATTAGCAAGTCGTAGGTATGGTTTGAATGCCGAAAATGACGGATGACCAATTGTTATTGACGTTGCCATTTGTATAATCTGCCAAATAGTTTTGTATTATCGATGCAATATTATCCTAAAATAGTTGCAAAAAGTTAAGAAATCAATTTAGGAATTCACTAATTACTTACAATTACATTTTCAATAATGATGTGAGGTAAGTAGGGAAAGTTATTATTATTAGTAGTATATTATTATTATTGTTATTTTATTATTAAAACAACATCTGTCAGTCAATGAAGTTTACATTGTGAAAAGAAATTTCTAAAATAAAACGATTGAAAAAAGTTTTTTTTTTTTTAAATTCAACTTGCTAACGATTAGGAATACTATATTTGATGGAGTGACATGTGTACGAGATGACTGAGAGTGCTGTTATCAGCAGCGAAAGGAAATTATTAACACTTTTTCACTTTCCGATTAGATTGTATTCATTTATACAATTTTCATTATTATTACATCACTATTGCACTTATTTTGTGTCAAAGCGATCGTACAATCGAGCGTTGTTGGAGGAATCAAACTGAATAATAGAGTTAATCCTTTATTCATTACTACTCTTTCATATTATTATTTTTTATATTTTCAAAAGAAATTTATAAAATGAAGTGGTTGCAAAAAAAGTTTTTTTTTTTTTTTTTTAAATTCAAAAATAGAGCTGTTTATGAGGAATATTTTGCTCATCGAATAAAAGCATCTCTCATCAGTATGAAATAGAAAATTGCATAACAAAAATTTATAATGCTCTACTTTAATGAAGGAAAAAAAAAGATCATCTTAAACATATAACTCTTATTGCACTAATTTATCAATATGACAATTTGAAAAATTGCTGAAAGTTATAAACATGTAATAAAAATTGGATTAAGAAATCAGCCAATTGTATTATTTTATCAAAATGTTCCTTTTTGATTAAAAAAAAAAATAAATATTTTAAATTTACTAATCAATAAGACAAAAATGAAATTAGTGAATTTTACATTGCACTAAGTTAACATTCAAATATTCGTCTGCTAAATATCGAACTATGATCAATTCGAAAAGGTAAAACAATAAAAGAGTAAGGCGACGACATTTGTCTGTATGATGACATACAACAGTATTTGTTAACTTTTGAAATGTAAATACATCAGTTGCAATATGTATGTAGTTATTTAAGTTGAGTGCACCGTATACTCATTTCATAGTTACATTCTCGATAATATGAAAGTGTCCCTTTAATTTATGATAGGTTACTCTAACATAAAATTGATGTAATTTAGTTCTACCTAAAAAAAAAAAATTAAATTATACTTATATCGTGCGAAACTTTTTAAAAGAAATTCATTTTTTTTAATTTCTATATAATAATATTAATAATTACGATCAAGAAGCAACTTATGAGTAAACAATTAATTGTATTATCATATAATAATATTAATCAGTTTCATTGAATAGATGTGACTATAGTTGCTGGCATAAACAAATTTCTAAGATATCATAACAGTTACTGATATCATTTGCTACTATTAGCATTATTGTAAATTCTAGCGTCAAGAATGATAAATTAATCTGAGATTAGATTAATTAAAAAAGAAATGTAACATAATTTATTTTAGTCTGATTCTGAACAGAATTATATAGATCAAAATTTCATTAAAGCTTTTAACTAATCGATAGCAATTTGATAAAGTCCTAATGTCATTGGTAAATATTGGAAAAGAAAATGTTCCATTATTACAACTGAATTATCCGATCAATTTACACACTTAATTTATAGACAATAACTGTTCAGGTGGTAGCAGATTTCGATTTTGAACAATAAACAATAATTTGAAATTAGCAAAGTTAAATTTTAATTAGAACTCATAACAATTCGATGATATTGTGAGTAAACACTCATTTGATCATTTGTCGCAGAACATTCCTCGATTGATGCTCTCAACTTAATTAAGTTTAATTAAATTAAATTGAAAAAGGAGCAAGCAATGAAGTTAATTTGACCATACAAATGTTTCGTTCCACCATCCATTTGCAATCTTCAAAGGACATTTTCCATTTATAATTTTTATTTTTGATAATAACATTACTTATCTCTTAATACCATCAATTAATTAATTAATTAATTAATTATTTTAGTTTCATCAACAATCCTAGTAAAGCCATAGCCATAAAGATGGGTGGGTAGGCTTAAAATGACTGAATCTGCTCGGTTTATAATTGCAATAATTGTGGAAAAGGTGTTGAAAATGTATAATTGTTATGAAAATAAGTGGAAAAACGAATGATCTGCAAGAATATACGAAAGAGACAGAAAGGTTAAATCTCTCGAAGTTCAAATGAACTTATTGGTTGAGGACAATAGACTGAGAACAAAGAGAAGTGACACTGATTGCAAATGGGTTGCTATGTAAACAAAAGTAAGAGGGATAAACCGTTGAGAACTAAATATGAGCTAAAGTAATTAAATATTTAGTTAACTAAATTTATAGATTCTTTTTTCAATGATTGTCAACCTCATTTCAACTGTTGTAGTAAAGGAAGAGAAACAAATTATTGTGTTCCTGTGGAATGTGAACTGTAAATAAAGTATTGAAATATAGAACGAAAACAAATTAGCACTTCAATCGATATTATGATTCATTGATATTATTAACATTTTGTTCATTCAGAAGGTTAATAGCGTTCAGATGGACTTATGATTATGTGATTTCATAGAAATGAAAGAAAGTTTCGTCGAGAATAATAGAGATAATAAAGTAACAAATAATAAATTAATCATTCAATTTACAAAAAGAAAAAAAAAATGAATGTGTGCTTTTCAGTTCGAAAATGGTGCAATTAAATCCGAAAGTATTTATGTATACACAGTGAACAACAAAAAAAAAAAAAAGAATTATTTATTTATCTTCAAAAACTTACAATATTCATCCAATAATTTTCACTTTTAATTTGTTAATGATATTTTGGAAACTTGACAGAACTTAAAAATTTTCAAGAATGGCAAAATTTTATGAACAGGTAGAGGATTAACTCAGTAATTTTCTCATCAATATTTACCACTAAGCTGATTTTCAGTGGAACTTTTGTGAACAGGTATGGAAAGTGAACAATTATTAGTATAATGTGTCATCTCATGATGACAGATTCTATCCTTTCATAATATCAAATTCATAGTATTCAACTGTAAACAGTTTGAAACATAAATTTTTTTTTTTTTTTTTGACGTAAAAAGATAATAGAAATATATGCTTAATCTTTTAGAAACTAACAAATAGAGAGAATATAATTTATGTATGCTTAATTCAAATCAGGTACTATTAGCTAGGATTATTTGTATATGACAGATTAACGAGATTGCTTTTAATAACATTTCATTTCAATGCATTTAAATTGTGATAATTCGGAGAGTGCAGCAGAATGAGTGAGTGATCAATGCAAGTATGACATGACACAAACTTTGAAATATTTAATAACCTGGACAAATGATTCAAGAGATAAGAGAGAAAAAGGAAATATAACTTCCTTTCATCACTTAGAATAAAATGAATCAATTAAATTGAACTCCTTTGACACTTCTTAAAAAAATAGACTCAATTGAGACAGAAATGAAAGCAAGCGCACTTCTCACATTTCAAAATCTGAACTTTCATAAAAAAATAATAAAACTTTGCTAAAGAAAGTTACTCATTTAAGAAATGTAATGTTTTTTGGAAAATTGGTTACTATCAAATTAAAAATAAACAAATCAGTCTGACTTAAAAAAGGAGGTGGAAATGTAAATAGTTACGAGATAAAAACTGAAACTGAAATGAAGAAAAAAAAAAAAAGCAAAATCATTTGCAAGAGAGAATTACTGTATTATTTTAAGGAGTTGCATTAATTTAAAAAAAGTTACAATAAAATTATCAAGACAAAAGTGACTATTTTTAATTGAAATTATACTGAATCATTTAAGAAAGAAATAAATATTCAGTTTCACTTCTTGATTTTAAAAGATGAAGAAATACTAATAAGTTAATAAAAAAAAAAAATCATCTTATGAGAAAAATTAGTTACAGTTTACTTTTGAGCAATTTCTGAACAAAATATTTGTTGATGATTTTACAAAATGCTGCTTAATAAATTCTATGATAAAATTATGCCTTACAAAAATAACATTACCTAATTAATTAATTTCCTTATGTGAACCACATCATGGCTGCTTTTCATTTTTGCCTTTGTAGTTCATGATAATCTACTAATGCTATTTTTCGAATAGACTCATAAACGAAACTCAATAAAATTCAAGTATTTAAATTCTAATTTTTAACCTCTTGATTAATCATTTTTAATTCTGTTAAGTTTAATTTTAATATGAAATAAAATTTCCATTAATGTGCAAGTTAAGAAAAAAAAAAAGAAATGATAGCACAAGAAATACTGATACTACTACATTTACTATACTGAAAAATGAATCAAAATGACTCAGGAAATGTAATTTCACTTCTATGACTGCAATTTTCAAGCAGGAAGTGCGGTAAATTGGATGCAAAATAGTTATTTTGCAAAATAAGTGAAAAGTTGTTAAGGAAAAATTTCCATACATATATAGTTTGGTCGTTCGATGGATTAACTGAACAAAAATGCATTTGGGGAAAATATTTTCCAGCAAAATTAAGAAAGTAAAAGTACACTGATTTATTTGGACTGATTTATGATGCATATATTTGAATATTTTGAGTTTGAATTTTAGTTCGAACACTTACATATTCGTGTAGAAAGATTGATATAAAAACTATGAAAAAATGTTTGTAAATTTTAGAATAGAATATAATAAATTTATTGCATGAATTTATTTTTGCATTAAATTTAATTTAAAACATTAAATTGGTATCAAATGAGGAATATGACAGGACAAAGATGTGTTAAATAATAGTTGTCTTAATTTGTGTTAGTGTAATTGTGTAAGGCCTTTTAAAATAAATAAATCCAGTTGATGATAGGCTCTTCTGGCATGACGTAAGAAAACACTTATGCAGAATGAATTATTACTCTCTCAATGTGTTTGTTTACTTCGCAATATATAAATTTACTCATTTATTGATTCTTCTCAGATTGTATTGTGATAACGTGATAACGGTTACAAACACTACCATTGTCGTTATTTCAGGCAAATTTTGGAAATTATCACAATTTCATATCGTTCCATCAAATTATCACTGATAAACAAATTATAGTGAATTAAATTTAACAGTTCTATCAGCTGAATAATTCTTTTTAAGTTTTTTTTTTGTTATCGCTCATTAAATGATTTGTAGAAAATACTAACCAACAAAAAGCATACAGTAATAATCGTAAAAGTACACATTTTTGTTCAATTTACTCAAAGCGCACAGAATTGAAATAATAGTTTCTTCCAAAGAGAATAAAAATAATTCATGAAATATGCAATTTATTGGTTTAAGGTAGAGTGAAAATAAAGATAAGCCAGGTGTAAGTAATCGTTCCTCTATTGCAGTATTTGTAATTAAACAGCTTTATGAAATATTTGCAAGCATAGGTAGTCGAAGCAAAAAAACAAAAAAAATTGTTGGCATTAAAAATAGCTAACAGGTGTAAGCTAATCATTTCGCAGCGGACACTTGAAACACATTGTCAAAGAAAGACAAATTATCTGTGCCAAAAATTTATTTTCATAAAAGTAAACAGTAATTGTGTGCTTTTTGATAAGATGTTGACATTTTGCGCAAATAAATAATGCATTTCATAAAACAAAATCATCTTTTATAACTTACAGATTTGAGTTTTCATTTCCGCTCTTTAATTTAAGTTTGCTTTAAATTATCTCTAATGATGATTCCTAATTCATATTTTCTCGAGTATAAAGCTTAATTAATATGCTAATTTTATTTTTAGTTTAATTTGCTAAATTCTACTCAGTTCTTCAAGAAATAATTTTGCTGAAAAAAAAAAAAGTGAAGTTTTCATCTATTCTCTGTAAATATATGACCTTAATTTATTTTTGACTTAGCATTAAAACATTTTATTTTAACAATTATCTTCAATCTAATATTTTCAATTAGCCCATTGTGATCCCATTTTTTTCATTTTCGTTTTCTTTTTTGCATAGAATGTTAGACTTTAAAGTTTTCTGCTAAAAAATGATGTCAAACATAAAAAGACAAAACTTGCAAGCAGTAAGCACAAAGTTAAGACAATTAAAAGTATTCTTTCTCTGCACACTTCTCTAATGGCAATACTGCCATCATACACTAATTATTATTATGATAAATGATTTCTATCAAAGCAGAATATTAATAAAACAAATTCTTGTTCTAATTGTAACGATCTGCAAAATTATAAACTTAAATTTTTTTAAAAAAAAAAAAAAAAAAGAAGAAGAGAAACTGTCCTCGAATACTCAAAAAAAAAAACTAATTGAATTTCAATTAGAATTTGCTATTCAATATCATAGCAACATCATAACCGTCTTTTCCTAAATCTAATAAACGTAGACAGAAGGAACAAAAGTTGAATTACTTACTATTTAAAGGGAAATAAAAATTATGAATAATACAGTCAAAAAAATTCCCTCTCTCTCTCTCTCTCTCTCGCCCTGTCTCTCTCAATATTGAATGGCTATTTCATTCTTTTCTCCATTCTCCAATTATTAGAATGATGTGACAATAAGAAAAGAGGAAGGAGATAATAAAAGAAATTGCATATTTCCTCTCTGCCCGCCATCAACAAAAGAGGACATCTGTATTCCTCATCGATACAAAGACAAAAGTTTTTTTTTTTCTCCAAAAATGAAGTAGAAGGAGGGATAAATAGTAAGGAAGAATGAGAGAAGTATGTTAGAGAAGAGTTAAAAAGAAGACTGAAGGAAATGAAATGAAGTGAAATTCCTTTCCTATTATTCATTCGTTTGGTAAACTTGATAAGGTGTTAGATGATCAAAGGATAACGGAAAGACAAGATGAAGTATGGAGGATTTCAAAAATTAGGCAGTGAAAGGTAGAATATATGTATATAAATATATATGAGAATAGAACTGAGAAGCAATTATTTTTTAAGGCATTTTCTAAAAAAAAAGTAAGATTAGAAAAAATTTGATCAAATAAAATTGAAGAGAAAATAAATGCCATTTTCTATTTCGTTACTGCTATTGAAAAGAAATTTTAAAACTGCAAGTAAATGAATATGCCTTATGGGACGACAACGACAGCAATTTTCCAATTGCACAGTGCTAAATGGCGCATATAGATGTGTTTGTCTAGGCATACTTTTTAATGCTATAAAAAGAAAACTAGAAAAAGAAGGATGAATGGACAGCTGAAAAGTATGACACAAGCATATGCCATGGATACAACGGTCAGCAAAGTAATCAACAACTCCTCTATTTTGACTTGTTAAAAATTAATTAATTAATAAGGTTTTTACAATCTAATATTTCATTGATAAGTTATGAATAATAGAGAAATTAACAAATTCTAGGCTATTCTCAAAGGGCCATAATTAATTATAAGGCTTCATAAAATGAAGTGGGAGGAAAATGAGACTACTTATCTATCTTAATTATATCTCTATTTATTTAATAAACAGATATTTCAGGATGAGAAAGTGTCGAATAGACAACCTTCAAATGATTGATAATTGCAAACAGCGTTTATTTCAAATGTTTTCGATAATGACTTCTGAAAAGGACAGATGGTCAATATATGAATAATGCTTAAAACCTCTTACATCCCCGTCTCTCTCTCTCTCTCTTCTCTTTCCTGTTGAACTCTTCTCAATCCTTTGTACATTCTAATGCATTTTAATTTCTTCCTCACGATTTGTACTTTTTTAAAGACAAGTATTATTGCCTGAACACATGCATATATACAACCCTTGAAATGAAAAATTCATTTCGTTTTTAGTTTGTGTCTGTAAGAAAAGCAATTTAATATCTCTCACTTTTGTTTGTGTTTATAAAATTAACTTAGATATGGATGAGACTGTTTTACGAAAATAGTAAAGAAAAGTAAAACTTCATAGCTGAGTTCATTGCATCAATGAAGAATTCGACTATGCCATCATTTCAAAGCGGTAATAGAAGAAAGAATAAATTAAAGAATGGAACTTATAGATATTTTCATGATGGTATATGATTACCAGAAATCAGAAGATATGTTGCATTTATGAAGTGTATCTGTTCATCATCTTAGAACCCATCCAAATTCATCTCGAACTTTAGGAATTTTCCGAAATTTTACTAAATCTGCAGTACAATCTAGTGGTAATTTAGAAATTCCAGGGTAATTTTTTTTTTAAAATTCGACCAAAATACTATAGCTCTCCTGAAGCAATTCAATATGAAAAGAATATTTGTGTTCAATTTGTCCTTTTAACAGTGACTGGTTTTACGACCGAATAATGTTATTACTAGTATTAAAATTGCAATAACCTTAAAATAGCTTCTCGAAGCAGTTGTAAATTACTTTTATCATTTTTGTAAATCATATTACAAGGTCTAAATACAATAAGTCTAAATGCTTGTATATCATAATGAAGATTTAGTTTCAAGAAAAATCGCAAAATATATTTTTCCTCAAAACTAAAAACATCATTTTAATGCAAAAGAAATAATCAGTCCTAACAAATGATGAATAGAGCGATTAAATAAGAATCTTCAGCATAGCAAAGTATAACATTGGCTAACTAGAAAAGTTCGGTCAATATATATCAAAATGGATAAATTGCACACCAATTTCGATACACAAACACGTGTTTGCTGCCTCACGTGTTAAATTCCCATTCAGGATAATAATGTTGTCGCATCCGCTCAATCAGTCTTTTGACTCGTGGATATTTATTATCTAATATATCCGTTACTGGCTGACGAAATGGTAAATAATATGATGTGGCCAAATGTCCAAAAACTGTGAAGTCAGACTATAAAGAGATATAAGGCAGTTCTTAGCCCAAAAATTTGAAAACTTTGATAACTGACTCGACGCATCCTTACATCATTCGGTCCACAAAATAAATCTAAGAAAGAATCAAAAATGTTTGCATTCTAAATTTTAAACAGTAATTTAGAATATTCTGTAATATTATTTCCGTGTTATTATATCGATGCATTATTTAATTTGTTTTTTTTTCTCCAAAGATATACAAATTTGATAAAAAGAGTAATATACATACCGTAGTAGGTTTCACACCAAACAAGAATTTTTTATCACCTAAGATTACATCAATTGCAGCAATATCTTTTTGCAGCATACTAATAAGATCATTTCTCGAGCACTTACTAAAACCAACGTCCACGAATATCCGATGCACCTAAATTAGTTTCACCCGTTTCATAAGATATAACTGTTCCTTGAAAAAATTAAAATAGTAAAATCCAACACTTTTCAACCTATTCGGTGAATGAAACAAACTCTTATATAACAAAAAAATTCACAAAAATTAATAAAGGATGAAATAAATTTTTATGTTAACGAAATAAGTGCAACCTTGCCAAGGAAAGGATATATCGTACCACGCATAAACCATCTCTTGATTAATGACGGTTCCATTCCTTGCACAAATTTAGACAAATTTTCCACGAATATGAAATAAAGCAACAAGCTAAAAATCAAATTTATAATAAATATATATATATCGTTTTCACAATGGCACTTCTAAGACGAATAAAAATTAGCACTTACTAATGCGTATTGCGTTCAATCATCTGATCAATAGCTCGCGCAACGCCAATATCAGCATCCATCAACTCATCCTGAAAAAGAAAATCAAACTAAAACTGAAGTACCACAGTATTTTTTGTTAATTACAACATGAATGAAAAAAGTTGGTAGCACCAAAAAAAAAAAAAAAAAAAAAAAAAAAGCGTGATGCACAATAATTCAGATGATCGTAATTTGGATATCTGACCTATAAAATTCTCCTTACATTTAAATTGAAATGTTTCTGTAGTCGCTCCATGATGAGCTGTGAATCGGAAAATTTCTCTCCATTCAACTCAATGAATGGGAAATACCTTTCCCATGGTTGAAAATTCCAATAACTCCGCAGCTGAAGAGTTTTTTAAAAAGTATAAAAGATCTTAACAATCATATTTTTCTAAAAGGTTGAGATTTACTTAAAGTCAAAAGTTAGAAAATATATTAACCATACCAATATCCACGTCTTTTAAATGAGTACTTCTTTCGTGACTTTACAACAGACATCAATTTTGAGATTACTATATTAATAATAATGTATAACATGACTTAGTCATAAAAATAAAGCAAACATTTTGCAATTTCAAAGAAGAAATCTTGATGCAGATACATACTACCTCATGTTTCAGTTCGTTTGCTCGTAACCAGGTCTCAAGTTTGAAGCAGAATGGTGAAATATTGGGAGATGATGAAGCTCGATTGAACTGGTAAAGATAAACAATATCTTTTTTCCACTTTTTATTATAAATTTTGGAAGTGCTGAAAAGTAACAAAAAGAAAGAGTAACACTAGATGAATGCAATGAATAATGTAAAAATCTTTCTCCTTTCTATAACTTCACAATTTGCAATACTTCACAAATGAAAAAAATTTCTAAAAATTTAAGACTTCCAGTACTATACGTAGGATTCAACTAGTAAATAAGCATTAATCCAATCTTCTAATTAAATTGATATGAGAATGGCAATAAAATGAAACATAGGTTATGAAGTCTTTAGTGAAATGATTTTTATTAAAAAAAAAAAAACATTCATATACTTTATAAATTGCTAATTAATATCTCGAGAACAAAATTAAAACAATCGAACGACAGGATTACCTTTTTTTTATAGGGAACTGTGATAGAATAGTTGGATTACCACGGGACACTGCAGTAACATTATTCGACACTACAGCTGCATTTATTCTAGTTAAAGTAGCTGCTTGGCGTAAGGAATTACTTACCATTTGCATTTTTACTTTATGTTTTAAATAATTATCAACCAAGTAAACCGATTAACCACATCTGCAACATTATTGTTTTTAAAGTTTTAATAAAGAAGTGAGCTGCTGATCTTTTCGTTAGAACAACAAGATCTAATAGAAATTTCCAATTATAGCCACTTTTTTTTCCAGAAAAACCTGACATTAATAAAATCTTTATTTATTTACCAGACAATAGTCTGCTAGAAATATATAAAACAGTACAGGACCAGTAAAAATTAACAATGAAAAATGTACTCAAATTTATTCCCATGTTTCGTGAAGAAAAAGTAAAACAGAAAAATACTGTTATTTGATATTATATGAAACTACTTATATTTATCACAAATCAATCGCTAAAGTAAAAAAAGTGACATTTGATTGAATGAAAAGAAATTAATCTACTATTGCATCTCTTTTTTATAATAATTCGTACATACAAAAAATACATGTCATAATGCATTTTATTCAACAAAATACATTAGAAGAATAACAGAATTATGTCAGCACTAGTAAAAAGGAAGAAAGATCGAGAAATTTAACTCAAAAAGCAGTGCATATACAATAACAATTTGGTCACTTCCTTATTCTTATATCTTATTGCTGAAATTTACGAACATATTCTTTAACGGCAGCTTGACGACGCTTCCTCTGCTCTTCTTCACTCCAAACCATAAATACTACAAAGCAAAGTTTCAGTAAAAACATATCGAAATATTAAAACAAAAACACACAAGGAACCTTTAAATTCAAATACTAGCCTATTAAATGTATGTTTGTATTAGGAAGGAGAAGGACTCTTTTTTTTAGCCTCTAAACTGCTCGAAAATTGAAAGAAAGGCTGTTTAAGTATATTTCAATTCTGAAACACTTGACTAACCTGTAGAAAACATGGCAAAGAACAACGACACTATAAACGTGGTCCTACCATAACCTTTTTCTGACTCTTTCTTGAAGAATGTATTCAACAACCGCATTCGGATAAAATAATGATACTTGTTACCACCAAAAATTTCACAACATACACTTCTCAGATATTTCTTGAAAAAAATGATACGTGAAGAAAAAATCACATCTTACTAGTTAACAGAGAAATCAACCACCTGTATAAGATAGAATTTGAAGCTATTTTAAGACCATTCGAAATGAATTATTCTTATCACTGTCACTCTGATCGAAAGTAATCGATAACTGATAAAAGAAGCCGAATTAATAGATGCTTTTCGCACTGGTAATATACATTTATTAGCAAGATAAAATCTAAATCCAAAGTTTTTATCTAAATCCGACTTTAACAACCCACAAAGTAAATATACAAGTACTTTCTTATAAAATAAGCACAAATAATAAATGTAATGATCTTACCAAAGCACATTATACAATAGGCACAAAATTAGTACTTCCATCATAGAATCAATGTATTTTGATGCTATTAACTTGGTAAAATACATTTCTTTAATAGCTATTAGAAGAATCTCAAATGCAGAAACATATTTTCAAATTTAGAAACATCTGCAACCTTACAAATACAATTTCTTCTACAAAATTTTACAGAATGTATTACAAGAATTTCAACTCCTCCTTGAGAAAAAAATCCAAAATCAAAACCATGGAGAACATAAAATTATAGATGGTTAACACAACGGTTCATAATCATTTTGAGCAAGGCGAATACACGAAAGAATATGTGAAAACTTATTAAATTATAAAAATCTAGCAAGAATTCCACGATATTTTGAGTCTAACATTAGAAAACACTGATTACAAATAAAAATCTAAGAAAATATTTTGCAAAGTGAGTGAAACATCCAATACTCCAAATTTTAAAAGTGCGAATGTTTCGCAGAGGTAAAAACTCTCTTCTCCCCTCCCATTCCCATATTGCCTCAGGAATGGAAAAAAAGAAAAACCAAAAATGAAACAATATAAATTCATTTTATTCCTTCCATCCTCCTCATCCGTTTAAGAATTAGGACATGATTTATGAAATCGAATTTGAATGGAAAGATTAGCAAAAACAGTAACGAGAAATCCTAAACAAATAATCAGCATGCTTGAGATCATAATGCCACCGAACAAAACAGAAGCAATAGAACTCAAACAATAACATTTCTGAGATCATAATGCTATCAAATAAAAAAAAGCATAACGATTTAAAAACTAGGATTTAGTATTTATACAACTAAAGGAGACTTTTCCATATGTAATATAAGATGTTACAACAATATAGCAACAAAAAACTACAATTTTTTTAACAGTTTAATCTAAAAGACACTCAACACCTAGCGTTTTTGAATCATTGGAATGTTTTGAGTTTTAGTAACAAAATATCATACTAAATAGTTTCTGATCAACCTTAAGATGGTTAGTGTTTAACATAAAGAGATAACAAGTAACTCAGTACTTGTTAGGTTTATCATGCAAATGCTTTACAAAAAAGACCAGAAACGAACAATTCGTTAATATCTATTAGATTAATAGTGAGAAAGTTATGGTAGAAAAAAAAAACACCAAAAATCAATGAAGTATCCGACAACCTCATTTTCAATTTAAAAATAAAAATAAAAAAAAAAAAAAAAAAACAGAACCATATTATGAAAGCATTTAAAGGATATATTATCAAAGAATATCAAAATCATCTACAGTATTTAATGTTCTTTTTCCATGATCATACAGTTGCTTAGCTCGACCTACCTTTTCACATAGTCTTTTCGCTACTTCGAAACGATTACACCATATGTGGGGTAAACGCTGTCTTCGCCCAGATGAAATCTCTAACACTACTTCTGAAAAAAACTTCATTTAATCATCCAATCTGAAGTGTACTGTGAAGTTTTAACAACTGACAGCATTTATTTGTCAAATGAAAGTACAGAAATAACTTACTGAAAAAGCAGTATGAATTTTTTTTAATAATGGGAAGTTTTTTAATGGATTTTTACCACTTTTACGTTGAAAAGTCGATTATAAAAATAAGAAAAAAATCAATCCTTTCTTTCGAAGCTGATATTAAAAAGCTACCTCATTATGTTCAAATAAAGTTTTAGACTGGCAAAACAACGCAGTCATGCTAGTGAAATTCTTTTCAACAGTGCAAAATTAATTACAAGAATTTAATTGTTGCAGCGAGGGAAAAATGTGTAAATTATAACTTGAAACTGAGCGATCCAAAAACGCAAAAAGAGATAAACAATACCTATGGTTCCAAAGAAGCTATTTTTTTCACTGACAGGAACTGCCTGAATTAATTTAAGCTGTTTGTAAGGTATTCTCTGCACCACACTGCTGGGCTCTAAATCAATTTGTCGGACAATATAACACTGCTCGGAACAAATCAAAGCATACTGTTTTACTCGGTTTTTGGTTGTTGCTTGATCCAATAACATTTCTACATCAAGCAGCCTACAAACCATGCCAACTAGAATTTTAAAATCAAGCAATGTTAACATAAAATAAAGTTGGGTACGGTGCATCCCACACAGCTTTCATATAATACATTTTTTTTTTCTCATATATTTTCTCTAGGCCAAAGCTTACATTTCATTCGTAGCGAATCCACTAATTCTCAAAAGCTCTAACTGAGCATATGCAAGCCGTTCGGAATAGCACGGCAAAAGCGACTGTAAATTCATTGTAACCCGTGGTAATCGGACCCGATGTAGCGGAAAGTGTGACTTCCTCGCTGAAAAATAAAATTAGATCCGAAGAATCAAGGAAATTAAAACTTTTTGTGAAGCAGTATAGCAGCTAACGATGAATTATGGATTGACATTGACACTTTATCAGTAAGACTGCCAACAACTTTAATTCAAGCATTCTAAAATGGTTAAAATGTACTTGATGGACCGCCAACTATTTCTTTAACAGCTGAAGCTGTTCCTTCGACCAAATCAAAAATTCCTTGTACAGGCTTCGTTACAGTGTCCACAGCACCAGTTGTAATTCCACGCACAGCACCCTGCATAACACAGATCATCAATTTTCTTATATAGCAGTCAGGTATTATTATGCTAATTTTACATTCATCTAATAAAATTTCGTCTCCATGGAATAAGGTCTTAATATTAGTGTATTTAACTGCAATTCGAAATTATGTAAGAACAAACTGAATATATTGAAACAGCCAAAATTCTCCATTCTACGGGATTACAATTTTTCAAAAATGAACTCACAGTAAGCCCGCCTTTACGGCTTTCGTTATATGTATTAGTCAAAATAGCAGTTAAGCCGCCCAAAACACCAACACCCAAACCCTGAAAAAAATAACAATTTCAAGTTAGCTCACTTCAACAAATTTTTCCCACTTTGTATGAACATGAAAATTTGGAAGCTAAAAAAATGACAAACTTAAGCAGTAATGAAATATATTAGGTTATAACTTTATAAAAATTTGAAAATTTTGCGAGCTGAAGAATACAAGTGTCAGTACACTTAACAAGAAAGCGACTAACCTTCACACCACAATAAAGATGAGCAAGAGCAGTATTACTGTCCGCCTGCGGCTGGCAACGTAACATTCGTCGCCTCATCATTTCATGCCGTTCGTCAAACGTTAACGCACCGACACCAGTAGCCATCGATGACGCTACCTGCAAAACGCATTGTTTTAGTAAATCTGAAGATATCTACTACTATTATAATTGTTACTGAAACTTTTAATGATGCAGGTCACCAAAAAGTCTTCATTTACCCATAGAAATATTGCAAATTTTATTTCATCACAATCAACATGCTTCGTTCAGTTATTCATTTTTTATTGCAATTATAAATATTTTTATCGACGAAATTTCTTTCATCAAACTTTATAAAATATCAATCCAATGAATATCAATTAAGACGAGATAGTGCATATTCACTACCTTTGATAGACTGTTAGTGAAACAATATCCTAAGCCGCTAACAAAACCACCCAAATTGCCTTCGAACAATAGTCCTTCAAAACTTTCCTTTAAATCAGAAGCAAGACCCAACGGATTACCGAAAGCATCCATTGTCACTACGATATTGAAGGTCTGATTTTTTAACTCTTCTGAAAAATCAAACTTTGAATTCTTACAAATTTGAAACCATCATCCCATTCTTTTCCAAAAGTAATGGAAAAAAAAAAAATAGTAAGGTGAATAATGTGAACAATAGCGTTAAATAATGTTAACTATTGCTACTAAAGCTGTCTATGACATTGGGAAATAATTACTACATTATATTTATAGAGCAGTAATAAATAAATGTTGAAAAAGATCAAGCAAGAAATATGAGTAAATAATTCAATTAAAACCAATAGATATTTAAGCAAGAAAAAATTTGCTAAAAAAGTTTTTTGAACTAACCAAGATAAAATTTGTTGAGTGTTTCAATCAGAAACGAAAACGTTTCAAAATATCGAAACTGTCGAAATGGAGGAAGAGAAATCATTGCATTCTCAAAACTGACCAATTTCACATTGAATTGCCGCTTTAGTTTTCGCAAATCAGGTGGAAGGCCACTTATGCCAACTGTTACAACTAAATAATAAAATTATTACCAGCAAACTTAAATTTAGAGACTTCATATTGTCTAAAAAAGCAACCTGAAAGCGCCACAGCACCAATTTCCAAATCAAATGTTCCAAAATAACATCTACGCGCTTGTACCCGATCTAATTTATCAAGTTCCGTGTTGGGTGGCTGCAATAATGCATTAGGCTTCATACTTTCAGCTGCTTCCGTTTCTAAAAAATAAAATATCTTAATTAAAAAAAAAAAAAAAAAAAGATAAAATTGACAGCATAACAAATATTTGCTTTGAATAAAAATAATTGGGATTTATCAAATTCTTTTTTCAAGGATCAAATACACATATATATAATTCATAAGAATGGAAATTGCAATTCATATGTAAATTAACATACTTTGCACAAACTGAACAATTTTCCATAATAGTGTTTCATCGAGTTGTACGGACAAATCACACATTTTCAACCGAAAACACTAAAAATAAAAAATGCTAGAATAAAACGAATTTAGATTACAATTCGCCCACAATCATTCTCACTGTAAAAAAAAAATATTTGGTTTAAAATTCCGTATATATGTAATAAAGGCAAAAAATGCAATTTAATTTGCAAATAACGCACGTCAAATGCATCATAGTGTTCCAGTGGTGTCCAATTCATTTCTAATTTCAAAGCAGGAACCGAAACATGTGATTCTTGGAGACTTGGATCAGTACTTGTCATATCTTGTTGACAGAACAAAACCTGCCATCGATCTGTCGTCAGCAGTTGATTATCAGCCTGAAAATGTTAATATTAAAATATCAAAGTAATATTAAAAATATTAAAGTAATATTAAAAATATGAATTATAAAAGCTCCAAAAAACTTTTAAAAAACGTAATATTCGAGACAATAAGCCAGCCAGTTTTAATTACTAGTTAGTACCAATTTGTATTTGGTTCAAAACAAATCAGACCTGAATCACTTCAACGCTACCGGTAATCTGATATGTCGGACCTTGACGATTCACATGTAGTACTATTCCTTGAAATCGTGCATAAATCAGTTCTTCGTGTAATCCATTGATGAAAGATAGGCCAATACCTACAAAAAGTATACTTAATATGAATTACTTTGCATCCAGGATTTAAGCAGCAATAGGACGAAATGAAAAATGACATCACAATATTTCAAAAACGAAGAAAATTCATAACACTGCAGTGTTTCATACTATTCAACATATATCTATATCACTCTATATCATTATATCATTCTGTTCAATATATATATCATTCTGTAATGAAGTGATATAATGTATGTCAAGCAGGAGACCGACTAATTATTTCCTACTAACTGAAGATCAAATTATAAAATTGTAATAAATTGTTATTAAAAATTAAATCCATTATTTTTAAGCAAAAGCGAAATAAGGACTGATGAAGGATGTAAAAATCTAGGAAACCTACCATTTTGCATCGAAACATTCAATTCAAAATTCCACACATTGTTAAAGTTTGTTTCACAACCGCTGGATGGTGGTTGTAAATGAAATAACTGACCAGAACGGTACATTGCAGGTGTCTGACATGATTTCTGCCGATCCGTTATGCGGACTACCTTCAAATACATCTCGTCAACCCCTTATAACAAAAGATTACAAATTAACTCAGCTTTTTCCTTTCTTTTTTTTGAAAGAACATGACAGTTCTGATTTATAGAATAATTTAAAAAGAAATTCATGGATTTAACAAAGCATGATAAATTACGTTATTTTATTAGAAATCATAAAACTGTAGGGATTTTTAAAACTAGTTTTGCGAACGGAGAGACAGAGCTAAAATTAAAACTAGAACTAAAAAATTGAATTTGAAAAAGTAGTGAAAAATGTAAAAGCTACCAAAGTAGGTCCTCTGTGAAAACATTCTACATCTAAAATGCCACTTCCTGGGAGTTGCGACTGTAACTCCCATATCTGCTCAAGTGGAATTCCTTTCTTATTCAATATAGATTTCTTATTTGGGATAGCAAGTACAACTTCTGTTTTGCGTGCCTCAACAAACATTCCTTCCACTTTACAACGTAATTGCTTTTCCTGGAAATTTCATTCAATTGTAACAACCTAAAATAAATTCCTATCAGAATAGAATTTCAAAAGCTAATTTATATGCTCAATTAACTAAGCACTACAATTTCATGTAGTGCACATAATTTTTTTTTAATGCGTATTTTATAGTGTTAAGTAGCACTACAATTTTTGAGTATGTTCTACAGCGGGAAAACAAACGTCTAAGACTTCATTCTTACCGATGTAAATTGCCATTTTTGAAAACGGTCCCTTGCCGAATTTCGTTTCAACATCATTAACACAAATCCACCATTATCCAGAACGTCAAGCACGTAGCGTTCTCCCATTTTTGCGCGATTATTCATTCCAATATTTTCAAGACAACCATCTTGTGTAAAACGCCACAACTGATTACGACTACTGTCGCTGGGATTTAGTTTATTAAGTATTACTTTCCCTTTATGCAGCACCTCCAAAGCCAATTCAAGTTCATCTGTGAAGCCGTCTTTCGGTTTCCTGCAAAATTTTCTTGAAATTATTCAGTCAATAGAGAAAACAAAATATTCATTAATAAACATAAAATGCTATATAAACTCAGAATGAATCTAGTGTGAAGTTCAGTCATGATCGATCAAAACAATAAGTATGGAATGCAGCTAAACATTATGATTAGAAGCCAAAAATAATCAAAGTAGTAGTACAAATAAAAGCAAAATAAAAAAAAATGATCAAAGGGATGGTTTTTCATTCAAAAGAAGAATAATGAAAAAACTGCCTGTTGAAAGAATGCGCAAATTTGATAAAAACATCGTTAGTATACACTAAAGGTGGTCCCATTCCTGGCTTTTGTGGATCGTAAAAATTCGATTTGTTCTCGAACACTTGAAGGATCAATAATTTTGGTGCGTAATGATCGTCCCAAGCATAATCTACTGCACTTCGTGCTTTACAAATCGTACGCAAATGAGAACAAGGCCTATAAGAAGCAAATTCTGTATAATAATGAATCACATAAAAAAAAATAGAAGAATAAAAAGTGACTTTATATATCTTATCTAATAAAAATTAGTAGTGATATCAAAACATTTAAATTTACAAAGAATGTATACTATAATGGTTAAATAAAGGTATGATTTACTAGTATTTTACCTTTCAATTTTTTGCTGATATAACACAGGAACGTCGGATAGATTTTCTAGCTGAATTGGTGGAGGGTAGTAACGAACGTCCGTGAAAGTAACGTAAAATATAGCACTGTTGAGTATCACTTCAACTCTCAGAAACTGAGGAGTTTCATCTACATCTCTTTAAATGAATAACATTGGAAGAAAAATAATTTTGTGTAATAAAGAGAAAAATACCTAGTCAACTTATCTTATGAATGATCGATTCATACAAAAACGCAAAAAATGTGATAAAATGCATTTTTTTTTTTTTGCTCAATTAACAATAAATATGATTTTCCAATAAAGAAATCAAACAACTAATAGTATTTAGTGTTATTCTTCCGAAGATCAGGCAGGAAAAGATCACAACTAACGGGTACTTTTCTCCCCATTTCTCTTCTAGCTTAAGCAAATAATTCTCGTCGAAAAGTTTTACCACCTAAATCTTCTTGCATATATTATTGATCAAAGCACCCTCTATATTTTTCCATAATAAAAATTAAAACCTCATAGTAACATGAAAAGAGCTAATGAGATCGATTCTAAATGGACAACTCCAGTACTTGACATCATCACGTTTTACACATATCATTCGATTATCTTCAAAATTTTCATTCCAAATTAGGCTGCACTTGCTAGCCACTTTTACATGCTCATTGGGTTGCTAAAAAAAAGCTTTTTATTAATCATTTGCTGAGATAAAATGAACAAAACTTGCTTCTAAATTCCTTTAAAGTAAAGATCTAGTTCATAAGTGGAACGACGTTTATACATCACTAACTCTAAAATTCTGAGCTATTATATTGCAACTTTCTTCATATCATCTCGCCTACTGGATACAACAAAAGTCACATACATCGATACGATCGATGTGGCTTAGCGAAAGTCCGAAAGAAGTTTGATTACTGAGCACGTAACGTGGGGTAAGCATAACAACTTGGGTATCTTTGTACCTACCAGTTCCCTGTCGTACTTCTACACCAATATTGTATATCCTGCAATGATTAAATTCAAAAATTGATCACATGTATGTTAGCAGGAAAAAAAATTTGAAAAATCAAAACTTGAAGGTGAAAACAAACTGTGTTGGATGTTGGTCATGAACTAGCCGTAATTTCATGGAGTGTAGTCCAACTGTTAGTGGAAACTTGGGTCCAAACAATGGTTTGTAACTCTGATCACTGGTATGATTTTGGCCGACCCTTATAGTACATCTGCAAAAATAAATTTTTGACCACACAATATTAAGATGTACGACAGTTGTTCTGGAATTAAATTTTTTGATTCATTTCAAAACATACTGTCGTGGACAGTTGTCGTTAGCAAATGAAAACATCAATGGATTTCGATCCTTTGCACTTTCATGTTCTTCCATTTGTCCAGCAGCTATACCATTTGTTGCTTCCTGTTTAATAATTAGTGGAATACCGGACTTATTAACGATCCAGTATGGTACCTACAAAAGTATATTAAAAATTTTCCTGGAACAGAATGTAGAAGCAACAAATATTCGTTTGAAGTTTAAGGGTTAAATCGATTGTTACAGAAAGAAGGATCAAAGATAATGAAATGTTAGGATTTTTTAGCTCTGGTAACATCTGGTAGATCCACAAATCAGCTAACCTGTAGTTCCACAAGAACGGTAGAAATCAAATTAATGAAAGCAAAACTTACCCACAAGGCCAGCAAAACAGATCCACTACTACCAATACTTAGACTACAGTACATGTCTAGGTATCGTTTTTTCGAATCTTTCATGCGTAGATGTAAGCGATCTACATCACCGGCTTTTTGGGTTAGTGAAGATCTGAAAAGTATATGATATCAAATTTCTTAAAATAAAATTTAATTTCAACTTTATAAGTAAAATTAAGTTCAAGGAGTTGTAAACTCAAAAAACTCAATTTGATGAGTGTACTGCTAGTAAAGGAAAGCTTCAAATAATAATTACTCCTTTCTTGAATTACGTACTTCGTGACTGTAACTTCGCGCACTGAGACAAATCGATCGGTGACGACCTCAAAACTGATATTTTCGGCGGTATTAACCTGTAACTCAGCAACCTGATAATAAAGTCAAAAAAAAAAAACAGAACTTTTGTCTTCAGAATATATCAGGCTTGCAATGATACTTTATATAAAGAAATTTTGGAGACAGAAAAAGTTTTCAAATCCTCAAGTTAAAAGTTAAAAAAAAAACACTCACAGATGTAATTTGTACTTGTTTGCTGGCGGAAACAGCATATTTTGTATTAAAAATACGAAATTCTGCATCAACTGGTAATAAGTTGAGGACCGAAAGGGGAGGTGAGAAGCTTATTGTATGCCCAGACAGCATTTCGTATTCCGGATAATGTTCTCGTTTTATAGATAAGCACATCCTGAAAATATAATCACTCATTTAAATTAAAGGATTGAATGGGTGCTGAAAACCTTCAAATTTAAGTAAAAAGCTAGATAATGTTCTTAAAAAAATACAAATTTACCAATAGCATGTATCAAATATATCAAATTTTAACAATTTATTGATTCTTTCCCCTGCACTCTTTGCTTCTTGCCATTTGACCTAAAATTAAAACATACATTTTAGTTTGAAAATTTTATAAAACATTTTCAATCATTTTTCAAAATACTTCATGAGTCTTCGAACAATTCCAACCATCTGGTTTGACAGCCATTGAAGCACTCGCGAATTTGAGTGGTACATGCAATGTTTTCTTCGGATCAACTCGAATGATTGATGTTTCTTCAACAAAATATTTGAAAAATATACTCAAGTGGTAAATTGAAATCTCATAAATTATTCAATATTTTCAGTGCAGTTTAAAAAACTGACAAACCTGGAACTTTCGAACTTCCACAGGTAAGAATCAATAAAATGGGATCAAGAAGATGGTTGATAACTGTTAGTGCAGATCTTATAGTCACTACTTTTCGACCATTTTTATCCATTGTAACAACAATCACCAAACGAACATTAATACCAAAATTACTCTAAAAAACTGGTACGAACATCTTTCAGTTTATGAAATATTACATATGAGCAAACCAAGCAATAACCTTTCAACTTTTTAAAGTTTAAGCATAGCTTACGTCTGCAACTCTGGAAGTTGAACATCTAGCAAGTCGAAAATATGTGCCTACTGCATCCACATTTACTGGAGATATCTCATCCCAACCATCAACACGTACTATGAGCTGATGGATTTCTTCCGAATTTTCCTTCAAAATTTGATTATTTGAAAAACTTCATTTTACAAATAAAAAGAAGTAAAAAGGCTTTAGTTATAAATGAACTGAAAACAAACTGCAATAGTAAGTCGTTTTGTGGGAAATTCGAAAGTAGTGGATGCATCTGGCGCTGTTTGATACCATTTGGCTGTGGACTTCCTTTGCATAGATCTAGCTTCTAGAACTTCGTCAGTAGCTGTTGTGAAACGCAGACTAGAACCGGTTTCATTGTGCAAAATATAAGGAAGATGATCCGATCTTGATCGAACACATGACCCCCTAAAAGTATTCATTTGTTTATGTAAATTTCAGAAGAATTTAATTGCTAGATTTGTAAAAAATTTTTTTTGTTTATCAACCATTTGTTGCCTTGGAATTATAAGGTTGTTATGATAATGTAGTCCACATTGAAGCAGCATTTATCCATTTCCGAAAGACCTAGATAAGCTTTACATTAAAAAGAGTGTAGAACTATACCCCTCACATAACTAACACTATTGAAATTTTACCGAAAATCTTCATCCAAAGAATGTCTGATTTCAGACAATTGCAAACTGAAACGTACTGTTTGTCGCAAAAACGCTTGAGTGATATTGACGTTAAAAGTACTGAATTCACCTGCAATGAAATTTTGCTAATAATTATTCTGCCATAGCAAAAATGTGCATCGCATCAAAACATTATGAAATGAACTAAATAAATCACGCTAACAAGCGAAATACAACATAAACTGCCGCATGCAAGAAATATTCTTTACAGTGGCTAGTAAAACTACAAACTATTCAACTGCCATGCCATTATAGATTGAGTACTGATATTTACCAGCAAAAATGTCTATAACTGTCGTGTTCTTCTTAGCAAACACCGATAGTTGTTTTAACTCCCAATCTTCAATTAATGGTTCCCAACCAAAAACATTTTGATTGAAATAATCCGCAACAAACGTGAAAGAGCCATTAACCTTCTCCAGATATCGATTTAAACAAAATTCTAAACAAAAAGTTTTAAGTTAAAGAACTATTTCTTCAAAGATATCATCAATATATTATTTTTGAAAGCAACCAACAGAAGAGCATATCATATACATTAAGTTTTAATAATTCATCAAAAATGGGGTTTGGTACTACTTAGTATTAGCAGCTGGTTTCGTATTCCTACTTAAGTAGTATCCAATCACTGGCGGTTGTCCAAAGAAATGAAAAAAAGAGAAACAGATAAACTCATAGGAGTATAAAACAAACTTTTAAACTTGCATCGAATAAGCGGAAAAACTGTTCCTTGATGGTCATCCATTAACCAAAAGGAAATCTGACTGCCCTTCATGATTGTGCGGAAAACAGTGATTGATGCGCCTTCTGCAAAAGAAGAGTAAATAAGTGAATTCGAAACTTATTTGATCTTAATCTTACTTTATGTAGTATATTTGCGACAGAATCGATCAGTTTTCAGAAGATTTTACCTCTTTCAGCCAAATAAGGATCATGTATTCGAACAGCACTTTTTTCCAGCGATTTATTCAATCTCTCTAGTGAGGAAGTGAGAACATTCCGCACTACATGAAGGTCTCGATATGACACCCTAGCCACCATATCACTAATTTCAGCCTTTAAAAACATGTTAATTCAGTGAAACCAAATCAGAATATGAGTATCTACTTGTGAAAGATTTGCTTCTAGATTTTAAGTAAAAGAAAATACTTTTAATTTGAACAAAAAAACAAAAGAAAACTTACTACAAGCTGATGTTTAATGGGAATAATTGAAGAAAGTCCAAGTTTTGGAGATTGCCCTTCGACATCTGTATCACTTTCCACTGAAAGGCTGATTGTCATCGAGAAATCATTCGTTAATTGACATCTGCTTTCACTTTCAGATGCCATCATAAACCAGTCCAAGTTTATTCGCTACAAAATAATATTGGTATGGAATGCAATTCATTATACATAATTCTGCTCCTTATAAATATCGAAGATAAATAGACCGTATAAATGCTCGCTAACTTGCAATAAAACTAAAATATTAAACATACCTGTATCTCTAAATTAACATTAAACAATTTGCGTGCATCGTTCATATTCAAGACAGCAGTAGTGTGAGCAACAAGAGCCAAACTGTGCAGAGATTCTGGCTTTTCAAGAAGTATTAAATCACATTCTTTTAGTGTGATTTTTAAAGAAAAAGTTTGTTCCACAGACTCATGAATTTGTGGATCTCTTTCCATAATTCCTAATTTCGTTGTGCGCACAATGCCTCGATATGCATCTTCCACTAAAAAAAATATGTTAAATTCATCGTTTCACTTGTGCGCTTTGAAAGAAAACGATTTTTTTTTTTTTATTATATGTTCTAATGTTTTTTCAAAACTTTAATTTTCGATAACCTGGCGGTATGAAGTCGGAATGAAGAAGGAAAAAATTTTTCACATCATTAAGCCAATCTAGTAGCAAAAGCACTCGTGCATTTAATAGGACCAATGTAATTACTGGTGGTTCATCACACTTAAAAACAATATGAGCTTCGGACATAAGTTTACTTCTGAAAATGAAGCATTATCTGAGACTTATTACTATGCTCATTTTTCACAAAAATAAACCGAAAAAAGATCAAAAGACTTTTAAATGAAAATTAGATCATCATTCGCAATCACAATAATGAAAACATAATTCCTGCATTAATTATCATTAATTTTGATAAACGATCATCAGTTTTGTGGTTTTTTAATATTTTTGTGTAAAATTCCTTCATGGTCAAAAGTAAAACAAAACAAGAATAAATAAATTAAAAAGATAAAAATTAGTGCAATGACATTTCAGTCGATATAATTTCTTATCATTAGCTAAATTAAGGTACAAGTACTTCACTTCATTGTCAAAAGTCAACAAACAAAACTGAACACAGACATGAAACGCACCTATTTGAATCCACTTTGGGTAACGGAAAGAGAACTGAATTAAAAACATTCGCTCTATTATTAAATTCCATATCTGCGAAAAGAAACAACATTTAGAATTACTTTCAATCGAGAATCACTTATGAATCAAGAATCACCTTTGAGTCATTGATAAGTTATAGCTAGAAGCCAACACAGGAATTTAATTAAATTTATTTCTTTGGAATCTTCCCGAGTTCTTGAAAAACTCCACTCAGAAAGTTGATTTTAAAAGATACACATATTAACGATAAATTTAAATGATCATATTTAATATATTCTATTTCTTTCGATTATTAATAAAAGCTTTTTCGATTCCTTCTATTAAGCATTAACTTTCTCATACCAAAAAAACGCATGTCGATTAGTTCAGTACTTTCGCAGATTAAATCCAGTTCTGACTGATTATCGATATAGACATCAAATGATATGCGTGAGGAATTCAATTTCACTCCAGCTAATGGTACAAATCCTTGAGAATTCTCACATTGCACAAAACAATTAAACTGCAACGAAATATACACAGTTACACCAAATAGATTTAAAATCCAATTCTTAAAATATTCCTTACTGATATCCTCAACTCAAGAAATAATGCACTCACTTCAACGTTTACGAGCATCATTCGAAATGAAAACGATGCATATTTACTGCTCACTCCAATAACTTCCTGAAAAATATTATTGCCACGGAAAAATTAAAACTTGATACAAACCTTACAATACATTTTTTAAGTTTAATGTCGATAAAAAACGTTTTTAACATATATAAAACAGTATAAATGGCCTCCAATCTCCAAGTAACAATAAAGATGATATCTTCAATTTCCAGAAACATAAGTCATAACATGCTGATAAGAAAAAATGAAACAATAAGCTTAAGACATTTACAATACTTGAAAAGCGATTTAAAAAAACACAATTGAAAACTTGCATGGAATTCTGCAGGTTTTTGCAAAACTTCGATGGGTATTGTTTCTGATGCGAGGACTAAAGCATCACCTAAGTTCATCGATAAGAAGCCGCGCAGTAATCGATAAAACTCAGTGGTTAACTTGACATTTAGGTTGGCGAGCGACGTAGTAATTACTACGTCTGGTACTAAAATGTATTACGATCAATATTAGAAAGATGGGAAAAATGCTAGGATATAGAAAAGTGGAAATTCAAATAGAAATTCGAAAAAATGGGTAATAAAAAGTTCATTTTATTTTCTCAGTCTCATTTCCAGGAAAAAATGAGAAACTTTCAAGGCAATTTAATAAGCTCAGTGTTTAATACCTACTAATTCTCTCCCAAAACTAAATCCATCAAAACAGTTTACAATTTAAATTGGGTTAAAAAATTTTCAACACACATTGAAAACAAAAGAGATTGCTCACCTCTGTGAGAAACAAAAATATCCAAGTTTCGAAAAATATCTATTAACAAATCACAAGGTCTCGAAAGTACACTTTTTCGCGAACTTAAGAAATGAAAATGCTGAAACATATCGCAGCACACTCTTTCATAACCTAAAATTTTACTTTCTTCTTTATTAGCCATAAGAATTAGATGTTATATAAGTCTAAAACATTCACATAAACGCAATCAAAATTAATATTACCTTTTCATTTTAGCTTCTTAAATTTGCTGTTTCATTATATTTCCTACTTCTAATTCTTTTTTTACTTTCATATGACGTTTTTATGATTCCAATATTTGTGTAAGAACATTCTCAAATTCTAGCTGTAAGTCAAAAAATATCACCTGGTATTTCGCGAACTCCAGCCTTGGTGTTTGATACCCTTACGCCTTCATAAAGTGATGTTTCAGTGCAAACTACTGACATCCAGTCAATGCAGCAATCGTGATCGTCATCATCTTAATATTACTCTCGTTATGTCCTATTATTATATCCAAACTTTTGATGTTTTATTAGTTAACATTCTTATTTAAATCAACCAAGAAAAATTTCTTGATCATATTGCACATAAAAATTAAATTATCAAATTTTGCACAGAAGAACAGATGCTTAGTTTAAAAAAAAAAAAATCAAACTTTCTTGAAAAAAGTAAAGAATGAATTATAAGAAATTGAAAGAAATAACAAACCAAAAACATTCGTAATCTCGAAATCCTGAAACTTAGGAATTAAAGATGATAATTGGAATCGATTATTGATACGAATATTAGCAGTTTCACAGAGAAGCACTTGATTAGACAATTGATTGAGTGGAAGGACAATAACGCACGGACATTCAATTTCACAAATTAGCTTTATCCTGCTTCGCACATCATTGTTCATCTGAAGAAATTAAAATACTTTCTAAATCATACTGAACTTTAGAATAAATACAATAACATGATATTCCACACTCTACAACCGATGAAACATATAGATGTGACAAGGTTCGATAATCTAGATATTTAATACAGTTAACTTACTTGAATGTTTGGAGATGAAATGTTATTTCGCATGACAATATTCTGTAGCTCTATAAAATGCTGCCAAAAATCCAATAATGCATTAAAATAACGATGTGTATGAACATATGATATGCTAACTGTTGGTGGTATTCGTAACATAATACTTGCGTCATATCCCTTTGCTGTAGCTGATGTGGCACATAGACACCTACAGTTTTCACTTTATAATTTTGATTTTTCTTTCTTTTTCAAATTAACTTGCCACTTTTTCATTTTCTCGTTAAGTAGAGATGCTGAGCCTACTGCTACTGCTTATTGTTGAACACATTTAAATTAAACTGGCACCATTTCAGATTAGTGCTATGTCTTTAATATCAAGTCGGTTTACTAAAAATTTTAATACAAGAAAATAATATAGCTTTTAACACGAAACTTTTGTCCAATAAATATTACTTGGTAATATGGAGAGTTGTGCGAGAAGGTAACATATGTTTTTGATTTTCGTCATCTGAATGAAAAGTTTGTTCCACTTCTTCCTTTTTATTTGGTAACGCTCGAAGATTAACACGTTCACTGTACAATTCTGAATAAAAAGGTGTACTATCCGATAATGAACAATTTCCCAGCGATAGCGATATTTCCAGTGGTACTTCGTTGTCATTGATCCTTGCCTATAAGTTATCTATTTTACTATAGTAATACTATTTCTACGTGTTGGCAGGATTATGGAAACATAAGCTTTTGAAAATTTTCTTTATATTACCTACAAAAAGCAACAACACCAGATAACATAAAGAAACCAAACAACTTCGAGGGCGAAAGAAATGTGACGCAAAAATAAAAAAAGAAAATTTGATGAGATGCAAACAGAAGAAACAGATAACAAGTAGAACAACTTAAACTAAACTTTTGATTAAGGAATAAAGAGCAACAAGAAAAATCTAGAATTCTTGCATTTAATTCTGAACTATCCCTCACCTCCGCAATCATAAACACTTCCTCTGCTCGGATTACACCCAACTGACATTTATTTGTTGGATAATTCATCACTATTTGTATCAATCCAGCATTAAATTTAACTTTCATGTTATATGGTTCTGCAATAAAAATCATATTATGATCGAGAAAATTTTGATTAAACATTTTCACAGAATCACTGAACTTCGTTTTGAGCAATAGTGAATCGATATAACTGAATTCTTCCTAAGATTATTAACATCTAAAACTGAAACTAAAACTAACAGGTGAACTACAAACTTTTATTTCAACAACTATCATATAAATCTCAATAATTCTCCTCCCTGTACAAACTGGCCCTCAAATTTTTACTTGTACTGTTAATATCTTTTTCGTAAAGAATAGATATTCAATATGAATTCTTTCCAAAAAATTTGCATGCAATCTCAAAATAACCTCGTTTTGAGCAGCAGTGAAGGTTTACTATTTTGAAGGAAACATTTTGAAATAACCTAGGTCTTGTAAAGCTATATTTGTACTAGCTGCAGATGGACGAGCTTGAATTTCGATATAGTCTTCTGGAAGTTCCGCTTTTGGTTCCAACAAGCCAAAAAAATCGAGCAATAGTGTATAACTCCGCCGATTCATACATATTTCTATTTTTGGTACATCCATGTTTATCAAACAGCTTACCTACACAATCAAATAGATTTGGCAAGCATTTAAATTCCACAGAACAATATATATTATTTTAAACTCATTTCTATCACTTCATCCTTCAAAAAAGCATTTGCAGTAACATATAAATACTGCAGTATAGAACTAAATAAAAATTATATACCAAGGTTCTTTTACTCTAAGCAAGCACTGATATTACGAGTCATAATTCTAAATCAAAAATCCATTTCATATCTTTTACATTTTCTGAATTTTTTAATCATAAATAAATAAAGCAACAGATGAATAAAGTACCCACTTTTTTATACTCAGATTCAAAAGATGGGTGTTCTTTACCAATTAAAAGACAAGTGAAATGAGATGCACCAACAACGTCAATATTCTTTAATGCAGTACTATTGAAAGCAGCACTCTCCTGCGGGCTTCCCAATCTCTCATTTTTACTATTATCCACGGTGGTAGATAGTGAATTTACGCCTGAACTTCATAATCATTTGCACACATTAAAATATATTCATTAACAAGTACTATATACTTTTTTGAGTGGCTTTTTGAAGCTTATAAAAATTATTAAAAGTCCATCTAAATGAACTAAAACAGAAAATTAACTTGGAGATGTTTCTTGATAAATAAAAAATATTTTACTGAGACTGCGTATACGTCGCTGAGATAAAGAAGATTTGCACCGTAAGTCGTCAACATTCAAACTTGGACATGAGACAGACATTTGTTTCTAAACATTATTCGCCGTTTTTATTGAATAAGTATCACAGAAAAGTAAGCTGTATTTTACCACTAAAAAAGCGAAATTAACTACATCAGATATAATAATTTACGAAAACCTTAAGAGAAGTTTGACTTCTTATGCATAATAATTCATCGCTTGTCGGCTCGAACAAATCTTTAACTTCCAACGAACCAAAATCAATTTTAACCTTAAATATTACAGCAGTTGTTAAGAATACCTGTTGGTTTTTCAGTTTTTGTGTTAAAGAATAAAACTTATATCATCCTGTGAATATGAATACCTGAAAATCATATATTTCTTAGCAGATGAGATGTTTTAAATAGATTCCTCCAAATCCATACCGTTGTAATAAATTGTTCTCTGTTTGTTATTCCAACAACTAAATCCCTCATATCACCCAGAGCAAACGGTGTCGACGTTGCTGATTTCTTTTTTCGATCTAATAAATTCCCCCGTTTGCTACGCAACTCCACTTTTATCTATAATTTAAAGATATCGAAATTTTCACGAAAAAATCTCAAACTTTTCTTCCGAAACGCATATACAATACGATCCTGCTTGCATGCTCTACTTTGCCGAGCTCCGTATTTGCTAATTTAAATATATATATTAAAAAAAAAAAAAAAAGAATTTATAGTGTTCTGGAACTTAGCATAAAGAAGTTAACGACTAGAATATTAAACTGAATGAATATTATTAAAAAATAATTACAAACTTGGGGACAATGAATAACGAAGTCAATGACAGTGATAACTTCCATCAATATAGGATCCAAATTTTTATCCTATAATAAATAAAAATATTGTTTTTAAAAAGAAATTATGTTTTAACATATATCTTACATCCCAAATATTTGTGTTTATTAACTGTAATCTTATTATGATTAAATATTCCCCTTTTTCAACCTGATGGACCCGAAAATCTTACTATAATCCAACGCTTAACCTTTGTATATTATTTTCAAAAAAAAAAAAAAAACACATTCACCATTAAATGAGATAACAAAATCGACTAGTAAAACACAATTTTCGTTTATAAACAAAGGTTGTTTACGTACCTGTTTTATTGTGCTTTTATCGCTGAAAAAGGTAGCTAAATCATCAAAAGCACCTTCATTATACAGTACTGATAATTCACTGCATTTTACATCAAGCGTGTGTGTCACCGTCATCTTTGGAGCACGACGATGGTATGCTAATCTTCAAAAAAAAAATGAATAAATAAATAAAACTGAAAAGCTCTAATTTGACAAGCAACTGACTCATCAGCAAGGACTACTAGGAAAAACTAAGAGATAAATCGTATCTGCAAAGAGTTTAATTTAAATATCAGATATTGAAAGAAAATTTACCGGAAAAGTGCATCGTTCAAATCATTGCTTTTGGTATACTCTGAAGTATTTCGATTACTAGTTCTTCCAGCTTTCCCAATTGCAAATAAGATTTGAGTTGTTTCTTTGGCAAATCCAAACATCAACGATTCGCTTTCTTGTCTATCAGTTTCGTCTAGAACAAATTGATAAAGATGACCTCATACTAACAGCTTCAACTTTATTTTTTCTCACTGTGAAGTGCGAACTGCACATTTATAAATAGAGAAAAATTGTTAACCATCTTGCGTATTGTCGATTAATGTATCTTCCGCAGGGAAAGTGCATAATCTTTGCAGACTCAAATCTTTAACAGAAAGTGACACAGCCGTACTATGGCGACGTGGGCTAAGATGAACACAGCTTGCTAACTGCCACAGATCCATCGCTAGCACTCGCGTACTTCCATCTTTTCGATTCTAAACATTGTAATTGAAACTCATGTTTTAAGAATTTCTTACTGATATTTTACTAATTCGATAGTTTTATAAAATTCCGCTTCCAATCCTTCATAGTAACTTTTCATGCATAAATGGCAAAAGTAAAACGCTTGAAGTAAAAAGAATAAGTCTGAAAACTTTTTGAATTGTGTGAAAAGTTTTGTTTGATCAACGATGTGACGTACTGATAAAGAAAGCCTATTTTAGACTTTATTTGCAGCTTCTTTAATTTTTTTTTTTGCACTTGCAAAAAAGATCTGAGTAATCAGAAGGAAAACTATAAAAAATACAATTATCGACTGGTCAACTTCTTAGTGCATGCTACTTGGAAAAACTTGATACCTGTTTTTTAAAACCAAGGTAGTTTATAACAAATTACCTCAAAATCCTCTATAAAACGTATTGTCATCCTTTCAAGTTTCAATTTTACTTCCGCTAGCAGAGTATCACGATGTAGTATAGTTGAATCATCCCTGCTCTCGTTCAGCACATCCAAAATTTCATCTTCAACCTTTAATATTTCTGTCATTTTTTACAAATTTTTCAGAAATTAAGAAATCCTTTAAAACTCCCTAAAAAAGAACGATAGAAAAAAGAGGACAGAAAAAAAAAAGAGAAAATGACTTACCTGTTTTTCAAGCAGCTTGAAATCTGTGGAAAAAGAGCTTTCTTTTTCATTGGTAGATAACATATCGAACATTGATTCATAATGATCCTTTTTTTCTGATTTTGCTTCCTCTGTAGAAATTTGAGTTTAAATTTCTGATGTCTCAATTTATCTAATTTTCTTTTCAGAATTCTAATTAATGTGGTGTTTTAATTCAGTGCTTTCTATTTGACTTAGGTTATAACAGCAACTGAACAGTTTCTAAAGAGAACTAGTTAGATGCAATAATGATTCAATTTGGTTAGGTAACAAAGCAAAAGTGAATAAATTAGCTAAGCTAAAAAAATACTGAGAACCTTTTTGTGGACCATATATCCAACTACTCAACCAACTGTATAATCCACCACCAGAATTTTTTGTTCCTTCTTCAGAATGCGAATGATTACTACTGGTTGTTCTATCAGTATCTGAGTCACTGCGAAATACAGCTGAAACAAGCAATATTTTACATAAAATCTTTGATCTATTTAATGCCTCTATAAGTAAGATATAGAATATATAATCTGCATACATAATATGTTAAATCTAAACAGAACCAAAATAACTTTGTATTAACATTTTACTCTTAAAAAACTTCACTAACGAAAGCCGATGTTTTCAAAACTTTCATCATCCGACTGCAGTCCATTTTCACTACATAGACGTGCTTCCTTTTCAGCAAGGATCCGCCGGTATACCGTTTCTCGAAACAATTGTAATTCCTAAAAAACAATTTTATCGGATTTATGCTCAAATTGAATTTTATTGAGTAATGTCTACTCCAACATTTTCTCAATACTTATAATTCAACAATTGCTCGTTTGTAATGCTCAATAATTTGAGTTTGTGAGCGTAGCACTAAAACAGGTAGCATTAACGTTTACTGACATCCGAACATGAAAATAATGAGAAATTAGAATTCAAACAGCACTAGAAACTCGGAACTCACATGATAGGTGTAATTGGAATCTCTTTCGATTTGTTTCATCAAAATTAAATCCTCGGAGTTTGCAGATCTTCTTAAAGAAGCAGTGGTTGTTAAATTTGATGAAGTTGTAATTGTTCCCACTTCTTCCGTATGTTCCGCACCATAATTTTGGCCAAAAGCATTCCCAAAATGTGAGGTTTCATACCTTTCATTAAATTTATTCGATTGACCACTAGCCTAGGAAAAGTATTTTCCAGTAATAGTTTTTTTTTTTTTTTTTAAAAGATTTAGACATCAATTATGAAAACAAGAGTTGTCATGAAAAATTACACATAAACTTTGAAAACAATAACATAAAAAAGAATATAAAACAGGGCATACGGAGATTGCAGATGTCTCCAAGTAAGATAGTAACCTCCGTCGATAAGCTCGACAATATGAGTTCAGTTGCTTTGCACGATTATAAGCAAAACTCCAAGTATGTCTTATTTTTCTTTGCCTTTCTTGGTCCTGTACACGATTGTATGCAAAATTCCACCATTCTTTCGCACTAAAAAAGTAATCCTAATGAAGATACAAGTCTCAACTTTCATGATATACATTACGTAAATATTCTCATTTCTCGTTCAATTGTTAATCAGCAAAAATGTGATACTCTAAGACTGACAATACATACTTTTCACCAACAGTGGTCAGTGGCCGCCATTTTCGATGTTGTCGTGACCTGTCAAACCGAGCCCATTCTTTTCCTAATGAACTCATTTCCAAGAGTTGTCGTTTTGTCAGTTCAATTACAACTTTCTCAGGACACAAATTAAACTACAAAAGAAATAAGTTTTTTCTTTTAAAGCGATATTGCTTTGTTGATAGAAAAAAAAATTGCTGCAAAATAGAAAAAAATTTTTCAAAAAAAAAAAAAAAAAAAGAAAAAAATTTTCAATTCTTCGAGCATAACATAAAAGAAAATTAATTCACACACAAAAAACAAAATGTAAAAGAAGTTAGCTTATCAATCCTTCATACAAATGACAAAACTACATTATCTACGCGGTTCAGACAAAAATTTTGTGAACGTACCTTAAATCTAGGAATATAAGGATATGTTTTCAAAGGAAATTTGTTCGTATTTCTTTCCATATATAAATGAGCACTGAACGGTTGAAGGATACACACATTATCTTTACTGATTTCTGGTGCCATCATATACTACAATTAATATACTTTCTTGCCGGTAAAAACAATAAAAACACTCAAAATTCTAATTTTAATGATATCACTTCTCATTGAGCAAGATAAAGATCATTTTTTAACTTCTAAAAACGGAAAAAATCATTCCATAATTCTTAATTTCTTAAAACGGAAGAAACAGGTGAGAAATTAGACCTGAAGATCCATGTAGCTCTTGATTTCTCCAGTGACTCGCTGCCCACAATTCCAGTACACTGATAAACCTTCTATCCCTAGTTTTTTAAACATATTTACACCATCTCGTGGTTGCATGTATCCAGTTTCCTAAAAACATCAAATCTGATTCTCATACTTTATCCCGAAGTCTATATCTTTAGTTACCAAAAAAAAAAAAATCATTAGTTGCAAATAACGTCACTATTTTAAGATCGCCGTTAACGACATTGATTTTTCATGATTTAATAAGGTAATATTTCTGGAAGCAATGAATGAATTGGAGGAAATCAATGACGGATCAAAATTATCCTCTATTACTTCCATAATACAAACTATAAGATCTCAACAAAAAAGACTATAGAACTTCAAGAATGCATCTACAACAAACAAAACGTAAATATTACGCTATATTGCGAAATATGACTTTTGATTCATGAACCAATTTTAAATGAAAAAGTTGTCAATTTACTGTCTGTCTAATGTCACTTCATTAGCTGAAATAAAATAAACAAGAAGCAAACAAATCAAATTAAAATACCCAATGTGAATTTGTAGTTTGCATGCTGACATTATGTATACGCACACCACAAACAAATGGTATATTGTTCGATAATGTTACATCATCTTCATATCGTATGTGAACATTAGTTAGAACTAACTGCAAAGAAAAAATGAACAAAAATGATAACACTTATTTTCCACTTTTTTGTTCAGAATTATAGCAGTATCATAAATCATAGAAAGGAAATTCACTGTATAATTAAAACATTATAATTATATAATTGCGATAACACAGGAACTGTTTTTCCTAAATTTCAAACTTTTAAAGCTTTGAAATTGAAATACGGTTAAGTATAAATAAAAACAAATTCATAAAAAAAAAAAACTCTAAATACCTGAATATTATTGACAATAGTTGATACTAATGATGCCCCCCACCAGTTTTGTTCCGATGCACTGTCTGGGCTAGGCAAACCCCAATAACTTAGTAATTGTCTCTGAAAATAATCCTATTAAAAAATTTTAAAATAATTATACGTTATTCATTGTTTTGAGGTTCGGATTCATAAAAATTAAACTAGATCCGTTAATATAGGAAAATAGTTATAAAAAAGAGTTAAAAAAGGTTCATGACAGCACGCTTATTCACCATTATACTACCTGCTTGTAAAAATTCTTTGACTTATTAATGGTGTTTTTTGAAATCTCTTTTTGCTACAATATTTCAGCCATTAAAACCATACCATTCGATTTTATAAATCTTTTCTTTTGTAAAAACAGTTTTGTAATTAAAATTTTTTTTTAACACATTATACTCAGCAAAATCATGAATTATGTTCATAAGTTCTTCTTTTGTTTTCGCATATAAAACTTTTAGAATCTGTAGTATTACAGATATTTCTTCTTTCGCTTTCCTTTGTAAAATTCCTAATCTTCTAGCACTTTTCTTTTTTTTCTCGCAATTTGGTGTTTAATAACCCATTTCCTAAATACTCCTCCATACTCAACTTCTTTACATTTACTAAATTTATAAGTATTTTTGCCTTAGGATATTTAAAGAAAAAATTTAAAAAATTCCTTTTTCAAATTTTCAAATTTATTACGTAAGTTTATAATACTCATTTCAAAATTTCAATGTCTAACCAAAACTGGCAAGAATTTTGAAAGATTCTAAATTAAACTAATCTTGCCAATTTTATGGATATGAAGTGTTTTATAAGTTCCTCATATTTAGGATATTTCAAACAACAAACTTCAGCCGAAAAATGTTTTAGCAAAAATTTGATCATTTTATTGTCTACATATAGTCGTAGATATTCATCAAGATTAGCAGTTTGAAAAGGAAAAGTGAAAAAAAAAGAAAATAAATCCAAACCTTATGGTATTTTTCTAGATCCTCTAATTGCTGCTCCTTTTTAGCTTGCTCATAGATTTCTACATTCTCAACATCGTACCGAACTGATGTTGATGGTTCCAGAAGTACCAGTAAATCACTCATTTTGATAACCCATGGTTCACTTCGCAAACGAGTTAATGGTACTGATAGGGTAAGTTTCCCAAGCAAGCCAGATTTTACCTCAAATATAAATTTCATTTTAAGTGCTGTTGGGTGAAGAGAGATTCATATTAGCACTAACATAGCAATTTTAGATTCTACAACTTGAACTGAAGAAAGACATTTTGGAAAATCAGTTGAGAAATGAAACAAATTTTAAAAGAACAAATTCTTTTTTTCTTAATTTGCCTCATAGGACGTCAATTTCTTTGCAGTAACAGTAATCACCAGCTTAGGATGCATGCATATCATTAAGCAAAAGTGTCTAATATGATGGATTGCTAACAAAATGGAAAATAAGAATCAACAAGACCAATTTCATAGATAGGAAATCGACATTAGAAGTGTTAGAAATTTTGAAGACATTCACATTATAACGTATTTTAAAATTTTTACTACAAGTTTAGTTCAAAAATTTATAAAAAAATCTTGGTTACCTTTAGTGGAATATCGAATTTACGCAAAGCCGACTTCTTCAGGGGAACATTTTCCAGTTCAACCTGTCCTGAAAGTTATATTTTACCACATTATATACTTGAAATTCCGATTTGTTTTCGAAAAGAAACTTAATAATTGATTTAAAAAATCGAAAATTGAAAAAAAAAAGGAAATAACGAGTGGAAAGACATTAATAAATGATGTGATGATGGCAAAGCAGGACATACCTTGCAACAAAGCTATGCTTAACTGATCGGTATTCAAATTTTCTAAATATTCTCCTACATAATTGTTAAGAACCCAAGCAACTAAATTTTCCAACATTTTCTCCTCACCAATCTGAAATGACATAATTTATATTAAATATTTTGAAAAGTGCAGAGCAACTTTATTTCTCGTCAAATTAAATTTTGATTTACGCTGCGTCAAGCAGAATTGCACATTGCGATCGTATTAAGCGAAGAAAATAAAATTGATGGATTTTCTACCTTTAAATAAAGTGAGAATATGATGGATTTTCTACCATCGATTTACTGCTTAAATAAAGTGAGTTTAGTTTAACGCAGCTCAGGTTGAACTGAAACTTAACAAAAGAATTTCTGTGGTCAACAGAGTGTTAAAAGCTTATGCGATTATGCGATGATGGGCTGCAGAACAGGTTATATTGAAGGTAAAAGTAAGAAGTAATATAGTGAAAGGTATTGCAACATTGCAGTTTCAGTGCACTTCCAACCCAAATTCGATAGTGTAAGCAGCAGCAGTTGAAGCAGTGAACTTTTTGAAGGAAGTCGTCGGGATTTTGTAGTAGAAAAGTTAAGTTCTGTTTCAGAGTTATTAGCGTTCACTCTGCAGGGTGCGTTTTATTTGTTTGTCTTGTATGAAAATTTGTTGGGCAAAAACAGAAAGAACGGTAAAGTGATATTAAATTTATATAATCTCGACATTAATAGCGCATCAAACAATTTTTAAAATTAGAAGAATGAAATAGTGATCAGTCTAAATCATATCCGGAAAGAGCTAGAAATGTTATTCGTCTTCATCACAATTTAATCCGGCAAACTGACCACCGTAAGTAACTTAAAAACAGACAAGGACGTCAGTGACGGGGATTGAAGTCCCACGGGTATAACGTGTCTCGCTACGAAATTCTCAGTGCCACGTAAGTTTTCTAGTTAGCGTACGACATGTAAGATAGAGATTCCTAATGATTATCTATGGAAAAGGTAGGAGTACACGGTTACGACGAGTATCCAGGTTCGCTTCAAACTGCGGTATTGTTTACTGCAATCACACCTTACTTTCTGATTTTATTCCAACTATGTAGGTTAAAAGGATGTATTCGATCCAAAATGACAGAAAGTCAAGTGACACTTTGCTTAATAGCGTTGATTGATCATATTTCGATTATATATCATAGGTATAGTTTCTTTAGAAGCAGAGGAAGTTGCTAGCAAATTGTTTTGTGATTGATAAGATGATATGTACTGATAAGCATACTGTTATATTTATTCAATAATTTTCGCTAAAAATATGATACATATTTCTCGTTTGTTAGCATCATTTAGAGCTCCGTCGTTGCTTTTATCATTGAGAAGCCAATTAATTTGTACATTATCCACCTGAAATAAGGTAATTCTAATGAATAATGAATGAATGAATAGTTAGTAGTATAAACGATAAGCTTTTATAACATATTAAGTTGAAGCTAATTGTTTTTGATCTTATTGAATAAATGTTATTCTTTCGTATGAAACTGGGATTCATCTTTGATAACTTGTTTACTTACCGTTTACCTAATGAAATATTATTAAACAGACAGCAAGTTCGAGAATTTTTTCATTTAAGCGGTAGTGTCGCGAATTTCAATGTCATGGAACTTCAAATAAAATAACAAAATGAATTTATATAAAAATTAATCATTCAAATTGTCAATAATTGTTAGCAGTGTTATGAATCATTTAACTAATTTTAAATTCTTCAGCTTTATTCTTGTTCATTCGTTCCTTCTTGTTATCTTATCTAACTGAAAATCACATGCTAATCTCCCAATTTGATCTTGTTACAATCCTTATACTGTAAGGGCATCATCTATCGTGTATGCAAATGAATATCTGTGTAATGTTTGTTGTAATTATTCCCAATTCTCAACACATATATAAATGTGATACTAACAAAAAAGAAGTTTCCTATTACAAACAACTCGTAACTTTCTTTTTTTTCCTTGCTACTTTGTCTACTGGTACTGTTCATCTTAAAATCATATTATATTAATAAAGATTCAACAGTCTTACTGTGTTTTTATAAACTAAGCGTAATCGACGTCAACTATTTTGCTTCTACGGTCTACGTAATACTATCATCAGTTGAATTGTTTATTCTATAATCAAGATAAGCCTTTTAAATTTCTGTTTGTTTCTGATCCTCAACAAAGATAAAATAATTCACAACAGGTGGCAGCTCACAATATCAGCCAATTTATTTGATTCTAGAATTGCTAAGGAACATATAGTGAAATATTATTTCAAGAAGATGGAGGTTTTAAAGAACAGAAATGTGATGACTAACTATTTTTTCACTGACCGTTTTCAATTGAAATGAGCTTAATTGGAAATTGGATAAACAAAATGGGTCAGATAAAACAACTGCAACAATTAATTATGATGATCGAACGGAAAAACTCCAAGAAAAGCTTCAGAGAAACTTCAACTAAATCTGCTCTAAGAGAAATAATGATTGTTTGATGAAAAGGTAGTTATTAAACATTTTATCTTTTTTAATTTGGCTCAAATGTTGAACAACCATAGAATGATCAATTTTCGAACTTTTGAGTAAGTTCCTATACAGTATAAAGATGATTACTGTTTTAAATAGCTATTATCTACTACTAAAGTTCTTCAAATCTCATTAAAATCATTATTACTTTGAAACGATTGTGCAGGTTTATCAGATATATCCACAATTTCGACTCCTACAGCTAGCACTAATAAGTGGAAAAAAAATTCATTTTGTGTCATATACCAACGATTCAAGTAAACAAATTGAAGTTGCCCTTACCGGATCTGATCTACAATGTTTACCGGATTACACCAGTTCTACAATTATATCGATTACTTTTTGCTGTTTAATTTTAATTTAATTTACAAATAAATGTTTCAGATAATGATTTGAAATTAATAGTTGAAGGTGTTGTTATTTTGCATCAGTCTAATAATTATTACTTACAATCAGGTGAATGTCTGCACACAAATTAAATATCTATTGGTAATATTTTCATGTAACTCACACCTTTTTAAGTATGTAAAACTGTTAGTTATACCTTTCCACATAATGTGGATTTTAAAAAAGGGAAATAATAGTATAACATGCCATAGGATATTCTTTGAGTATACTGACACCTTGCTGATAGTAGTACGTCTTGCCTTCCTCAAGAGGACACGTCAGGTTACCACCTCTGCACGGATTTTTTTCTTCCAAATTGAATGATACAATAACGCCACCGGCGATTTTTGCCCGTACTGCAGTTTCAAGAGTTTCTGTTGTTCGTGCTAAAAATAGGTGTGAAAATAATAGCATAAAATGAAATGGTTAAATGCAATTTGCAGATTCATCATTAAATGCAAACTTTATATTTCTCGTTGGTTAATTAACTATTGAGTATAAAAATTTAACGAGCAAGCAATTAACTTAAAAAAGTTTTAATATTTAATTTAATTTTATCCATATATATTTATTATAAATATTTCAAAATGATTAAATCTAGCATTTTGGATTATTTTAATAAAAATTTAACTCATTTTGCAATTCTTTTTGAGTCCAAATAAAACAGTCAAGAATAAATTTTGTTGCATTTACTGCTGCATTTCTTAGAATGTTTAATAGAAAATAATAATAGAAGAAGTAATACCTGAATACATTGAATTTGAACAGTTCAATTCATTCTTCTTTAGTTTATTACAGTCATTGAAAAGCAGTTGTTAAATTAAATTTTGCTTTATCCATCAAAAATTTATAAGCCAAAAATTGATCGAATTGATAAAAAAAAAGTTTTTACTTGGAACGAATTCAATTCGTAAATGCGGTGTTGTCCCTCTTCTGAAAGCACAATGGCGCTGCGATGAGCCCACACATCCATTTACTTCTACATTTGTAATATTGAATACTGATTCTAAAACCAATTTTTGTATAAGAATACTAGTGTCGAGCTAATCTTATTAATTAAAAATTAAATTAAATCTATCAGATGATTGACAGTCAATGTGAAATAATTCTTTTCAAATTGCTTAATCTACCAGTGAACTCAAAAATCACTCCTACCAGCAAATTTATTCGATCAAATAATTTAGAAATCTCAAAAATTGACAACAACTTTATAGCTTACTACAATTTTTGAATTTAATTTTCTGGAAATCTGCATGTACAGAAAATGCAATCCATATGAGCGAGAAAGTAACGATCGAAAATGTTACCATCATTTATTCTGGAAAAATTTGGAAAATTTTCTTCAAGCTATCAATTAGTCAACAATATTTCTATGACCTTATTACTTGTCAAATATAATCAAAACACAAAGAATAAAAAAAAAAAAACGAGTAAATACTGTTAAAGCCTAAAAACTTATTTAAATTAGTATCACAATCAATGTATTACTTGGATATCAAAAAAAAAAAAAATTGAAAAGAATTTGTTGAGAGGAAATGAAAAGATCGAAAATAAATTAGTCATAAATTGAAGAACAGGAAGAAAGTCTGTTCAAATAGAATATATCTTTTGATTTTTCCCCTTATAACCAACTTTTTATCCATCATTTACTAAGAATACTTCCCAGTATCATTCATTTATTTAACCTATCCTAGGATATTTAAAGATCGTTTTAATTTTACCATTTTTTTTTTTTTTTTTTTTTTTAAATTTATAATACTAAAATTAACAGTCATTGTTCAACTGGAATGGTTAATGAAACAAATACTACGTATGACATAATTGCATATTTCTTTTCACTTTTTGTTTTTCATTTTTAGCCATGTGAACTTTCTCATGTTTGTAAGGTTGAACTTTAATCGAAATAAAACTTTTCTAATAACAACTCTCAACTAATATCATTGATCAAAAATGTATGTCAGATGTACTTCAGTGTCGATAAGTTGCAAATCAAGAACTGTCGTCTTACCTCTTCTTTATTCGAGAATGAAAAAAAAAAAGAAACGAAACCTGCATTACAAATTTTACAACTTTTCTGATTCTCAACACACACACACACATCGTAAAGTCGCATATAGCTCAATTAAATTTTCTTGTTACACTTTTCCGCAGTTTTTCATCCTTTTACACTTTGCTGTAGTGTTTACACTGTTCACATCGAAAAAAAAAGTATTAAACTTTACACTACTAATTAACGAGACTACTAATTAATGAGAGTAAAAATCTAAGATCAGTAAAAAGTACTCTAATGCTAATTGATAAAAATGAAAGGTAGAATGTATCCGATGAATGCACTCAGACAGATGAAAGAACTGCCAGTAGGTTTCAACAAAGTTTTAAAATATTTCATTAATCAATAATTGCAGACAACAGCTTCAGCAAATGAACAAGCAAGAAGAGATACTATCGAAGGCTGATGAAACAAGTTTTGATCTGTAAACCTTTTTTTTTTTCTATTTTTCAAAATGTTTCCCTTTTTTGAAATATCATAACTCATATATAAATCAACTCATGTATTGATTGCTATTACCAAGTTTAAAAGTAAAAGGTAGAAAGATATAGAACACATTTATTATACCACAAATTCTCCTATCTCTTTTAGTATGCTACAATATAAATAAAATATGAAATTCACATTGCATTAATCAGTTTATTTTACTATTTACTGATCAGGTTATTTCACTCAAATTCAATTAGTTTGTTTTAATTATTTGAGAGAATATCACAGCATTCATTTACAGCTCAATTAAAAAAAAAAAAAAAAAATGAATATTAAAAACGATAACAATAAGTGATTGAACTGAATTGATGAGTAACATTTTTAGGTATTAAGTAAGTATTTCAAAAATTTCAATTAAGTATTTTGTATAGAACTCCAAATGGACCATTTGTGTTTTTAATTCTATTCAGACTAATATCCTCAGATAAACATTCTTGAAAATGTAAACATTCGTTAAAAAGATAATTAATCAATCATATATGCATTGAATAGAAATATATTACAAGTAAAAAAGTTAAGAATTGAATTAAATTGAAATTTTGTTTCATTTTAATCAATTTCGATAACTAACATTTTTATGGAAGTGATTGCAGCAATAAATATCCGAGTGTTATTTTAAATTGACGCATTCTTCAATTATATTTCTCGCAACGATTCTCAAACTAATTAATTCATTAGATAAAAAAAAGGAAATAACTCAGTAATTGTAATTATAATGTACACTTGAACAGAATTTATAAAAGAGCTCTTTAAATTTTATTAAAATAGAATTGCTTCGAAATGTGAAATTTCTTTTAAGCAAAAGCACTTTATTGAGTAATTTTCAAGCATATTATTATTTATTAGTCTTTTAATATATTGTTTTAATTAATCATTTAATAGCATCTAATGATGCTTGATTTGGTTTATAATCACTTTTCACTTGCAGTGGCCGATTTTTCTTTTAAATTCAAGTTCAAAAGTAGCCAAAGAATTCACAAAAAAGATATATGGCAATGTGTTGAAAACATTTTGCCCAAAAAGCGTTCCAAAAAGATATTTCATAATTGAAATCAATTTTAAATGATAAAAGATATTTAGTTCATTTGCCATTCCACAAAAGGATAACATTTGATTTGAGAGTAAGAAAGAATGAATAAAGAGGAGATGAACAATAAATAATAAAATGGATACATGATGAAGAGAAGAAGATTGTATTCTGTAATTAAAATGATCACACAAATATAGTGGGATAGGCTTAACCCTGTCCATACTTCTAGTCAAAAGCATATCTAAACCTGTTTGTTTAGTTTGCTCAAATACAAGATACATGAATAGAAATTGCAAATTTTAAGCCTCAATAATTGCTTCAACTTAGCAAATCGAGAAAGTTAGCTTACGGTGAGCTTTCTTCGACAGAATGAGGAGAACAAATTAGAAATAATTAGTCAAAATGGCGTAGTATCAGTGATAAGAAGAAACAAAGTTGTTGCATAATAGGGCTGCGATAGATCAGAGTTGTGATGTAGTTAGTTGTTTGTAGGAAGTGGCGAGTGATTTCTTGAACTATAAATTCGGGTTATTTGATTCATTGATTACTCTTAGTTCATATTGTTCATATATCTGTTATTTTTTTAGATTTTTTGTTTTCCTGGTGGTATATTTCGAGCTGTGTAACTTTGCGTGTTATGGCTAAGTATTGCTTAAGTAAGTATTCTCAATTTCTTGCGATTAATTCATTTTTAGATGCTTGACACTTGTTTATATACGTTTTTCTTTTTGAAATTTGCAGAAAAACCAAGCAAACGACAAACATGTGCGAAACGTTATAAAATAGCGAAGAAAGTCAGGGAACACAACAGGAAGCTTAAGAAAGAAGCGAAAAAAGATAGTAATGTTTAATGTTTTTGTTTATTTCTGATTTTTTTTTTTTTTAAATTGGGAGATCAATTTGTTTTGCTCTCTTATTAGAGGGAGAGAGAGAGAGAGAGAGAGAGAGATGTAAGAATGTGGATCACTTGCTCTCTTAAAGCTTATTGCAGTTTCTTATTCACCTTCGTCCATGCTAGACCATTGCATTTTTGATGAAATTATATGAATCAGTCATTCCGCTCAATTTTTTTAAGCTATTATTTCTGATTTTCAAAAGTCAAGAAATTGTTATCATTAAATATTGTGAATATGTTTAGAAGCGAAGGTGTGGAAGGCTAAAAACAAGCCAATAAATGTACCAAACAAGTGTCCATTCAAGGAAGAAATATTGATACAAGCAGAAAAAGAACGAGAACGCATTGAGAATGAGAAATGTGAAAGAAAAAAAGCTAAGAAGCAAAAGCAACCCGATGTTGCAAGGGTTGGGACAAAACGCAAATGTATTTCGGATAATTTACACACATTGGCTTTGAAGGCTACAGAGCAGGTCACTTCACACCTATTTTTAAATATATTCTATCATACGAATTATCACGACTTGTGTTTATTTGTATTCAGATGATAATATTTGTTTTTGCTAGTGTTGTGAACTTTATGATCTATTTCTTCCGTAATGAAATTTGTATTTTCAAGGAAGAAGAAATATCAGAACGTTCTGAGAACCAAAATGTGAGAAATTTGGAAGAAATACGTGAGAAAATACAGAAACAGTATGCTAGTGAAGTTCGGAAAACTGTTGAATCGGCAGATATTATTATTGAGGTCTGTTGCAGTGTACTGACTATGTCATGTGATACAATACACCATAAATATCTGGATGCTCTTGGTTGAAGAAATAAGAAACAAGATGCATCAGAATATTCCAAAGCGCGAGTTCTTTTGCAGTGAAATGGTTCAGTAGTTGGTACTGTGAATTTTTCAAAAATGGCAATAGTTGCTGTAGTACCAAACAGTTACATGAAGAGTTATCACTCGAAGGTAGACCCCCTGACGAAATAACCTACTTTAAATAGCATTAGAAACTAATTGCAAAAATTATGATCTTTGATAATCTGCATATATTTGTAGGTGCTCGATGCGCGAGATCCGTTAGGGAGTAGAAGCAGAAATGTCGAAGAAAGTGTTTTGAACGCAGGAAAACGACTTGTTTTGCTTCTAAACAAGATTGACCTTGTACCGAAAGGAAATGTAAAAAAGTGGCTTGCGTATTTGCGCCAGCAATTGCCAACTATAGCTTTCAAAGCTTCAACTCAAGAACAGAATCGTAATTTGGTAACTTGCTGCTTAAAAACTCGTCGAATTTAATCTAGGAGGAAATAAAGAAATAAAGACTTCCAAATTAATATTTAATTGATAGAAAAATTCTGAATCGAGATCGTTTTCAGGGACGTTTCAATTCATCAAATTTGCATTCTAAAACTTCAAAATGTGTTGGGGCAGATCTTGTGATGAAGCTTTTGTTAAATTATTGCAGAAACAAGGACATTAAGACATCGATTCGGGTGGGTGTAGTAGGTGAGTATTTTTAGTATGATTGGCTATCTTTTGATAATAAATGATATATTTTGATTTATGAAAGTATTTTTTATATTTTAACTTTGATAAGTAGTATTGAAAGCATCTTACAGACAATTTAGTTGTGTTCATACCTTCTCGTTTTTAGCAAAATGTCAAATTGTTGGAATAGACTCGGGAACGTAGCGTAATTGTATCTTTGTTGCCGAACATTGCAGAGGCTTTTCAATACTTTTTCTTGCATATGAAAAATACTTTTAATACTTTTTCTTGCATTTAGTGATGGATAGGCACTCAGCAGAGAAACAACTGTGAAAAGATAAATGCTTTAACATAATTTAAATCATTCTGGTTGCCGTTGTTTCATTGGCGAATTCTGAATAGTGTTCCCTAAAGTGATTGGTAGCAACTGACGAAATTAAAAATTCCAAATCTTTGAGAATGTTTAAGTAGTTTCTCATCTAAACCACAATTAATTTGGTTCGTTTAGGTTATCCTAATGTTGGCAAAAGTAGTTTTATCAACAGCTTGAAAAGGAAACGAGTTTGTGATGTTGGTGCTATTCCAGGAATTACGAGGTACTCAGAATCTTACTACTTTGTGTTGAAAGAAAGAAAATCTGATTTTTTTTTTTCCATTTTATATTGAATGTCGAGTAATGTACTGTCATATATTTTTGATATGTACTTGTAACTACTATCACATATATATATATATATATATATGTATTTTTTATTGCCACTTCTTCCAGACAAGTGCAAGAAGTAAATTTGGATAAGCACATCCGATTGTTAGATTCTCCTGGTGTAATATTAGAGCCAAAAGGACGTTTGGATAGCAGTGAAATTGCTCTGAAAAATGCAGTACGAGTGGAAAGCCTAACTGACCCCGTTGCTCCAATACAAGCCATTTTGAGACGCTGTTCTCGAGATAGTGTTAGTTTTGCAGTGTATTTTATGTAGGCGAGGACCTCTTTTTCTCATGATTTAGTAGTAAAGGAAATATATTAATAAGTAGAATAGAGTTTTTCCTCTTTTTGCCTATTTTGAAACATGACTTGTTTTCAGCTGATTCTTCACTATGAAATACCAGAATTCAAAACTTGTGATGAATTCCTGGCCTACATTGCTCGAAAAGGGGGTAGGCTGAAGAAAGGTGGTTGTCCTGATTTGAATGCTGCAGCTCGAAAGGTTAGTTTCAAGGCTGGAATCAAGATTGGTATTAATTCTCTCGAGTAATGAAATAGTTTTCTCTCTCTTTAATTCTCTCAATAATAAAACAGTAGTTTATTCACGTGAGAAAGACTTTAAAATGTATGTTTTTATGCCTTCAGGTACTGATGGACTGGAATTGTGGAAAACTACGGTACTTTACAGAACCGCCAGAGAGTATAGTGGATCAGAGTCCCAGTTTGTGTTCTTCAGAGCTGTTAAGTGAAATGTCAAAGGAATTTGATTTGGAAACATTAAATGATGAGCAGAAAACGTTAGTGGAAGGTAGGCTTCCAATTATATTTTTTTATCAGACTGATTTATCCAATGGAAATGTTAAGAATCGCCACATAAATTATTTCAATGTTGTGAAAACGTGTTTTGCATATAATTTCCTAAATTGAGGGCTACCAACCACAAGCGCCATGAAAGTAGTGGTAAAATATAATCTGGCAGCAACAACAGAAAAAGAAGAAGGAAATAATGATGGAGCACGAATGGAAGTTGAAAACATACCGGGGGATACTCTTATCTGCTGTGAAGAGAAGGTAGTTTGCCCCATTTCTTGTTTTATTACTGATTTCAGTAGTTGCGAAGTCTTTTTCTTTTTTCATAAACTCTTAGTTGAAAAATCTTTGTTCAAAGTTAGTGTTAAAGTAGAGCTAACAGAATGTAACTGCCTAATTTTTTATCGCTGCAAAATTTTCCTTTTGTTCATTACGTACTTCCGAATTTAATCCGCTGAAGACATCATTGTTTTGTTGTTTTAGAAAAACATACGAGACGACGTAGTGATGAATGAAAATAGTCTCTTGGATTCCTTCAATATTGATGGGAACTCCCAAATAAATCGTGCGATTAAGATAGCAGTAAAAAAACACAAGAAGAAAAAGAAGAAACTTCGTAAGTTCTTGAAAGTAGTAGCGGGGGGAATTCCGGCGAGAGATTGTTAGGAGTAATTGGCTTCTTACTTTTTAATGCCTGACATCAAATATTACTAAAAAAATTGAAAACCGTCTTTTTTTAGATAAGCGTACTGAAGAAATAATTAATACAATGACATCAACATCACTTACCGACAAGCAAGAAGATTATGATTTTGGTATGATGAATGAAAAGTAAATTCAACTTTGTTTATTTTGATTGTTGTTTTCGTTGATTATTTTATCAATTTTATTAATCGTTACTGTTTTCTTCACCTATAAGAAAAAGAAAAAGCATCTGAAAGATGTATTTATATTCTGTGCAATTTTTGCTTTTTCTCATAGAGGAGTTCCTTTGAGAGTAACTTCATACTTGGAATGCACATAACTTGTGGCGATTATGCTTTATCTCAAATAAGAAGTAAAACGGCCATGCACCTTCCCGTTCGGATGGGACGAGAATCCTACTTGCGCTTCAGATATGGTACACTTCTTGTTGTATTTTTGAAATATTTTTGTTTCATGGAATGCTCAGTTTGGAAAAATACCTCACTGGAGTGAAATGGTAGGTGAAGTAGGAGTAAAAGTTATTATAAAGAAGGGTAGAGCAAATGTGGTTACAAAAAATGCGAGCTGTCAATTGAATGTCGCAGTTAGTTTCACATTTTGGTAATAGTTTCTGCTGTTCCCTAGAATGATTTGTCACTTACATAAGTGTCTGTTTCAAATTGGGGAACAATTTCATTAGTGGGCCGTGTAATAAGCATCTTAATCGCAAGTAATAGGTGGAGTTGTATGGAAGAAGGTGGGCAAGTGATTCTAACTTGTAAGTCGACATATGCATTGAGAGCTAGTTAGAAATTTTTGATTGAGTTCTCATTCTTAATGTTAAAGGCCTCAGAGCACATCTCTATTGCAACGTATTATAAAGTTAAGACACGTAAAATGCGTTTCTTGATAAGTCTAGGATTATTGTGTATACTGAGTTAGTTGTAAAAGAGAATTGGTGTGGGGATCAGGACGATAGTAAAACAATACACAAGTGCGTTTTATGATCACATAGGTATTATCTTTCATAGGAAGATGCTGACAGTTCTTTCTGAAGACAAACATTTTGACAAAAATTATGTTGAAGAGGATTATCTGATAGAATTTATCAAAATTGAAATGGCTAAGTTCATCTGGCAATCTCTGATGGCAAAAGGTGGTATTTAGTGGAATAATACTGGGGTTTTCGAGGACACATATTCGAAGATCAATGATCAGTGGTATTTAAAACTTATTATAGCTGCATGGCAGTAGCTTTTTTTTTTCAAGCAATATTTAACCCTTTCACCGTGACTTATTTATCCTAAATCACTTGTTTTAGAAGAAACATGTCAAAAAAGAACGTTTGATAATTCAAAATCAAAAAAAAGACATTTAGATTTGATAGTAATGCTTTAATTTTGATTACAAAATGTAAAAAGAGAAGAAATAGTATTTTCAAGAATAAGGGAAGGGTTTATATCATACCTTAATAGTGTATGATGCTGATCCGAAGAGCATTAATAGGTATTGTTTGCGTATTCGCTTCGCACCTTTCCGTTTGCTTGTCTTCGTTGTGACTTAGGAAGCTTCAAGAAGGTCATACTCTTTTGAGATGAGCGAAGCAGATCACTAAACTATAAATTTTGCCGAATAATTTTGGGGATTCATTTAATAGGGAGACATTTTTTACAGTAATTTTCAACATTTTTCTTTTGACTGCGGGATAAATTCGCTTATATCCCTTTTTTCTTCGGAATTCATTTTTGTTAGCCTCCCTTTCCTTACCTTATTTTTATAACAACTGAAAAATGTCTGTTGAAATGTTTGCTGAAAAACTGAAAAGAAAAGCTTATATCACAGAAAAATGAATTGAAATTTGAACCGCTGCTTTGATTACTACTTTGCTATTTAGAAATGCTGTATTTCTTTCTCAGTTGTAGAGATGGTGAAAAAATTACCGGAAAAGAGTGCGAAACAACCAGTGCGTCAGTCGCATCGAACTCGCATTATAAATACTCGTTTGAGTACACCACCAAAGATTCTGCTAGATATGCTTAAAGATCATTCATCATCTGAAAAATCACTTCCTGCTGTAATAGACATGGAAAGGATAAGTAAGTGATCGGATACTAAGCTCTGTTTTGAAAAATTTATCTTGTTTTTTGTCTTTTTTTAAAAAAAATTTATCAGATGTGAGTTTATTACGAAGTCGGATTGTGACTCCATCATTTTAATTAATAAATCAAAGTAGAACAGGGAATGTTTAATGTATTGGTATTTTCAGAAAATGTCTCACAGAAGACAGCAAGAACTTCAAGTAAGCAAATTGTCAAGTCAGAAAATATTGTTACTCAACTATCAGATGCTAGGCCTCATCGACACATTCAAAAAAAACGATATGCAACACCATTTGAGGAAATGATTGAATCTGAGCACCTTCCGAAAAACGTTTCAAATGGTTGGTGATTATCGAATATCTGAACTTTGTTGTTATATTATAAAACGAAATGTACAATCGATCTCTCCAGTATTCTTTGTTGCTAATTGTAATGGTAAGCGCTTCTCCCAATATCTGAGCGCACATTTCTGATTTTGCAGTAAATATTATTCATTAGACTGTCGTCAAAAAGAAAAAAAAAATGCTATTTTGAAGTTACAGACCTGTTCATCTTTGCTTGACTAAGTCTTATGTTGTTCAGTTTGCTTGCATGTATAAGGATTTTCTCCATTTTTTTTTTAGAAACATTGGAAGAAACAGCAGCATGTCCTTCAAATCAGTCGAGGAAACTTGGTGCTTCCCAAGATTCAAAAAATGAAAAAGTACATGCTTCACGTAAAACTTTGGACAATACATCTTTAAAAACTCGACATTCTTCTCGCATTCGTATCCCAAATTCACGTTTCAGCTATTTGCTGCCTGGTTTTTTGGAACAGGCGTCCGGCAATAGAAAAGGAAAAGATAGCATGAAAAGAAATGACGGTAGGGATTATAGTTTTTTCAACATTTTTATATGGATATTTTTTCATTATAAAGTTTATTTTAATCTGTTGATTATCTCTACATTACCCATATAGATCGTCATATTTTTCAAAAGGCACTTTTTGAAGCTTTGTTTAAGAAATCTGTTTGGGAACTTTTTCTTCGTTTAAAAAATTGAAAAAGCTCCAGTATGTAAGAGATTAAGTGTTTTATAAAAGATACTGTAGAAAACTTTTGACTCATAGTACAGATTTTCTTGTTCTAAAAATTAACACTCTTAATAAGTGGACAGTTTTATGGTTATTTAGATAGAAAGACGAACACATTGTTGATGCCGGAAGAAGAAAAAGTTGTTGCACACAGTCCAAAAATAGCGTGTAACAAATCCAACATGACAATTAAACCGCGTCATTCTGAGCGACAACGTATTCCGAGCAAACGTCTTAGCTTTCCAGATGTTTGCTCCGTCATTCAAACTCAGAAAAAATCCACTAAAGCAAGTTAGTCTTTTATTTGTTATCATAGAGTTACCCTTTTTTACTTGTTTATTATTACACAGTTACCTTCATTCATTTTGATTTGGTTTCAATGCTTCTTAAAATAAACAAAAACCGAATTTTAAATTAATTTATCTCGAGTCGACTCGGAATTTTGACATGTGGGATTTCTGAGAGGATCGAAAAATTTATGGTATTATCTATATTTTTTGTAGTTTCAATTTGAAAATTGTCAAGAGAATTTGCCTTTGCTGAATTCATAATTACAGTGGTTTTTTTTTAATTTGTTTGTTCTCGTCCTTTCGTTAATTGAAAAAGTCTTAAGGCATTTTTAGGAATAAAATTAAAATATTAGTTTGCAGAGTTGTGCAGGAAATTTAAATGTGAAGTTTTCTTTAGTAAGAACTTGGTATAGTTTCAATTTTGAGCGAAAACTATTAAAAATTTATGCATAATGTTTCATGGAAAAGTAATTCTATATTCGTACCACTATGCCTTGCTGGTAATTGCATGTATTAGTTTTTCAGTAGAATATTCAGTTGAAATTGGAGAAATTTTTTTGAGTAGGATGAATTTTGTCTATTAGCTGTTGAATTTGAAAACGCTTAATCAGATTTTTTTTAATATTGCATATATGTATATCAGATATGCAATGTACGTTTCTCACAACTCCTGATTGTTTCAGGACCAAAAGTGGAACAGACGTATGTTAAAGTTCAGAAGTATAAGAATTTCAACAAGAAACAAGCAAGCATTCTAAAAAACCGATTAAGCGTAAAAGCTACACCAGCAAACTTATCTATGTCATCCATCACTAGTAATCGTCAAGTTCACAGTAGTTTGGAGGTCCCATCGATTTTGTATCCATATAGGCCAGCAAGGTGTCAAGCTCTATGCGTAGAACCATCTTCATCAATGACGAAAGATTATGTCAGTAAAAAGGATATTGAAGAATTGCTAACTGAAATAAATAAAGCTTTGGCATGCGTTACCGATGAAGATTATAGCGAATTGCGTGAGAAGATTGCCCACCATCTAAACAGTCTTTATCGAGAAAACTGTCGTTTTCGTCAAGCTTTACATCAGTTGAGATCCGAACTCGAAAGTATGTCAAATAACTCAACAATAAACCGTTATAATTTGCTTATAAAACAAAACGGTGAGTTGCGTGAGCAAAAGGTTCTTGCCGATATCAAATGCGAAGCGCAAATGGAAGAAGTACGTAAACTGCTAGAAAAAATCAGAACCTTAGAAGTTCGGAATAAAGATTTGGAAAACTTCAGAAATCGATTGATAGAACAAAAAAAGCAGCAACATTTGAATGGTAAAAGAAAGAATTCTCACACTGATTTCATCAATGATTTGTCGAAGACGGAAACGCAGGATCCAATGGATGCTGAATTAGATTCATTGATTTTGAATGAAATTGATGGTAAAATTGTGAAGTCCAATGACAATGAAGTAGGATGGGGTAATGATTCATGGATGTTACATTGCTAATAAATGTTACAGAGTTGCTTGTATTGTTATCCTTTGTGTTCTCATAACTATGCTTTACTTATGGATTGATTACAGATACACATATTTGTTGTAATACTCAGCTTCTTTGTAATTTTTTTTTTTCTTATATGTATAGAGGTTATTAATAAATCAAGTGCATGATTTGGCAGAAATAGGTATTTCATTTTTTAAACTTTATTTTGTATAAGAGAATGTTTAAATTATGTAAGATTCCATGTATGACTTCGAAAAAGAAAAGCTAATTGTATTATCTTTTCATATTGATTTTTGTAAAATGAGTTGATCACTCATTTCACGAACAATTAATTTACTAAAGCGAGTATTATAAGCATTTATATGGTAGTAATATTTTGCAGTTTTTGACAAACGAAACTGATATTTCATTTTTGAAAATATTATGTTTTATAAGTATATATGAAATACTGCAAACATTACTGTTCATAGAATTATAACAATGCTAGCATTCATTTATTTATCGATTTTGTTTTTTTTTTTTTTTTTACCCTATTGAATGACAAATTGCTGATATCATCTGTATTTAGAAGTGCAATGAAAAGAGAAAAAAGTCTGTACGTATTATTGGATTTAACTTGCAAATGCATAATAGACAATAGATGTACATAAAATAATAAGTAGCAACAATTAGTATACTAAGGCGAGAAATGTATAGATTTTAAATTAAATTCATGATGTAGTTTTGTAGTGGTTATTCTTCATTAAAGTTATTATAGATCAGAAGATATATCATTTCACTAAAATCAAATTTAATGAGGATGATTTGCTCGCCTCTCTATATCTCGCCATTTGTTTTTATTCATATGTATGATTGGCGCTTTTCTCCTCAAGTATGAACTGGTTATAAAAGCACAACAGATAATTTCATCTTCGATGTTCATTTTTATGAATTCTAATTTCCAGTCTTTCCTTTAGTAGTTTAGTATTTTATATAGATGTATGAAGATTTATATACATTCTAATTTATATTTAAATCTTTAGCACGTCAAAATAATTCCAAAGCATGAATTTAAATTATTTATCTATTGTAGAGAGTCTGTGTACAGTTTGAAATGATCCATGAAGGAATAAATATGTTACATTAATGAAAAAGTTTATTGACAATAAATGGAGAAAAGAGAATTACAATAGAAAGTGAAAAGATAGCAACCAGTGATAACAATAGAAGACATTGAGACTTAGAGAGAAAAGATTGACAATGAACATGCAATGTTTTTAGTGAATTCACTGATAGTCATGAGATGTCAAATGACGGATTAGTATTTCATCGTAGTTATATGCTTTGCCAATGCTCTACAATTTGTTAATTAGATCATCTATCTTTCCATCATGTTAATATCATCGCTTTGCTTTTTCAAATTTAAAAAAAAAATGCTATTTCATCATGGAGAAAGAACTTGGTATTTTTTTAAGACATTTATTGGTATAGTTCTCTTCTTCACTCAAAGCAACTATGATGTCTTGGAAATTTGGTCATAACTTCGAGTAGTTAAAACATGCGAACATATAGGAAGTCCTCACAACTGTGAAGAACTTTTATTGAAAAATGAATTCCAAAGGATTCAGTATAATTCGAAGTGTAGGGGGATTAGCAGCAGATACTACCTATGACGGAAAACCTGGAAGATTGTCTTCACGTATTTTGATATTCCAAACGCATTCTAAACTAAGTGCAAATGTAGAAGAAAACAAAATAAATTATTAACTATGAGCAGCGAATCGAAGAGTCCTTCGAAAAGCCAAACAAAAACAGTTGCAAACTTTAGCTATGTCTTGTTACTTCACTTTGGGATTTCAAAATGACCAGAATGGCGTCAAATATATTTTAACTTATAAAATAGATGGTACCAAAAGCTGCATATGACCCACGACATGCTAACCATAAAAGTGAAAAATTAATTGAAGACAGTAGTTAATCAACAATGAAAAATATTGAGACAAGAGAATTGACATAACAATGTCTGGAAATGAACACTTGGAAAACAATAACAAAATGGTAACAACTCACTTACAGAACACTATATTTCGAGCGAAAACAATGCAAGAAATCAAAAGATAGTCCTCAGCTTTCTTCAAACAATTCACTACTTATACAATTTCCATAAAATACTACAAACTGAACTATTCTCACACAAAATCAATAAATATCACGACTATGTGGTTACCATGTGGTTAAACTAATTACAAAACCCATATAGCCAAGAAGTTGGTTCCTGCAACAGATTTCCAGTTAAAGAAATCATGCTGCATCAGGGTCGTAGTCAATTTCTTTTATCAAACAACTCTTCAACTGAGAGGTCTTGGAAAAAAAGAAAGATTACATTTATAACAGATTTTGACATTTCTGCTGTGGGACTTCAGTAATTTCTTAAGAACACGGATTTTTGTATTCGTTTTTCCGTAATAATGAATAGAGGAAATGTATATACAATAAAACACACATTCCTGATAGACATGAAAGGATTAAAAGAGTGCAGCATTCGTGACACATTATGCGACTTTCATAACTGAACTTGCGGATTGCAGTGAGTCACCACAAAGACAAAGAGATCTATCCAAGATCTCCATTTCTATATATTTTTTAAATTCTATAAAATAATACTTTTTTTAAAAAAGAAGAAAAAGAAAAAACAGTTTACCTATCATCACAGTAGATGCGTTATACAGACAATAGAACTTTCATTAACCCAACATCACTTACGATCATTATAAATCACCAATGGAAATATAATTTACAGAAAAAATTTAGGGATAAATTTCCAGGAAAGCGACAATAATACTTATGCTACAATCCAGTGACCATTCTCCTTAATCTAAATTTTATTACTTTCAAATCTATTTGAGGAAAAAGAGAGCAATACATGATAAAATGACCTTCGCACAGCACCCGTGTCCCACATAACAAATAATGACACACTTTCTAAATAAGGAGGATATATTTCATAAGTAAAATTCATTCCCAGCAATCCACAGTTTCAACGATTTTTCATTTCACGTTTTATACGTTTCGTTGCTCGTCCACAGCAACATCCAAAGAGGAACAGTATTAAGATAAAAATGCCAAACCAAGTAAGTAATGAATTTCGTTGTGGGTGGCTTACTACAACGTCTACCATTTCGGCAAATGATTCCGGCAATGCTATCTGCTGTTCCTACAATGGAAACCACATTTTCAGCTCAAAATCAACCAACAAAAGAAAGAAGAAGCTTGGCTTCTCACTACATCAACAAACAATTACTTGTATTGAGATGAAAAAAAGTCATATTAATTGAAAATTAAAAAACTTTTCACTGTACAAGAAATTTTTATAAACCTTTGAATTTCAATAAACAAACCCTGTAAGCTTTATTCCACAAATTATTTCGTTCCGTAAGTCTGTCTCTGCAAACTGGTGAAAGTTTTGTGCCTTCACTCTTCAAAGAATCCAATAAACACACAATCACTGTAAATATATAAAACATTATTTAGATAATAATTGCAGCAATGTATTAAAGTGGGGCAAAAAAATGCAAAAAGGAATTCGCACAATCATCACTTTACTCATAAATCCTTGATCGAAATCATTTAATAATTTAAAGCTTACATCGACTTTGACCGGGCGGCACATTGTAGCATAGTCTTTGAATGTCGTTAGCGCAAGCTTCATGCAGTACCGGATCAAGATGAATATCAACTAATGATTCTTGCAAGCGTCTACCAATCTGCAACTTCCACTGGATTAAATTCGACGGATTAAATTTTTCAGAAAAAGAAACTTTAAAGAGAACTTAGTTTGTATAAGAAACTCTATTGAACTGACTTGGTGACAAATACAGTTTATACTTAATCAAAGCGTAAAACCTGTCTTGTGCAATCGGCATCTCTAATGGTACCAAGCCTAAAATCAGCTTTGAGACATTCTAAAACTGAATCGAAAGTTCCACCACGCTTTATGACATCACTAGAGCAATGCTTTGAAATAGTATTTTTACAAGCTTTGTACAGCTGTGAATCTAAACGAACATCAAATTCGCTTTCCAAAATAATGCTCGCTATCTGAAACACGGTTTATGATTGAAATCATTTAAAAATTTAAAGTTTACATCAATTGTGAACCTAATTAAAGCGTAAAACTTTCTAGTTAATATTTAAAAATCCAAATCTTCGAAGGAAACTGAAATTCTGCAAGTCATCTATTTACCTATTTCTGCACGCTAGTATCCATTATAAAGAATAAAATTTTCAGCCATAATTGAAATAGCTAAATTGAAGAATCAACCTCAGTGCAACTGCAAACGAGGGGGAATAGAATTTGAAAAAAAAAATAGTAATGGCAGAAAAGATAAGTTGTTTAGAGGATGCAAAAAGATTAAAACAAATTTTTTGATATAGTTAGATTTCTTCATTGAAGAAAAATCGACCTCATCTTTGCATTTAGCATTCAAATGTATTGATTTCTGAGGATTAGCGTACTGCGAACGCAAACACATAATGAAAACGCCCTCCAGTGTTTTCTTTGCATACTGCGGATCGTTTATTTTCTTGTAATCATCAGGACAACTGAAAGATTTTTCTATGAATTATGTATCAGAAATCATAAAAATTCTAAAACAGTCAGCGAATTCACGAACAGCCGAATAAGTAATAATGAGGTAAAAATTTGTGATCAAAAAAAATTAGGCAGTAAAAAAGCTTACTATCGCTCGGCCTCTTCTCTGCAAGCTTCCATAAGACCAATATTCAAGCGCACATCCTTAGCTTGCTCCCGCATTCTTTCCCAAACAATCTGAAAAAAAAAAAAAAAAAAACTAACATTCGTTAAAAGTTTTGAAATCGCACTATAAACCACTTACTTTTTGGCATTTTGATGATAGAGAACGCAGAATTTTCATATTTTTCAAACATTCCAACACTCTTTCACCTTCTTCTGCATGACAATATTTGTCTATGTCAGCACGACAATGACGCTGAAAAGACTTTCTAATTTGAAATTAAATTAATAGTCCTGTCAAAAATGAAACTGTGAAAAAAAATATTTCCCAGTTGTCAATCCCAAATGACACACAAATTTTACCTGGAGTTCATCATCAAATTGATTATCTACTGCTTCGATTTTCTCCCGTGTAAAAACAACTGCTTTACATTCTAGACCTATAAAATTGATAAACAATGTCATTATTTTTTTTTCAAAAAAAACAATAAACAAAAATAATGCACAATTATAGATGATGAGAAAAAAATTTATACATTCTATCAATATATTCAACCCTTTACGACTACTTACATACTATCCAAAAACATATACGTAATTTTCTGAACTTTTCAAATCTTTTGTTAACGATGACCAGGGGTTGAGAATCCCATTTCTTAATTATGCTCTTTTTAGAAACTACCATTACTAAAAATTTTTGAGAAAAACATCTCATGCCTTAAGAAAAAATAAGTTGAAAGTATATGAAAACCTCGAATTATATTTTTTTCATCATACAGAAGTTCAAACAGCTTCACTTACAGTAAGCATCATTGGAAAGCCTTACCTAGCTCATCATATTTTAAACGTAGACATTCAACTACATCTTCAAAATATTTTTCTTGTCGACATCCTAACCGATCCAGTTCCTGACTACATTTCTTCATCAGCGTAGGGTCAGCATCCATCATATGCGACTTATCATCGAACTATAACTACATCGATAATTCCTGTCACTCTTAAGTATGCAAATGTTCGCTTGCCATGCATCTCAATGACAAAAGCAAAATCAAAAAAGGACATCGAATAAAGAGAGCTATCAGTGATTATTTAAAGAAGCGCGAGTGCATTGAATTGTTCTCTGAACTTACAAGTGTGAAACATGCTATCAGTTATACTAAAATCTGAAAAGTGAGTTGCGATCAAACAAGATTCATCGAAAAAAAGATGAATCGTATGAGATTAAATGTAAAAACCAAAAAACAACGTAAATCTCCCTATAGTCTTTAGCATTGTTAAAGGCACCATGCTGATCTACTGATCGATTCAAAATCTAATCTAGATTTTGCTTTTTAACCATTTTTAACTTTTATATAAAAAAAAAAAAAACTATAAGCTAAAGAGTAAACAAAATTGGAAAAAAAAATGCTAAATAATTGTATGATTCAATGTCTGTTTTTTGAATACAAAACATAAACCAAAAGAAAAAAAAAAAAAACGAAAACAACGAGCAATTCGAATTAATGAAACTAGAAAGCATATCAGATAAATTGCAATGGACACACGAGAACTAATAAAATCAAGAATCAAAAACACTCACATTCACCTGTTCTTGATGAAGATATGCAGCCTTCAAGTACTTTTTACAGTCTTTTTCTAGGTCATCTGATATTCCCAGCACTTTATGCTCAAACATAACTGTCGACAAACAACGAATTATTTCAGCCCTAAAGAACGAAAATGGAGCAAATATTGAAACAATGATTCGTTATTATATATATATAACCGTTACATACTATCATCGTTCTACGGAAATTGATATTATTTGTGAATATAATTCGTTTCTTGTTGGAATATCAACAAAAAACAAATAATGGAGTTGACCAAAAAATCATAAATTGATGACTTCAACATGATGCAAACATAAATTCGAATAAAGCAAACTTTAAATCATTTGAAAAGCAGATTTAAAATATGTATCAGAAATTGAGCAAAATTAGGATTTTTATTTCGTACACAGGATTTAGAAACTTTTACTGCAATTAAACAAATTTATAAAAAAAAAAAGGATTACTTGTCGGTATTGACTTCTGTGCAATATTTCTTAATGTCATTCGAACAGTACTGTGCAAAATGTTCATCGAATTTGAAGTCACGTAGAGTGATAAGCTCAAAATGATTAACATATGAACGACATTTGGAAGTCATTTCTGGTCGGCCTTTGTTATCTAGTAAACATTCCAACACATCACCATGATCAATCTCTTCATTAATATATTGCTGAAATATATGCGAGACTTATTTGAATATAATGAGTTCGCTAGAAAAATATGAGCGGTCTGGTTTGTGCGTAACAGAATTTATTTCTCCTTTTTGTGGCATTAAAAATATAATCCAAATAGCTTATTACTTGACGTCCGCATCAAAACTGTGCCATCACGTTTCATTACATGTACTGCGTCAAATTACTATTGATTGACGAAGAATAATAGAAAAAAGTCTATAGTCTCCTTTATTCTCAAAAAAAAAAAAAAAAAAAAAATGAAACTTGGCAATATTTCGAGATGACAGGTTTGCAAGCTTTTGTAAGTGCTTGATTCAAAGCAGTATCTTTAGCCATCATTTTCGTATAATCGCTTACAGCGGCAGAACATTCGCTATACTTTTTTATGAATTTATCTTGCTGGAAATACTCTTGAAGACATTTCATTTCCTGAAGAAAAGAGTAGGATATCAATTCGCAATTCTCTTTTTTTTTTTTTTTTTTTGTTTTTTTTTTTTTTGCAACTCTACAAGTTAGTAAAGTCATCTGAAGACTTAGAGTCGATTAAATGACCATTAGGATAAACAAAACTGTCCAACTATCCAGAAATTTTCCTGTTAAATAATTTTAGCTAGAAACAGATAAGCATCATCATTATTAATCCTTAGATACTAGTACTGAAGCTATCTCACCAACGCAACGTCCAGTAGATTGTCATTGACAGTAAAGACATCCAGCAATTTCCAACAAATGCTTTGATAATGCAATTCTATTTCAAATTATTGGGTTATTAAAAAAAAATTTTATGATGCATACTTGAGTGGGTTTTACATCGGTGGAACAGTATTCTGATAGAGCCTCCCGACACGAAGATTCGATATCTGGCATCAAATTTACACGAACCGCACGAGTACGCAATGCACGACGCACACTTGCAGCACATTCAGGCTTCAGCTGTAATAAGAAAAAGCAGTAGGAAAATAGTTGAAAGCCTCATATAAGAGTACATAGCTATGTTAAAGTAAGGAGAAACAGAAAAGTTACCGGATTCTTATCATTGTAAGCTGCACGATAGAGACATGCAAGTACGACTGGTCCAGGATCTGGTCCTTGTTGATTCGGCTGTTGATGCCAGTTAGCATTAGCAGAACACCTTGAAAAACATTCAAAAAAATCAGCCTGTGATCAAATCTTGAAGTAATAGTTACTTTCTGCTTGATAATAATCTGAAAAAACTGGGAATTTACGATTTAAATGTTAATGTTACTTGGAAACAGCATCTTCATGGCATGCTAAATAAAGCTGCGGATCGAGTGTCCAGTCTCGAGAAATAAAGTATTGCACTTCCAAGAGCCGTTGTTCACATTCTTTCGGCATGTCAACATCCATATGTTTCATCAAACAGCCCAAAGTGTTTGCTTCGGATTGAGCATCCATTGCACATGGACCTAGTATAACCATTAGATCACGCACAAATGGAACGATATGACAGCTATACCAAAACAAGTACTATATCTACTTAACAAAATCTTATATAAACTTACTCAACATTGTTTTAATCAAAATTTCACAATAAATGAAAAAAAAAATTGCAAATGTTACTGCCATTCTTTGCCAATTTTCAGTAGACAGAGACAATTGCAATGTTAAAATTATTGCGAAATTTTCACAACAATTTTGAAAATCAAAATTTTGACAAAATTTTTTACTACAATATTGATATGCATACCATCAATTAAGCTTTTGCAGCTAGCATACAAAACTTCATCCACTTTGTAATTAGAACCAACGTCGGCGATCTGTTAATAAACAACTTGGATTAAGATAGAAAATCTTTGCTCAATGAATAAATTAGAATCAGTGATCTAAAAAATTATTTCGGTTATTGTGTCAATAATAACCTTCATGACAGTTTGAAGGGCTTGCATGCACTGCGGACCAAGCCTCCGATTTTCGTTACGCTCTTGTGCGTGACTTAATAAACAATGAAGAGTTCGACCTTCCGCCTCAATATCACCTTTTGGACTGCAGAACATATCGATTTCCTGTACAAGTGGACAAATTATACAGTGTTAAAGTTCTCAAAGACTGCATCTATTGAGAGATGTTTTTTGCAAATTAATCAAGTTTTGAAATAATTTAAAAATGTCTTAAAAGAAGTAAAAGGAGAAAAACTTTACAACTTACTCTGCCACAGGTTAGAACAACTTCTGGACTCAACCGAAATTCGCTCATCATCATTTTACGATGTGAAACCATTTCATGTTGACATTTGTTGGATACTTTATTCGGATTTGCATGTGCCGCATTTTCCAGACACAAAAGCACCCAGCTCAGATGAAAATTTGGAGAGCCAGAAAATAATGCCGATGGTGAACAACTGAACTCTTTCAATTCTACTGCACAACCACTAAGCAATGGATGCGATAATCGATAGTTTTGTCCCATCATGTTAGCTCGTTCTGCCAAAAGCTTTGAGCACTGTAATGAAATATTTTAACGACATAATTCGTATGCTAACTCATTCAAAGCGATTTATATCATAGAGGAAAAAAGTTGCTAAACTATAAAGTATTTGACGGAGTGATAAAATCAACGACATCCTCAATTTTTTATACATATTATTAATATAAATTAAAAAAAGCGCTGAATCTGTGATTATTTACTAATTACTAATTAATATCAATGTTTTTGTTTCATCTTTAAAAAAAAAAATCAAAGAAACACACTTCCGGCTCCATCATTGGATCTGTTCGATGAGTAAGCAAACATTCGAGTACTTTTCCCTGTCCTGATTGGACAGTTTTGCAAAATTTCTGAAAAAAAAAATGTTTTACACAGTGGTCTTGAGCAATACATTAACTTATAAGTTTAAGTGAAATGAATGAAAAAATGTAAAAAACAGTTGACAGTTCACGTTACCTCTCGATCTTCTCGACATGCAAAATAAAGTGGTCTGTCGAGATGGAAATCTTCGGTTTGTAATTCAGCTATTCGCATGATTTCATGTTGACATGCTTCATCAACTACTGGCGCTGCATTGGGATCTTTTTGTTGTGTTTGATAGATTTTACTTATCAAACATTCTAATGTATGTCCTGAAAATTATGAATTTATTATCTTATAAATAATGAAGAGCAGAGATCATCTAACAAAATTTATTAGAATATAAATTATTTCTCAATAAAATTAGAAAAAAATTATTAAAGAAAAATCACACCTTGGGAATGTGGTATTCGAGCTTTAGCATGGGCAGATGGTGGAGTCAATGTTCCACATTGAAGTCTTTGAATTGTATTTTTACACACTGCAACAAACGGACCAACAACACGAAAGTCAGAGAATGCAAGTCTAGCAGAACGATCTGAAAAAATAATAAGCAGAAATTATTGAACCTTATTTCCAATGCAAAAAATTAAGGACATTGCCATGTACAAGGGTTAAAAACCTTTGTGTTCAAAAAGATATAGTAATAAAAAAGATCCAAATGCTAACGTATTTAAAAATACAAATGATTTAACAGTTCGATAATTATGATAAAAAATTCCTACAGGCCAAGTAGAAAAAGATCAAACTTACCCAAAAACTGAAAACACCTCGATTCTCTCGGCAAATTTAGTATGAAATCGATGAAACATGAGAGTGCATAACCAGGTTTTATTATTTCTGCACACTGAGCTAAATTTGGATTAGCTATCATTTCGTCCTTGCAGAAAAGTTTAGACGCTTGGCGAAATTGATCATCTTGAGTCAAATTAACCTGAAGTTTCCAACTTGATTTGTCAATTTTATGATAATACAGTAACAACATATGTTAGTGTTGCAGCAATCGATAAAAATACTAAAGCTTACTTTTGAAATTTGAAAATCAAACTTACTTTGAAATCCCAAATCAAATGTTCACACGGAGCAGTAAGAAGTTCCGTTTCGCTTAATTTAACGTCTTGAAGACATTCCAATACTGCCATATCACTTTTGAGTTCCACTCCAGGGCGTAAGCAGTGTTTATGTACATCTTCTTTACATTCTTCGTAATCTATTAGATGCTTCCTATACGTATCGAGCTCTTGCTGCTGACCACTAGGTGGATTCACTGCTCTATGAAATCAAAACTGATGAAATTTCATAAATCTATTTTACAAACACTAGACTGTATTTGAAAATGATTTTTTTCTTTTTTCTAAATGATAAGATGTGACATGATGAGATAGAATTGATTTTCACTAATTATAAAATCTTTCGCGTTAATAAGACAGAAATGGATTTATTAGAGAAAATATTAGAGATGCATCACACATGGCAAGAAACTTCAGCTTTAAATACTCGACTTTAAGTAATACAATTTTTGGAAGAAATACAAATTCCCACAAAACAACAGCTGAAAAGAGAAACTGAAAGAAGTTAAGACATGAACATACAACTTTTGTTGCGGTGCCTGGGCAGCAGTTTGCAGCTGTACTGGCGCTTGTGGTTGCATGTGTTGAGGGGCAAGCACTAAAAATAAGAAAAATTTTAATTGAAAAATTTAATTAAAATGTTGTATGTTTCTAACTTGTATAAAAATGATATACCTTGCTGAACAGCTTGCGCATCAACTGGATTTTTTTGTATCTGAAACAGATAAAAGTAAATATTGTACGCTGGAAAAATGCTACTGGAAACAAAGAAATTTTCAGCTGCCTTTCAAAATCATCCAACAAAAAAATCTGTAAAGAAAATTTAAATAACATTTGCAAAATAACCTACGAATGACAATGAACCAAATTTTTGCCTTGTAAGTCAATAACCATATGAAGTCTTCACTTCTCAGAAATGAAAGCTTCATATGGCGCAAAAACACAACCCTTTGTTTTATGCAGTTATTCTAATCAAGTCCTTTGTTACTTTACCGTAGCGGTGTAAAATACTATAAAAGTGTACTTTTTAGAAATATAATCTATTTTACACCAAGAGCTCTTTGTTTTGCAACCAACCTGTGCATTGACATACGGATTTCTTTGGATATACAATAGAATGACACTAAAAAATTGGATCAATAAATTCATCCTGAAATTGCAAAGAATGATTCACTGTTGGCAAGTAAAAAAATACGAATAATTTCGTATGCGAAAATATAAGCATAAATACAGCGATCAAAAGTTCGTATACACAAAATAAAGATACCAAAAACTTAACTATAATGCACCAAGAAACAAATAAATAATCCAATTGAATTACTAATGACACATCTCATAAGAAAAATATTCCGCAAGAAGTCATTCGATGAATGAAAAATTTCCCATCTCTATTTTACAAGAAATAAACAGAGTTCTCGTGACGATTATTCACGACCAGAAACCATATAAGCATGAAAAATACATGGAATACAAGTCCTCCCATGGTTTTCTTGGTCCTAATCATATTCTTTCTTACAATCGATTCAGTTGTACTCAAATATCTCTACTAAAAAAAACTGACAAGTATCGGCAGTGAAAGTTTCTTCGTATGCTCAATTATAGAAAAAAAAATCTATAATACTGATGAAATTCATACAATATTATAAAAAAAAAAAGAGGACCCATTAATACATTACTTACTAAGCAAAAAGGAAGTTGAAAAAATCGATAGCTGTCAAACAAAATGCGATTATTGATTAACTTAATTAATACGTTCTGAAGCTAATCAACTGTTAGCAACAGTATGATGTAACCCATCACAGCACTAAACCTCATTCATATGTAATAATTATGTCATACAAATCTAAAAAGTGCCATAACATATGAGAAATATCTGATAATTCCAATCGTTAATTTGTTTCAAGTATGTTTCGCTTTGCTAAAGCCAATTCCACCAGTAAGATCTTAATCTTACTTAAATTTTGATGACAATCAGCAATGAATAGCCACGACTAAGATCTGCTAACTTTCATGGCAATGGAATTCAAAATTTCAAGACCATAACATTTTAAAATTTCACTTACAAAAAAGACACGTCATTGATATTACTAGCATCTCTGTTTCAAATGTTAGTAGAATTGGAATAGTGCTATATGAAGAATGTTGGTCAAAATATCAACAGTTTTTGTGAAATACATGGAAATATGTGATAACAGAAAGTAAATGGAAAAAAAAATGATGTCTCTACATGACAGAGAACATTTTTATAAACTGATTAATCGAAGTGATCCTTTCCGACGTATCCAAACCTTAGTAGCATAAATGATAGGTATAAAATTGTTAATATTTCAACATTCATAATGACGTTCAGAAAAGCTAAAAATGGTTTAAAAAGCTCTACAATCTCCAAAAGTAAAACTTAGTGTGAGGACCTTTGAAAGAAAAGTAACCAAAAATCTCAAGCTCCAACATAATTTATATATAATACTGATGGTATCAGTTTCATCAAATAACAGTTAAGAACACAATACTATCTGATCAGTTATTTTAGTTAAATTCAGGTATGCACTACTATATTCCTAAGAGATGATTCAGGTATACCATTTATGGAGATTTACATTTAATAAAACAAATAAATTGTAAGATACGAGCAAGCGATAGTAACTGCAGTCTCCCATGATGATGATGAACGATTATTATCATGAAATCATGTTTTTTTCGGACATCTACAAGTTGAAATGATATGTCAATATTACTATTTCCCATCAGCAACACAAAATGTTCCGCCACTTAAACCTCCGATCACTCTGTAATGACATCCTATTTTGTGGCATATTTTGATATGAAAAAAAAAAAAAGAAAAAAAACTGATGGCCGTCACAAATTGAAGAAATAGAAAAAACAGAATTTTGAGTGCGTACTTGTCCGTCTTTTCTGATTTATAAAAGCGCACAGAAGAATAATCAATAAGTTGACGTACGTATAGCAGTATAAGTGAGGTATTTTTTAAAGACATTTTTGTGTATATTTTATATGAAAGACGCATATGGGAAAACGAAAAAAACAAACGTGAAGACTGAATATACAACTGGCCCAATATTAAAAAAGGAAAAAAGCCGATACTGAGGCTGACACTCTATGTCATGGAAGTCGGAGAATGTAAGTCAAATACAAGAATAAGTTATTTTGTAATCTACAGGAAGAGGAATTATTTCTTAGCTGTGGCACCATCTGTACACTGCTCTGCCGCTGACATGGATACGAAAAAAAACTTATCACAAAATAAATCATGAGACTTCAAAAATTACGGAAACAGATCATCAATAACCTTGCAATTAAATAATTAATTCTCATTCTGTGTTATTTTAACTAGTCAAAATCCAACTAAGATGAAATTTCAAGCTTCTGTATCCCAACCTGTTGCAAGTCTTGAACTGTCATTTATCCACATCAAATCCACGATGTTGTGTCCCGATTCATCCATTAAAATAAAATCTGTAAGTGATCAAACAATGAAAATCAATTTGAGAGCGCTTCAACTATCCTTCCAACAGATAAATACTAGCAGGTAAACTATCTCGAAATACTGTTTGAATCATTTTCCCATAAGTTCTATTTGGGCCTATATCATTTATAGATGAAACAAACCATACACGTTATGTTATACAATTAATAACATCAAAAAATGGATTTTGACTGATAACTAAATTTTGTCATTGATTAGCACTTAAAATACTTCTTAATAACCAAGAAAAAACGATTATCAAATCTCTCAGTGTAACTTTCTATCCTCAAATAAAATTATACAGAAATGATATGTTTCATCTATAAATATGAAATCAGGAAAAGACAAACTTATGCTCACCATCCATGTTGAACTCGATAGTATCCAAAAAGCTTTACGTTCCGATTACTAGTGAGAGATCATTTCTGAATTATTTACACAAATAAAAACATTATCAACTAATTTCTTTCGGTTATTCAAACAAAAGAAGTATGTTTTAAATTTTGTATTGATTAAATCATAATATTAATAACGTATACATATTCGGGAGTAGGACTAATAGACGTTACTAGACACGGAATCACGAGAATACCAAATTCAGCAAACACTGTGACATCACAGTGCCACTGCATACCTATTTATTCGTCACCATTATGTCAACCACTTAACCAAACCAGTTTTTCTGAAAATCTTAACTAACGTATGAGAAAGGTTCGTGCGAGGTGACCACCTCACTATTACAGCCATTTTTTCTCTACCACTAACCTATTAGCACCTCTAATTCAGGTGTAACAAGTCTTGGTACCATTAATTCCATATATCAGATACAATCAACTAATTGTCTCTATCATATCAGAAGTATCACTTTTGATATCATTAATCCACCAACACAATCAGTACTGGAATTATAAACATAGGTTTGTAAATTTTAGTACCATCAATTTGGTTATTCATCTATTGCGAGTATTACTTCATGAGTTCGATCATTTTAATAGTAATATTATGCCATTTTTCTTTTCATTTATTATTCGATTTAATATTTGCAGTGAATTAGTCTCGGTGATGTGATGGAATTCGTAATGAATGGATTTATATTAATAAATGATTAATTAATCTGATCGTACCAAAAGATGTAATGGAAGAAAGGATAAAAGTAAGTGATTAAAATGTGCTAAAAAAAAACGGAATAAACTAATTTACCGAACAAATTATCGATTAGGCTGATATCATCTGATTTGTTTATTTGTTTATTTATTTTAGTTCTAATTATACATAGGAAATATTTTATATAATAAAACAGTGTAATTTGATATTCTTTTTGTTGGTCATGGAAATACAGTGCTGATGAAGGTCAAAGTTTAATTTGAAATTTTGAGTTTGAAAGATGAAAAACTGCGTTAATACTGAGAATACTTCCTATTGTGAAAGTGTCGCGACATACAATGACAATTCGTCTAGTTTTATTGCAAACTCACAATGAAATCTGAAATTGCAGAAATAATGGAAGGATTTTGATTCAAACAATGTCATAATTTTTGTAATAATAATAATTCAAAAATCCATTTTTACATGAATGAAATTAAACTTTGGTTCTTTATGAGTGGCGCATTTGTCATAATTCACAAAATTGCTATAAATATGGTCCAGTTATAGCAAAAAATCATTTACCAGCTCAGCACTTACTTTTATAAGACTTCTATTAGATAAGCTCTCTTTTGAGAAACCTAACTGTAATATGGTTATATTGATAACCCGCAACGGGCAAAATGGGAGATCTATTACCCTTATCTAGAACTATTACCCTTGATTCATCTAAATCCTAAACATTTGACTGGAAGTAATAAGGTGAAGTATTTTTGATTCAAACTTTTGTGGTCACAGTTACTCTTTTAGGTTTTAATTAAGAATCACAGGAGTGGGTAATGAGAAGTTCAATTCAAATCTAAGCATTTATTAAAGGCAGTTGTGATTGCTCTTCTTTGCAATTCATTCTAATTTAAAGAAAGATGTTAGAATTGATGATAATTAATATTAATGATTACAGCAGTGATCAGTAGATATGCATTTGGCACTGATTTTCATTAGTAGCGTCCTATTCGTCATCCATGTTCAATCGCAGACACCGGTAAGGCTGACTTTGTTTTGTTTGGTACATGAAGGCCTAGACTTTGGCACAGAGCCTTATGAAGCTTAGACATCGGTTAACAGAAATGTTTCAGGATGGATGCCAGATGGCTATCCAATCATTAATCACTACCCTTGCACAAGCAGCAGCCAAACTCGATGATGGCCAACACGTCGAATTACATGCCAGTGTGTCTAGGCTAGCCAGAACCATCCAGGATTACAGCAGTCAGAAAAGAACGCAAGTGACAGGTAGTCGCGATAACTGCATTAAAGCGATGAAATCTGTACATGCAAGTATTGCATCCATCGCGCAGAAATTGCATGCAACCAAAGGTAGTGATGCGAAACTTATTGCTGCTGCTAGTAGTATTGATGCAGCTGCCAAAATTGTGGGAAAAATGCTAGCTTATCGACAAGCGCAACATTAAATCAGAATTTACGTGAATTTTTTTTTTTTTTTTTTTATGTAAGTTAATGTAAGCATATTATCATGAAATGTTGAAACGATAATTATTGCTCGAAAAGTTATTTTCACGTGAATAAAAACTGATTTTCAGTTTCTTGATAGAGTATGCTTTTATCATAATTCACAGAATACGATATATTGACTAACAGTATTGTTCAGTTTCAGTAAACAATAAACAACACATTTACCAACTTTATAAGATTTCTGCTAGACATCTTTTCGAGATACTTTATTTCAATACAATGACAGTGATACCGTGGCAGGTACTGCAACTCATTTAGACACCTGAAAATGATATAATAGCTGATATAATTCTTATTTTTTCTATTCATCTAAATTCTAAATGTAAAATGTTATGACGTCTTTGTTCTATTAGGTCTCTTCGGTCTTAATTGTGAATCATTGGGGCACATAAATATGAGAAGTTCAATTAGAGTTTTATACTTTCTTCCATTTTCCTTGTTAAAGTACCCTAAAAATTTGATAATTAATTTAAACAAAAAGTATGCAAACAAAACTGTAAAAATGATCTACGATTTTATAAACCAAATAAATCAAAAGCCATGTTACATAATTAAAAAGGACTAGCAATTTCCGTAAGGATCATCATTATAAGTTAAGTGATAATAAGCAGAGAAACTAATGATAGCAAAGCAACTTCAATAAAGCAACTTTAATTGATGACAATGATAATAAGCACCTTTTCACAATTGACGAAGTGAGAATATGACCGTACTTTCGGGAGATACTGGAAAAACTCCCATAAAATCAACCAATGCAACATCATCATCCAGAGTTGCTGGAATGTTTGTGTCAAGAAGATGGATGAATGTCAGAATTGCTGACGCATTCAATTTACAAAAATATTTTTTGCTTGAAGTGAAAGAAACAAGAGTAACAACAAGGCAATTGCCGAAATGCTTCTGTTGCGATAAGTGAACTTTAATATAATTTACGTAAATTTGGCTATCGAAATTAAAATATAAAATAAGTGAAATACAACATTAAATATGTTTTAGGGACTTCTCCTGACATAGTATTAATTAAGTAATGTTTGATATAATTTATCAGTGTATTTTGATTGTACAAAGTGATGACAATAGTAGATACATTGACATGCTATGGTCATTACTGAACATAGATCACTTTCAAACATTTTTTCATTCGAGTCAATTCACTGTGATGAAAGAAATTGTAGTAATTACCATCACTTATAAATTTTCGGTCAGTAACAAAATATTCCAACGAGAGTCGATCATTTAAATTTTTTTTTGACATTTGCCCCAAAAAATCAATTTTTATCTAAAAAATTATTTGATAAACTTTTCGTAATTCCAAAAATTTCATCTATAACTGCTTGCTAATAGTAATATTGTAGAATTTTTGAGGAAGTTTTACAAAATTTGGAGTTAAAATTTGAAAAATGTGTGGCTAACTTGTACTGTTTCTGAGGGCAGAATTATTCCAGTAGTTGGAAATGCAGCAAAACGTCTTATAGCATTCGTTTTTAGCGCCCATATTACAGACTTTTTGTAATTATTAGTGAATGCAAGTATTACTGGTTCAGTATTATCGTTTCGAATTGTTATCTGTTAAACTTTTCAAAATAATCACAAACTATATGCTTGGATTAGTATTCCTCAAATATAATATATTTATATTTGTTTATTGTTTAAGTAGGAACAGAAATATATTCTGACAAAACCTACACCTGTGAATCAGGAAATGAAACAAGTCCTTCGATATTATTTCTTGAATTTCCCATATAATTTGTTAATTGATAATTCTGAAATAATCATAATATTCTTATCATCAATACAAGAATGAATATAAGAAGTCTAGAATGTCAATCAATGAAATTCAGGAATTGAAAGTAATTAAAATAGTTCATTGATTAATGTTTGTGCACTTTTTTTGAAATATTAGAAATAATTTGCGCTAGCTTATTGGATAGGCCGATGAAAACTGCTATTTCTGATATTCGAAGTTTATATAAATTAAATTTTTACAACTTTATCAAATGTCCTAAAATTTTTATAACTTTATTAAAACTTTGTTCCACAGTTTCAGTTCTCTCCTCTTCCATCAATCTTCCGGTTCTGGCAATTCTTGATGAACATGATCGTCCTGCTGCAGCTGTTCTTGTGGAATTTGATTTTGTAATACTCAAACTCAAACCAGTAGCAGCAGTGCACTGCAATCTTTAAAAAGTTATGTGTGAGATATTTATAATTTGTTCCTCATAACATATTATCTCCTTCTTTCTTAAAATTTCTCGAAAAAAAAAACAAACAAAACAAACAAACAAAACAAAACAAACAAACAAACAAACAAAAACAACAACAACAAAGCACTCAATCAGTTAAAAATCTTATTGTGTTGTGATACTTACACTCTCTTTTGGTACTGTCTTTAGAGTGCCAAGCGTAGTGTCACTATGTCCTACTAAATCAGAAGTAATATTTTCAGATGTTCGTCCATGTTGTGACTGCTTGTTCGAGACCCATTCCTTTGCAGTTCGTTTCAAATGACTCAGATTTCTAACATTCCCGAAGGGAACTGACTAAAAAAAAGTGGCTAGTATACTGAAATTTGTATAAATTAGTTTTTTACAAAAAAAAAAAAGAAAAAAAAAACACAACCGAAACCTAATTGAATGGGTCAAAAATTGTTAATAAATAAAATTCAAAAAAAGAATTAACCAAACCTTGTTTTCAACATTTTCCATCATACAATAATGAAACAAAAGCATTAATGTTATTGTTTTAAAATAGGAATAATTGCTGATTGAAGCACTTATCGTATCAAAAGTGAAAGATATACCACAGATAATCCAATAAACTATGATCGATTTCTGCATATTAAACAATTACCATTGAAAATTTTATACATTTGAACATTTGAAATTCTCATTGTTAAGTGTATTCAATAGTTTGCTGTTCTTCTTGCATTGCTCCTTATTATTTTCAAGTAATTCAGCTTAATGTAGTCTTTTATATCAGAGAATTGAGCAAAAGTAGAAAAACAAGCCTTAATAATGCCATTTTTGCTAGTCATCTGGAAATAAGTTAAAATTCCGGGCGGTAAAGTGCACAATACGTTGCATAAAATGAGTGAATAATTGCCGCTCAGTAAATATATTATAGTAAGTAATAATAAAGTTGTAAATAGATTGCTGTGATAAAAATGTTCTGTCATGTCTGTAAGTGCAGTATCTGATTGATATGAGATGGTATCATCTGTTCAGATTTTAGATTACTCTCTCAAATGATGGAATGTCAAATGAGGAAATGAGAAGAAAGGGGGATTCTGCTTTCATTTTAGACTGTTTTACAAATATGAAAATTGGCGGTGTGAAAGTAAATTACATCTGGGATATTCCGAAGCGACCGGTTCTTCTCGGGAAAGTGGTGAAACTGTAGTGCTGGTAACAGAAGTCATAAGAGAGTGCAAGTGCACGCGATTACAACAATAAATCTTTTACAATGAAATTTTATGTTGCTGCCACGTTTTTTATGTATTATTGCAGACAAACTCTTATCAAGCGCAAATTGCACTAATGGCTAACAATTAAAGACTGTCGAGAAGATTGTCGAGAACCGTTATCATAGTTTTGATATTGGTCAAAGATTATGGGATTTGTGTGATCAGAACTTTCATTCTTTGAATTTTACATCGATTATTTCTCTCAAAGAGTGAAAATAGAGAAAGTAAGGAATAGAACAGAGGACAAAGAGTAACTTTGCGCTCCGTTTTTTCCATCAAGAACGCACATTTTGTTAATGCGCAAATGAGTAGAAACATTTTCTGGGAACTCTCTTCGTCCTTTCGTTGCTAAGTTAGACAGACGAAGATCAAAGCATAGATGACAAAGAGGGTAGTTTGTTTATAATTGATGCTGCCTGCTTCTTCTGCTATTCCAATTTTGGATGTTTTTTAATTGAACCAGTTGTTTACATGTCGTCTCTCTGTAAATATGGTGGCACTAGAAAGGGTAGAAGTAGTTTGGTAAAGATGGATGAAAATGCTTAGTAATTAATAAATTTCTTTGCTTCAAACTTATTTGTTTTGTTAAATTTGTCATAAATTTGATTTAAAACAAATAACAATGTGATCTGATCTTCTTCATCACTTCTCGAGATTAATTTAACAATTTCAATGTGTAACATTCATTATATCATTCACATTATTCATCATTTTCAAGTATATTTCGAATGTCTCATTGATCATTCATCTCATTTTATAATCAAATTAATTTCGGGCACAAACTGATTTAATCTCTCATCATTACATATTTTTAATTCGAATGTTGAGAGAAAACAAAAGGTTCAGTTGTTTCTCATATTTAAAAGATTTATATTGGATTTTTGCACAGCTGCAAATTAAGGAAAAATAAGGTACAATTAGAATTGCTGCTTTCATTTATTATATATCGCAATTATAAAAATCATTCGGAATTCTTTGATGTGAATATCTGACAATGATTCCATCCTGAAATGATTTCAATCATTTTATTTTTTTCATAGCTATGTATCTTTTTGCCCTAGCAGAACTTTGTAACTTTTAAAAATTGATCGAAAGGGCGAGGTTTTCTCTTCTTTTCTTTTTCCTACCATCTCTTCCCCATCTGTTCGTTTCCATTGACATTTCAATTCACCACAAAGCTTTAAAAATTAAAGTGAAAAACAGGGAAAAAAAAAAAAAAAAAGGAAGGAATAAATTTGGCATTTGTCAATTTGCTTCATTGGAATTCATCAAACAGAAGCAAGACAATAGGCAGATAGCAGAAGCTATTTTCTTTGTTTTGCTTAAATAAAATAATACATTTCAGCTTATTCCAAGTATCAGTGCTTTGTTTAACATGCAGAATGGTTCCTTGGCTTTTAGCAATTTTATTTTTCAAAGTACACACATGCAGTGCAAACATATCAAATAAATATATTATATTATATGCAAAGAATGGATGAAATGGTGGATGCATTTCATTTTTTTTTTAGTTTGCAATAGAATTTTGTAATGTCTCTGAAATAATGGAAAACAGTAATTTATCTGTTAAACCTTTTTTCTTTCTTTTTTTTTTTTTGATTAAATTTGATGAAAATGTGAACACTCTGCTTGTTTTCAGTTCTTTTCTTTTTATCTTGTTTTTATTATTTCTCAAAATAACATCAAACTTAATATCTCTTTGACACATTTATAAAAAGGTTTGTCGCAGGAATAAGCAAATAATTATTGATAAAACAAACAAAAAAAAAAAAAAAAGGAATGAAAAGATAAGTAAATATGTGTTCATTAAACAACTGTAGCACTCAGTAGACAATTATTATTGATTTGAAAATTAAACAAAATTTATCTGCTAGAACAAATAATGCTATTTGATAGAAAACATGTGAAACAAATGCATCTATCTATCTCTTTTCGGATCATAAATTTACAAAAAAAAAAAGAAAGCAAAAAATTCTTTCTAATTCTGAAAATTATTTTTTGTTGCAACAAAATGCATCATCATCATCATCACCATCTCTTCAACAATAAATTTCCATCTTATCTTTCTCTCTTTCACATGATTATATCTTTATTGGAAAAGTAGAAACGTGAAGCAAAGTCACGTATGCTAGTTAAGCTGAAAAATGATAAAATATTCGAGAACAGTTGTTCCTGCTGCTATCATTTCTGTATTCTTCTTGCTCATTTCAAATTATATTTTAAAATTATCCATTAACCATAATTATTGCACGTTTCACTTAAGTTTAGCACGTTTCATCTTAAATAAAAACTTTCATTTTTGCTGCTACAACTGTGATTTTCGTCTTTTTTTTTTCTGCTACAACAAATTTTTTGTGTTACCTTACCCTTCTTAAAGGCATTCATTTCTTCTCAGTCTCACATACTTATCCAATGTTCACTTTCCACTATACTTCTGCTACAGTATTACTCTCTCTCTTAATTACATAAATAAACTTTACCTTAATAATTAAGGTAAAGTTTATTTATGCAATGGATATGAATTGAATTTTTGCATTGGAATTATAGTATATATTGTGGCCTTTTTACTATTCCATTGATAGCCTTCTAATCACTAACTGATATGAGCTGAATAGTTCTTCCGAGTTCGATGATCTTTTACTGTGACATTTGCACCTGTGTATCTGATGTAACTGATGTAAGCACTAAGATAGCATTGTTTTAGAATTTCAATGAACAATGTAAACTTTCTATTGGATGGATATGAGAGAAATTAATTGATTACAGAAATTTATTTCATTTCATTTTATATTTTTATACAGGCCATAACACTCGAAGCGCTAATGTTGCAGAATGAGCTGACAATCTATCGCTGTCTCCATCTCTTATTCTGTCATTTTGTCCCCAAACTAGTTACTTCGTTCTTTTTCATAAAAAAAAAAAACTTTCGTCGTACTTTGTTCAACAATCATTTAAAAGGAAAAGTGTGCTGTCCTATACTGTCACTTGTCATTATACCTTCTTCATTTGAAGTAGCTTTCCTCTTTTACATGCATTTCATTTCGTTGAGATTTATATGGCTTTCTTTTGAAATTTTGTTCCTTTCAGAGTTTGGTTGGACAGTTAACCAGGATTTAAATTATCTGTAAAATAGGTAAATATTTTAATTTTACACCATCTTTTCTTCTCGTCCTCTGGCTTTGTCACATAAGTTAATGGACTGATCCTTACTGCATTTTCTATCATATTTCTAGAATACTGAAAATTCAGTTTTCATTAATTAATCATTAAAACCACCGCTTCAATTTAGAATTGAGACTTATAGAAGCACTTAAATTGATAGAGTTTCACATTTCCTACCAAATTTGAATATATTTTTTTGAAGTGAACAATGTGCATCGCAAAGACAACAACAACTGTAGCTCAACGCTCGCTTTGCAACAAATTACCGGTGAAACAACTGGTGGTACCATTCAGATCCAAATGTACCACATTCATCGAAGAACCAATTTACAGACCACGTTTCAGAAAACAGGACTGGGAACAGAGCTCACTATGGGGAAAACTTTCCGGCCGGTACGTATTTCTTCGAATGATTTTATACTGAACTCTGAATCATTGATTTCAGGCTCAAACATTCATTGTATTCATTTCGAATTTTCAGTAATTCTCAGAGATTATCCAATTTAGAATTTATTTTGTGAGGAAATGACAAATTATTGAATGTCATAGGCTGAAATAAATTGTATTAGAATTAGGAATAAATTTGATAGCTAATGTTTATTTTTGAAATGTTTGCATCATTTTATTGCTCTCTTGATTGATACATGGAATCTTATCCTTCCATCTCAAAAAATATGTGACACTTCCTTGAGGTAACTTATAGCAATGAGAAATTTGCAGAGAAAAAGCAGCAAATAATACTGGCACTTTTTTTTTTTGAAAGAGATTTAAGTGATATTAGAAGTACAAAGAAGTTAGTTAAATAATGGAATCACCAATGAAACGGGCTGTTTTTGAAAACTAAATTTAAATTCTTGACGAAGTTTTCTGCTTTTGAATAACCAACCGGTTCTATGGTGAATCTTCTGGTTTCAGTAAAATCATTGTATCAAGCAGGAATGGAAGGAGATGATGATATGACATAGAGTAATTAATATGATTTGATTTATGTTTCTCTTCTTGTCTATATATCATCAACAGTCACATTTAAAAAAAAAAAACTCATTAAAAGTTAAATAAAAAAAGTAAAAAGCAAAAAAGTCATTTAAGTGTAAGGTTGCAAAGATTGCAATAGCAAAATTTATTAGATAAAAACTGCAAAAGCAAAAAAAAAAGTTTTTTTTTTTTTTCCGAAGGAAATAAATTTTTTCTGATATTTTATTTTATTTACAGCATGTATGATGCATGGCATTCATCATACTTTGGAAAGCGATTTGCTTTTGGCTTAGCATTCGTCTGGTATATGTTTCAGGATTTGGAGAATCATTATGTCTTCATTGATGGTTATTTTTTGTTGTTATTGTTGTTGTTGTTGTTTTATTTGCTTAGCTTATTTGAGAAGCTGAAAAAGAGGATCCTGAAATTTTATTACTTAAAATTTATTTTCAGCTATGAATAACAACTTTGAAGAATTCAAGGAAAAAGATGAAGAAGAGGTAGATATTTTTGTTCATTTTTATTTCTCAGAAAAAAGAACTTTCTGTAATTTATGATCTATTTTTTTTTCCTTTCCAAAATATCACTTTTGTAAGTGATCTTGATAAGTTAATCAATAACAAATGATAAATGGGACAACGAGATCATTTGGCTTAACTATGACTTTTCGCTTATTAAATTGACCTCAGAAGAGAAAAAACGATTGAAATGTTTCAGGAATGAGATGATCTATGACAATATATCATACGAACAATAAACTGGTAATGGAAACTGTTCAAAGCGAAACTCTAGTAGAAATTAATTAATCAATTTGTATATTTAAAATTTTGATGTCTTCGAATGGTTAAAATTCTTCACCATATTTTTATTTTGCTATTCTCACACTTTCGTTTTACTTTTGAAAATGTAAGATAGAAATGAAAGTGTTATAATTAAAAATGATAACAAACATACCTTAGCTTTTCTTATCTCTTGTAATTCAAATAAACCGATCATTACTTGTGTCGTCCATTACTGTTACAACACGACAATTTCCTTTTGTCGTCACTTATTTGTCAATTTCCAAAGAGACATTACTGGTGGAATTAATTTTACGACACATTTACTGAATAATCCGTACTCATTTAATAGCAATTTCAATTTCAAATTTAGTTCTTTTTATAATTTAATAATTTATATATATATATTTCTTTATTCACATTTACATTTGCACGAGAATAATCAAAGAGTCGAGAGTAAGGGAGGACAGTAAGTGAATAATCTGCAAGGAACTATTCCGATTATAAGTATTCTGTAAATTCTAACATTGTAGTAATAGGAAATATGGCCTATTTGCAGATTTAGATAATTGACAGTTCGAATGTCAAATCAAACTTTTCAAACTTTGTTCTTCACTACTTTCAATAAAAAATAAAATGAAATGTCAACAGAAATTATTAATTCGTTCTTATTATCACCGTAATATCTGATAAAAACTACAACTAATAATAGTAATAAGATTGTTATACCTATCAGTTTATCATATGTAATCATCGATGTAATTGTTTATTGTTGGGGAAACAAATAACAATCGGTCAACTTATTTGCTAATACTTATGAGTACTCGCATTTGACTCAGTCCTTAGAGTAATGGAATAAAGTTCTGAAATTTGTATTTGGCCGATCAGTGCAACACAATAAGATAGCTTTGACAATTATAAATCACTTGGAATTTTAATTTTAAATGATAAAATGATGAGAAAAAGATAAAGTGCAAATTTTTTAGCCCTTCGTTCTTTAATATTTAATAATAATAATGATTTAATATATTATTTGATATATTTTAAAACATATTTAATATATTTTAGTCATTTTTGACGGTATATTTGATAGATTTAAGGTGCTTCAATCGAATTTCCATTGAAATAGAGAAGAATTTTGAATTTACTTAGCCTTTTGTTTGACGATGGACATAACATCCAATTTCGGGTAAAGATTCATTGCATATCGCATTAGGGTGTTCTCGAAAGATTCAGTTCAACTCAACTCAACTCATCCCACCTCAACTCAACTCAACTCATCCCACCTCAACTCAACTCATCCCACCTCAACTCAACTCATCCCACCTCAGCTCAACTCATCCCACCTCAACTCAACTCATCCCACCTCAACTCAACTCATCCCACCTCAACTCAACTCATCCCACCTCAGCTCAACTCATCCCACCTCAACTCAACTCATCCCACCTCAACTCAACTCAACTCATCCCACCTCAACTCAACTCATCCCACCTCAACTCAACTCATCCCACCTCAACTCAACTCATCCCACCTCAACTCAACTCAACTCATCCCACCTCAACTCAACTCAACTCATCCCACCTCAACTCAACTCAACTCATCCCACCTCAACTCAAATCAACTCATCCCACCTCAACTCAACTCATCCCACCTCAACTCAACTCAACTCATCCCACCTCAACTCAACTCAACTCATCCCACCTCAACTCAAATCAACTCATCCCACCTCAACTCAACTCATCCCACCTCAACTCAACTCAACTCATCCCACCTCAACTCAACTCAACTCATCCCACCTCAACTCAACTCAACTCATCCCACCTCAACTCAACTCATCCCACCTCACCTCAACTCAACTCATCTCACCTCAACTCATTTCACCTCACCTCACCTCAACTCAACTCATCTCATCTCACCTTAATTCAACTCAATTTAATTCAGCTCAACTTAACTCAACTCACCTCAATTAAAAATCTGTTTGCTACTATTAAAGCAGTTTAAATTTAGCAAATAGACAGTCGAAAATGACCGAATTTCCATTTAATTATAATTATCAATTGATTCGATCTTCCGTTTCCGGCAAATTTTTCTTTTCACAATATTATTTTCAGTTTCAAATGTTAAAATATTAATCAAATGATTAATTCCAAATTTTTTCACTTCAATTTAAGCAATAAATTAATGAAATTCTGCATATTTCTAGCGCAGCAATGAATTTGGCTTTTAAATAATAGAATTCCAATGTTCATTTGTTATTTTTTTCAACTAATTTTAGCAATGAATTGATAATAATACGAATTAAATTTGAATTTTCATTAAACCATAAAAATTATTTGAAGTTATTTAACATTTTTGCTTGGCATGATTATCAGTGGATATGATCTTCCGCTTCTAGCAAAATTTTTTCACAATATGATTATAAATTGTTTGACGTATCGATTTTAAATGTTAAAATAATAATAAAATGATTAGCTCTAAATTGTTGACCTATGTTAATCGATAAATAGATGAAGTTTCTCATATTTCTTATCAAAAAACTATTGCTAGTTACAATTTCTATTAACTCAGCCATTTGACCATGTCTGGATGTGAGAAGATCAGTGTCAATTAAGTTCAAAGTGTACACTTTTCTGTGAAATTTCTGCAATTGCAATTTCCTGTTAGCACCTAATGAAACAAAGTTTAACAAATTTCAATTTTATTTTGTGGTTAAATTTATAGGAATTATAAATACAGAAAGATTTTCATAACAATGCACACTTCAATTCATAATTTAATTTTATTTCACAGTTAAAAATGAATTGAAACTATTGCTGATTACAATTTGTATTCATTTCGGCATTTTAATTTTGTTCCATGCTGACATTTGGAATTCTTTCTTTATCAAATAACTATATCCAGATGTAAGTTATGTTCAAAATATTTTTGATGAAAAGCAATTTTATGATTCTATTAGTACTTAATTAAAACAAAATTTAAATTTGTTTCCTTGTTTGAATTACAAATAAACTTTCATCGATTGAAATGCTTGCTAAGTAATAAATTTGAGGATAGCTATTGATACTGGGTAATGTTTAATTATTGGGTAAATAATTGGAGGAAGAAATATATAGCATTGCAAAATGAGATGTTCATAACAGTAGTGATGGATTTACCTTTTTTGAAGTGATTTCTTATGATTCTTAGACATAAATTCCATTTGTCTTTTTTCAATTCAATTTAACATTTAAATTCTTAAAAAATTTTGTGCTCCTATTAAGTATAAAATGAAATAATCAAAATTCTATAAAATATCTGAGAATGTTTCTCGAAATTATTGCTTCGAAACATATTTTTGTAAAAATAATACGACGTTTTCTTCAATTTTAATCCTTAATTCTGTTCATATTTACAACTTAAAATGTGAATTGGAAGTGATTGGTACACACTGTTTGAACTTTCCAAAAGTATTACAAACTTTTGCATCCGAGCAATCCATGTCATTGTCACAGTTTGATCTTTCGTCCAGTAAGAAGCAATATCGAGAATTCTGCAACATCATTACCACTTGTGGACAGAATCAAATATAAATTTTTTAATTTTAATTTTGGAATAATTAGAAATATCAACTTTCGAAGTTTTGATATCAGAATATTACTTGCTGATAAGAGGAGATGCCATTGCTGATATTAATGCAACGCTGACCGCCCGAGCATTCGTAATCATACTGGCACGGTTGCATGAATGTCGTCTGTTTTGCAGCTTTACACAAATAAAAATTCTCTAAAACTTTCTCGCAACGCTGAAAAATTTCAATAAGCTGAAATCAATAAATTTAAATCAGATAATTCAGACCAATCATCACAATAGTAGAATTGTTAAAACTATTCGAAATGAGTGAATTCCATAATCTCACCCTAATGTAAGCTTAAAATTAACATTTATTCTCTTTAATTAGATGAGAGGGACAACTAACTTTGGAAAAATTAGTTTTATTATAATTATTAAATAATTTAAATTTTGATATTAACAAATAAGAGGTAGAGGGGAGGGAAGTGGGATAGTGATTGAAATGTTAGTATAGTAGATAGTGGACCTGTCCAGATTGACAGTCAGCATTGAAACGACACTGTCGATTGCTTGTTGTTGGATTGTAAGTGCAGATGCGATTACCTGGGATACCTGGGACACTTTCTTCTGAGCAAATCTCGAAAACAGAGCACTGAAACTTAGAAAATGATGTAGGTGATGTGTTTGACATCGTTTCAGGAGAGAATAGTTTAATTTTATAAATAAATTAGATGAGTGGAGTGTTTTTAAGTTGCAGATTGATAAGATGATATGATTAAAAGGGAAAAGCTACTACCTGATAATCAGCAGTACACTGCTTTTCATAGCCTTTTGAAATAGCACGGTTATCAGTGAGACTCAACGGAACCGCACCACCTCCAATTTCATCACTTCGAAATGGACTCATTTTAGCCGTAGCTAGAAATGCAAACTTTGATAAAAGGAGAAATAACTTACTCTAATAAAATATCGATTGATTTCAATTTGAAATGCTCAATAAAATTACAAATGTATGACTGAGTTATGCATAAATTTGTGATCAACTTACGATAATCAATCGATACTATGCATGCATTAGCATTATACTGCTTACTGAAGGAGCACATCTCTAATAGACCGCAATCCGTGTTGCTTTGACACGTTTTGTACGGCAGCGCATCCCGGACGACCTGAATGAAATTCGATTTGCTGGAACTGATTTCACGATTATCCGGTCTTATCATATCACTAGACTAACCTGACAAGTCATCATGCCATTTGTGTTGATGCAGTGCAGGTGCTGAGCACAGTCGGCGTCATTGTAACATCGATCAGTCACTGAATTTAATGAAACTAAATAAAAGCTTTCTCAATTATAAATTCAAAATCAAATCTAATAATTCTTGCTGAAGTTGA